GCTTATATGTGTATTATTGCTTATAGTTTTTACTCCTTAAAACAAAAATTATCCACAATTTTTCTGACCTTAAAGCCATGTGGTCCATAACACCTGAGTTCAATCTGATTTATCCCATTTATATTGATTTTTTTCTTTTTTGCTCCACAGGAGAACAATGAGAAGAAGGATGACAAGAAGAAAGATAAAGACAAGAAAGAAGAGACTCCAAACGCTGACTTGTCCCTACAGCAGGGTAGGGTTTAATGTGGTCATCACTTAGATTTTCAAGTTTAAACTTCTGTGTAATTCACTGTATAATTATTGTTAAAAGTACATTTTAAATGCCATTTTATGTAATGTAATCTCACTTGTAGCATGCCTTAACATATTGCTCAGAGAACTTGTAATATGTAATTTCAGGCATTGCTGTATTAGGGATAGCTCTCATCTCTATGGGAGAAGAGGTTGGCGCTGAAATGTCTTTCAGAACTTTTGGACATTTGGTAAAATTTTATTGATTACAGATACATAATATGCACAGTAAATAATTGAAGAAAAATGCCAAAAATAAAGTTTGTAATTTTTTGAGGATATACATGTATTATCCATTGGGATATAAATTTCATGCAACCATCTTCCTTGCTACAAAGCAATTTTCTGTTTCAGTAAAAATGACTTTTGTATACTCTTAATCTATGTAGCTACGTTATGGAGAGCCAGCCATCAAGAGAGCAGTACCCCTAGCTCTTGGTCTGATCTCGGTGTCCAACCCTAAATTACAAATTCTCGACACCCTCAGCAAGTTCTCCCACGACAGCGATCCAGAAGTCTCCCATAATGCTATCTTAGCAATGGGAATAGCTGGAGCAGGTTTGTTTACATAGATAATGTCCTGCCTATTGTCATCTTGAGCAAGAAATTGACCATTAATAGTGGAATTTAAAATGACCATGATACGTGTATCTCTTAATGCCAAGTAACCTGATTTACATGAATGTAAAATTTACTTCAAAAAGTTTGTTTGTGTTTATTAAATATCCTGTTTCCAGGTACAAATAATGCCAGACTGGCAGCTATGCTTCGTCAGCTTGCTGTCTACCATTCAAAGGATCCCAACAACCTGTTTATGGTGCGCTTAGCCCAGGGGCTGACCCACTTAGGGAAGGGGACCCTGACACTTTGTCCGTTCCACAGTGACAAAGCATTAATGTCCCCAGTGGCAGTAGCTGGACTGATGGCTGTCCTAACAGCTTCTCTAGATGTCAAAACATGTAAGTGTTTTCTTTTGATGTTTGGTTTCAAATTAAACATTGTTTCTATACGTGAGTAACATAGATGTTAGAATTGGCTAAGGGTGTACACTGTTGATTCAAAGAATATCAGATAGGTTTTAGGAAAATTTGAATAGGGTAATATTATATAAAAGCTTCATGTGCTATTTCAGTAATTCTTGGAAAATCCCACTACATTTTATATCATCTTGTATCTGCAATGCAACCAAGGATGCTGACCACGTTTGATGAAGAATTGCGCCCTCTTCCTGTTCATGTTAGAGTTGGACAGGTAAGATTCAGTTAGCTTGACAATTAAGAGTGTGAAGATATATACATATATGTCAGACTTATATGGCACATGGGAAATCCTCAATGCATTTTGGATCACAAGATACTTCTTCTTTGATATTAAATAAAGTATGATTTAATTACACAAGCTTATGCAGCTGTTCAATCACCTGCATAATTTGGCATATTATTTAATGGTATGTTTACCATTTGATTTCTCCCAAGAATTGGATAGTTACATTTATCATTCAGCATCTTTTTAGAGTACTCCTGTTATGATAATTATCAATCACATTGCTCTACTCAGGATTACTCTGCATCACACATGACATGCCAATGGACATGGCTCATACAACCTTACTGTCAGCCTTCATGTATCGGGTACTAGTGACCATGTCTCATGCTAGTGGACATGGCTCATACAGTGAGGCATTCCTTACTCTCAGCCTTCATGTATCAGTGCTAGTGAACATGTCTCATGCTAGTGGACATGGCTCATACAGTGAAGCATTCCTTATTCTATCAGGTGCCAGTGATCAAGCTTCACATAGACAAGTTTCACAGTTGCCTTCAGCCTGCAGTTTCTCTATTTCCATGGAGTAATTTCTATTTACTAGTATTATAACAGGAGTCTCTTTTTCTGTGATGCTGATACTCAATTGTGTTAAGTAGAGCCTTAAAGGCAAGTTTCAAGTATTAGATTAATAAAAGATGAAACTCAGGATAGTCTGTTGTTTTGGGGTAATAAATATGTAGAACAATAATTTCATTTACCGGTATTGCAAGTTTTTAAATGTGTGAAATTCTTTGCAGGCAGTGGATGTTGTTGGACAGGCTGGAAAACCCAAAACAATTACAGGATTCCAGACCCATACTACTCCCGTGTTGTTGGCTTATGGAGAGAGGGCAGAACTGGCCACAGAAGAATGTATCCTTTCAAAATACATGCATTTACAATGTTTACTTTTGTAAAAGTTGTTTATTAAGTACTGATTTATTATTAAATAAGTACATGAATGATTTTATTCTAGGATGATGAAAGCAGTGCCTTGCCTAAGGTGCTAGAATTGTTTTCTTATACATTGTATACTGTATATACAGTGTTCATGTATCATGTTTTCTGTGAAGTGGTTATGAAGTTAAACTCATTCCTTTTGCAGACTTCATTATGCTGATACGCATGTTTCATGCTCATGATAAAACTTCCACAATTCTTTTACTAGCCTTTAATCAGTGCATACATATAGGTGATCAAGTGAATGAGAAGTCCTTAGCAATTTGTCAGATATACCTTTGAGCCCCATCATGGAAGGATTTGTGATACTGAGGAAGAACCCTGACTATGAAGCTTAAAGCCGTGTTTAGTATTGTCAGGATTATGAACTCTTGTGAAAAAAGAATCTGTAACATTTATGAATTTATTGAAAAAAAATGAAACAAAAATAAAAATCAACAAACACTGTGGAAAAAGTTTTTTACTTTATCCAGAATATGTCATCAGTACCAGATTGATATGCTGTTTAGCATCTGTATTACATACTGAAAACTTCAGTGTTTCTTTCTGGAGGAAAGACGAAGATTAGGTGTAAAAGAAAAATTACCTCATTTGAATTGAAATTTATCAAACTGCAAGGTCAAAGGTCAAGGTGTTAACATTTGATCCATGAATAATGTTAAGCAATTGTAAAACCCAGAATGTGATATACGAGTATAGTTAAAGCTTGTTATCTAGAACTAATTGGAGCAGAGGGAAAACCCCCCCAGAGATTTATGATACTGAGGTTTAAATTGCATAGAGAAAAAGTGGTTGGGACTTCCAGCTCACTTTGGTGTTCAAGATGATGGTATTCTTGATACCTAAGTTCAACTTTACATTATTCCCATAATTAGACATTTATTAAAGCTGAACACAACTGGTAAATAGGCATACACCATTTTTAGCTCACCTCAACGAAGTTGGGGGAGTTTATGTAATACCCTCGGCGTCAGCGTCCCAGGTTAAGGTTTTTGGAGCAGTTTTCTTTTCAAGCACTTCCATGACCTATATTAGTCAGAGATGCAAGGAGGATGCTTCTAGTGTGTTTCATTGTACCAGTCAAGGTTTCAGATGCTGCAATTTCAGCTAAAGAATGACCAGGTTAATGTTTTTGGAGCAGGTTAAAGTTTTTGGAGCAGGTCTCATTTCCAAGTAACTATAAGCCCTATATTGACCAAACTTGCATGGATGATACATCTAAGGATGCACACTACTGAACTTGCTTCGGATGCTGGATCTTACCTACATTTTCCGGATGAGTGACTAGGTTAAGGTTTTTGGAGCAGATCTCATTTCCAAGTAACTATAAGCCCTATATTGACCAAACTTGCATGGATGATACATCTAAGGATGCACACTACTGGACTTGCTTCAGATACTATATTTTCCGGATGAGCAGATCTCATTTCCAAGTAACTACCGGTATAAGGCCTATCTGAACCAAACTTGCATGGATGATGCATCAAGGGATGAACAACCTCAAAACTTGCTTCGGATGCTGGATTTGACTTGCATTTTCTGGATGAGTGACTAGTTTTAAGTTTTCAGATAAGTCTATTCCCAAGTAACTGCAAGCCCTATCAGACCAAAATTGCATAAATGTTGCATTAGGGATGCACACTCCTAGATTATTAGTTTAGTATGGGACTTTGCCTTACTTAAAGACAACATTCGTTGAGGTGAGCTCTGTAATCTCTGATTACCTATGTTTGATACTACTAGCTACGATATCAGCACCGGGATATACCGTTCGCATTCATTACACCCGACTGCTGTATTGTCATGGGTATCGGCGTGGAATGGCGACACATGTTCATGCTGTATAATTTGCATTAAATTTGCTTACATTTTATTGCAGTTATGTGCATTTGTGTTTGTTTGTATACTGCACTGACCTGTTCAACTGGTGCAAGTTTCTGTGGTATCCTACTTTCCTGCATTAGAAGAAATACAGCTATATTTTGTCGCTACCAAGTGCTGTACAGCATAAGTTTGTCTACACTGGTGACGATTGATTACCCTGCACAGTGATCAAGTCGGCAGCTTTATATAGGGGCCCTCAGATACAGCGAGAAACCAATCGAATATGGCGGACACATTCCTTTTACGAATTGTGTTCAGCTTTAATATACAGGTGAACTTTGATATCTTGAATACCATGGATATGTTGAAGTAACTTGCATTTGGAAGTCCCAACCGCTTATTCCTTAACCCTGGATATCTTAAAGTATTTTCCTGGTCCCACCGAGTTCGAGATAACATATTTGACTGTATATACATGTATATTGTTTATTTGAAATTGAGAGAGAGGCAGCAATGGGATTTAATGACTGATGTGGCCCTTGAACTTTCATTATCTGACTTACATTGGAAGAACAGTAATCAAGACCAAAACAACTGATTCTACTTTCTTTATTACAAGTAAATTGTTTGAAATTTTATAATAGAGACAGAAGATTTTCCTCTAGATTGTCACCACAACTAAGATAATTCAGAGAATGGTTTCTGTCTAAATATACACAATATTACATCAGCATTTGTTTTTATAATTCATCAGGAAGTAAACTAGATTTCTTTTTGAGAAAAAACTATAAAATGGACAGAATGATGGAGATTCTATTGGAAACAGTTTGATTATCACTTAATTGACAAAATTCTATAATACTTAATGGAATGTATAAAACATGGAACATTAATACTTCAACAGACTCCTCTCATACTTGAAAATATAAAACATTCTAAAAAAATATATATCTACGTTATGTACATTCAAGACTTTCATAAAAATAAAGGTTGTAAATTATATATATATCTATCACAGACAACTTATATAACTTAGTATTTTGGGCAAGCTTTGTGGAAATACAGCTATTCATTTGATTCTTCTGGATAATAACGATAAATAATTGTGTTTAATAATTCTTTCCAGGTATTTTTCCAAGAATATTTAAGTATGCGAAACCGGTGTTACAACAGATTGCCAAAATATTTTTAACTTGGTAGAAATTTGGTGGCTATTTTTCAATAATAAAAACCTTTGACAAATTTACACACACTGGAAATCAGCCTGCTACATATCTACCAATTCAATGTATCTCTACTTGAATCCATTTCCCTTTATCATGTATGTATTTCTACACAAATTTTCTACCATTTATTTTGCAACCCATAAAAAGAAAAAAAAATGAATATTCTTAATTTTTAACCCTGTCTCTTTCAAATTACAACTCTTTAGATGCATTTTATAAATGACTAATTGAACAAGTACATGTATGTTCAAGTATTCCTACCTCTGCTTATGATCAGATTGCATTTATGTATCAAAAATAGCACAGTTTGAAATAATTTTTTATCTTTCAAAACATAAAATATAAAATTGCCTTAGAAAATCCAATTAAATGGGAAGTCATTAATATCATTTCTCCCTGAACAGAACAAATCATCCCACTTTTGGCACAATATGTCACAGTAACGCACGAATCACCACCTTGCATGTCTCTTTTTCTCTTGATACTTTCTCCACGCTGTCTGTATGACTTCCGCAGATTTTCTGACTTGTCGGATTTTGTTTACCCGATCTCGCTGCTCTTGAACTTTTCCCATAAATGAATTTTCTGCCTCATCGTCTGGGACGGCGGTAACAGATTTAAATTTGGACTCCTCTATGACTAGGCTATTGGTCCTTGAGGGATAATAGAACTCCCCTCCATTTACATCATTATCTATAATTAGTAACAAAATTTTAATTAAATCAGTCATAAAAATACATGAAGATATTATGCTACATAAATCAATATTTGGGGGAATGGGGAAAGGCAATTTGAGTTTGTTAAAAAATATTTTTAAAGACTACTTGTTTGATAAATCATACACATCTCTCAAAATTCTATGGCAACATTAATTAACAAACCAAAAATATATCTAAAATATCTACAGGTATATGTATGTATATCAACTGTACACTAAGTTACAAACAATGTCTATATGTACTGTGGAAATTGACTACAGCTTATATTTTTTAGCTAAAACATGTAGTGCCATTCAGAAGGGTACAGTGTGTTGGTGCCTAAAACAAAAGGATCACTTTCTGCAGTGCATTGCATATGTGCATGTAGAACTAAACGAATATATCATCTTATAAGGTGTCTCAAAATACATGTATCAAATTCAAAATACAAACCCTTTTGAGAGGAGATTTGTGCCTTGTTAGACCTACCTGCAGGAGTAGGGGTCTGTATAGAGAAGTTAGCCAAGCGTCCTGCTATTGAAGCATGCTGAAAAGTAATGTGCCAACAAAATAAATGACAGATCTGACATCTACCTGTATTAAAATCCACAGCAAATCTAGTGTATTCTACCACACAGTATTATCTAGACTAAGTGTAAAATATAGATAGGATTCAAATTAAAAAGTAAACTAAGCATATGATTTATTTTTTTCGAAAGCTCCGAAAACAAAATTATGCTTTAATCTACACAAAACTGTCCCTATAGGACTTAAACACCATTAAGATACACAACATGAAACAAAAATGCACTCCAAAATTAAGAATTAAGAATTTGTCTGAAAAAAAAATTAAGAGTACTTTTCTTGCATTATGCAAACATTTTTGCCAAATATGACCTAATGCAAGAATTGTGTACTTTCATTTTCTAGTGACTTTGCAAATAGTTTGAAGGCCAGCTGATTTAAGTATTTGTTCATTGCAGACTTACCTTTGTTTGTGGCCCCCAGTTTTTGTAATTGTTTGGCCCCTCTTTCACGGGATCATCATCACTCTCTGTAGAATATCGATTCGATGTAAAATTATTGGATTTACTCTTTTTAAGTGGTGAATTTTTACGACTACTCCTGGCTGAATTTTTCTGTAACATTCGCCTCTCCCAGTCTTCTAGAGATTTATCTCGTTTGACTCTGGCGGGAGAAAAACTTGATCGTGGTTTAATATCAATGTCTTCATCATCGGAATGATAAATAGGTTTCTGTCTCGTCTTGGGACGACTCTGGCGCATGCTTTTGCTGCTCTTTAAGGGAGAACCATAAATGGCTCGAATGTCATTCTCGCGAGATCTCTGAGATATTGCATACAACTCCCTATCCAGGGAACTCTCTCTGTCATAAGTGCGGGTTTTGTTTGTACTTGCATACTGGTCATAATCGTCATGGCTGAAGTACATATTTTCATCACCAGCTTTCTCAAGCATAGAAGCTAATGCTGCATCAAAAGTTGTGGAAGAAAGACCCATTTTTTTCCCATCAAATCTGTCTTTAGTTCCCATTCCATGAACATATTCACTTGGAATAAGTGTTTCATAGTCCTCCAAATCATCCTCAATTCTATTAGAAGAATGACTTGGTGCTCGAGGGGGCTTTGTCCTGGCTGTTGATTTTCTAGACTCCTCTCTTGCAGATTTCACATCATCAGTTAATCCATACTTCATTTCTTCCTCACTGTCATCCATCTTTTTGGGCTGCATGTAAATAAAGTCAATGTCTGGCTGTTTCTGACTACAAGCCGTGGAGGGTCTAGAGTAGGATGACTCCCAGCGAGCAGTGGGGTCCTTCTCTTGCTTCCGTTTAGCATAGAACTCACTATCAGGAACTAATGACCTTGTTGACCTCACACTCTGACGAGAAACAGGCCGACTGTCCACAGGATCCTCCTTCTGAGTTATGGCCCTTGATTCACGAGTCGGAAGGCCTCGTGATTCTAGTCCGTTATTGATGTGAGTTGTAGCTGCAGTGTACACAGTCCTTTCTGGGCTACCATCTCTGCCATTCATGTCTTCAAGTCCCACTTCTTCTCTAGCTTTCAGTCTTTCAGGGCCCTCCCCATAATCTGGGGCAGTCACTGCCCTTGGGTCATTGTCACGACCAACATGACCATCAGGAAACCCAGCAGAGTGGGACATCCTGAGCAATTCCTTGAAGTCCCGTAGTTTTTGTCGAGTTGCAGCTTCTTTCAATTCCAACTGCTGGCTTATCATCACCATTCTCTCTTGCTCCAGCTGATTTTGAATCTAAAGAATTAAAAATCTATTATTATGATTTCTTACAATATTGACAATCAGGATAAAATCTCTTACAATCTTAAGTTTAAATACAGTCAAACCTCGTTATCTCGAACTCAATGGGATCAAGAAAAAACTTAGAGATTTCTGAGGATTCGAAATATCCAGGGTAAAATACTTAAAGAATAAAGGGTTGGGACTTGCAAATCACTTCGACATATCCATGGTATTCGAGATATCAGTGTTGGAGATATCGAAGTTCAACTGTACTTGTACATTCATTTCTATTAACAGCATTTCTCATAACAACAGGTTAAAAAAAAATCATCCTGTCTTGTATGGTCTTATCCACCCTTGTCAATGAGAAATCTATTTTATCTGCCTGCTTACCTTTCCCTGTTTCTTCTCCTCTGATTTTAACATATCGTACACCTGTCTGGTGTTGAGACTGCCGTCCCTCTTGCGATACTTTCCGTACTGTTCTCTGATGGTGGGTTTCGCCTTGTTCAGTTCATGGTCCACTTCCTCTGAATGCTGGATCAGCTGTTTACGTTTTTCTTCTATTACCTCAATCTTCTTGGTGGCCTTTGCCTAAATATTGTGTAAAAATTCAATAATTTTCCCTTTCAACATACAGCCAATTGCAAATTCTTTTTCAACAGGTATTTGCAATTGAGCAACATTACATATCCATGTTATAGAGAACAAATAGAACTATGCTAACCTTAATACAGAATACCCTTGGACTTGATGAAAAAATGAAAATTTTGGACATTTTGTTTACCTCTTTCTTGCGTAACTGTTTCTCCACAATTTTCTCTCTCTCTAAAACTTCTTTGTCTGCCTCGATAGATTTCAGCTGCTGCACGTATGCCTTCTGATCAGCCAACTGGTCCTTTGTCACATTCAGTTTAGTTCTTCAACACAAATTATTTTATGTACACATACAAAAATAACACTTACACATTAAATTATCAGGCAGACAAAAATAGTACAATTTCTACAACAAGACTCTCATGCTCTCTTCATATTAGAATCACATTCTGTACTTTGAATTCGTAGATATGGTTCTTTTGAGATATTTTTACTGTAACTGTAAAAAGACTTTATACATTTCTAAAGCCATTTACTGTTGATTTAATAAGTAAGTGGGTAAATCCCCCCCCCCCAAAAAAAAACTACACTTATTAAACAATGGATATTGGCCCTTAATTCCCAGGGACTTCCTATTCACTCCGACATATCCATGGTATTCAAGATAACAGTGTTTGAGATACTGCTGAAGTTCTACTGTAATTGTTGGAACATAAATTTGCTGTGCTCAAAAACAATACCTAAACTCTTTTAAACTAAATTTTGACACTCAAAACTAAAACATATCTCCTCCACTCACCCACCCCCTCAATCCCTTCAAAAAGCCCATAAAAACTGATATGTGTCACACCTGACTTGTTCCTCCATCAGGTTGAGCTCCTGTTCAGCCATGCTGATCTTCATCTTGACTAGTTCCCCCTCCTTACTGATCTGAGTTTGCTGCATGGTCTCCACTTTCTCGTTTAATTTCTTGATCTCCTTAATTCTCCGTTTCTCAAATGGAGACTTGTATTTCTTCCTGCTTCTAGTTTGTCTCAGGATAGTGGAGAGATTATCAGCTGGCTGCTTGGGAGGGGCTGAAGTCAAAGAGGGAACCATTTTAGTAAGGTTCTCTTTTATATATGACTGGAAGACTTAGTGCACAGCAAAAAATTCATTTCATTAGATAAATTTCAAGATTTTTTACAACTACATTAAGTTGAACACAATACATTCATTGTCATGAGCATTAAACAAGTTACTCAATCACTTTAAAAACCAGTACAATTAAGTTCAGAATATTTATAAAATGGTCTTCTTCCTTCTGTAGAATGAGCCATTCTCATGCATCAAAGGGATGTGTTTAATTTGTAAACAGGTATTTGCTTTACTCAACAATTCTATAAACATTGCTTGGCAAATACACACGTCACGGTTTAAGATTTACTAATTACATAGCTGCTTATAACAGCATTCAAAATAAACTTTACAATAACTTATCTTATGAATAGATATTAATGCAATTTACTTTTAGATGATCTTAATGCAATTTTCTTATATATTTATCATTTATAACATGGTCCAGTCAATTTTGCAAAAGTATACTCAGTAGGCCCTGCATCATCAAAATAATTGCAACTTAAAGAAATGATTTTCTGATCAATAAAATCTAATATTTACAAAATATATACAGTAAAAAAAAATATAAGAAAAATCTAATGAGCAGAAAGCATAGTTTTTGGGCAGGACTTAATTACCAACAGAATTACTATAGAAAAGGGGAATAACTGTTAATCCATCCAAGTAATCAAAAGAAAATTCCTGCTTTTAATGAAAGCGAATTAAATCTGATTTTAACTTTTTTGATACAGTTTTAACAGATCATTAATATACATTTGAAATGGATGTTTTGAATCTGATTTCATACTACATGTATTTTTGTAGTTTGGTAATATTTGCATATTTTAATAGATAGTGAATACAAAGTGTAAAATCACAAAAATTTCTCTTACTAAATTAAGATTTAGTATGCATTGATCATTTAATTAAGTACATAAACTAAATACAATGAAAAAAAAATATGTTTTGATTTTGAGATAAAATTTGATCTATGTTAATATAACCTATATTATGAGGCAAGAAAATGCAACATGCACTCTGAAGTGCACACGAGACTAAACATTTGTAATAACTTTTTTGTGAATATAAAAAGGTCTTACTGCATCTATAAATTTCATTATACACAATTTAAATCACATCCTCCTTCTTCAGGGTAGAAAAATGCACCAAAAATTTAACCAAAATTTACTACAAGAACAAGAGTTATGCCCCTTTTCTAGTGTAATTATGTACCCCAAATACTTTCCCCTCATCCAATTTTGTTACATTTTTTATTACATTTATTTAGTGTATTCTAGAGTTTATTCATAACAAAAAGAAATTTAGTTGTAATTAGTTATATGCTTCATGATAAATTGACTAGACTTATATTGCTTCTTCCCTCAAACACAATGGTCTCTTTAGCTGATATCTACTCTCTGTGTTAAAGATCTTGGTATGGGTATTTATTTATGTTTACTAGATTATCTTTGAATGGATTTATTTATCACTTGCTTCTGAAACCTTTGCCGTTATCTAATGATTCTTGTTCATGTCTTACACATAGTCGTGAGCAACATTTTCATGTCTTATACATCGTCATAAGCAACATGTATTATAAGCTTTTATTGCCTTATCCATTGTAATATTACAACATAGAAATGAAATGGGATGGATATACAGGTATCATATATATTCCCAACAAGTTTACAGAGGGTATATTTAGAAGATATGCACACACATGATGGGGCAGGGTGTTTACACTATTTTCTTCATTCTTTACATGCTTTCTTGACTTGAAATGTTTCATTTCCTATAGCCCAGTTCCTGATAAAATCTCTCTTTTGAGGTTAACAGAGAAGATAAGCCCCACCTTACACGGGTTTGTTTATACCCACCTGGTTCTATATCACTGTCCCCTGCAGTCCTAAGACCCTCATCATCCGTGTCCGGGGCCTGGTTGTATCTCCGCCTCTGTCTATGATGGGGCCGTCTCATTGGTTGTTCCGCTTCAGCAGTATAAGTCTCCTCCCCCCAAGCACTTCGAGTGGGTATTGGAATCTGTACCGTTTTCCTGAATTTGTAAATAGTAGTATACTCAGCATGAGAAACTGATATCATATGTTTAAGGAACTCCATATTAGACTCTTAGTTTTTGTCAACGGCACACCAAGTAATGGTTCATAAATCCAAAATCACTGAAACTATTCAAATTATATGGAAAACTTCAGCCTAAACAACTGCAACACTCCCTGTGCACAGTACCACTATCATGTTAATGACGACTTAAATCAGTAAGCATTTTACTGCACATGCAGTGTATTACAATAGCATGTAATACTCACAATTAAAATCAAAAGCTTAAGAACATTACATTGTGAACAGGGATTATATGACAAAGTCTTTTTGATTTCAATTTAACCTCAAAAGCTGTTTAAATCCAAGGATTAAATTCTGCTAAGACATTAAAGAGTGTAATTCTCTTTGTTTTGACTGCAGGGAATTTGTGCAACTTATCTGCTCTTTTGCTTTTCAGTTACAGGTATGAAAAATTCAAACTACGGACTATCGACATATTTCATATAAAATAAAAGGTATTTTCTTTCATAAAACATCCTTCAATCAACAATTATCTATAACTGTACAAATCTTTTAAACTTTAAATCTCATGTCGATTGAGAAAATTAACAGGTCAGTATTGAAGTAGTTCATTTTACTCCCACATATCCAAGATTTAAATCCCATCACAATCTACGTGTTCATTTAACCAGAAATTATTTATTAACAGATTGTCTAAGAAGACAAAAAAATCTTGGTTACGTCAGATTTAATCCTCAGCCTCCCTAAAACTTCCCTTACCAAACAACAGCTAGAAAGAAGTTTTTCAATTCAGTAAGTTACAAACCAGTTCCATCTGTAAGTTAGTATAGTCAAAACATTATATTTCATGGGGTTCAATTTTCATTGACTTTGTAGGTAGTCCATGCCCATTAATACTTTTCTCAAAATGCTTGTCCACGAAAATACATCCAAAATATGATGAAACTGGTGCAGCAGTTTCAAAGAAGATAAAATAATCAAAAGTTTACAGACAGAACATGACAATGAATGAACCTGGACAGAAACAGTTTACTATGATCTAAAAGGTCATCTGATAAAAAAAAATGTTTGTCCTACTGTGTCTCTTTGACACTCTCTTCTCCAACAAAAAATTATCATGTACATTTCTTCATCATCAACCTATAATTGTAAAACTCACTCATCATTTCTTTGTCTATGGTCTATTCTGAGCAACACTTACTCGTCTTTTCTTTGTCTATGGTGTACTCTGAGCACCTGAGTGACACTTAGTCATCCATACCTCTATCTATGGGGTACTCTGAGCACCTGAGTGACACTTACTCATCATTTTTTTGTCTGTGGTGTACTCTGAGCACCTGAGCGACACTTACTCATCATTTTTTTGTCTATGGTGTACTCTGAGCACCTGAGTGACACTTACTCATCATTTCTTTGTCTATGGTGTACTCTGAGCACCTGAGCAACACTTACTCATCATTTCTCTGTCTATGGTGTACTCTGAGCACCTGAGTGACACTTACTCGTCATTTCTTTGTCTATGGTATATTCTGAGCACCTGAGTGACACTTACTCATCATTTCTTTGTCTATGGTGTACTCTGAGCACCTGAGCAACACTTACTCGTCATTTCTTTGTCTATGGTGTACTCTGAGTACCTGAGTGACACTTACTCATCATTTCTTTGTCTATGGTATACTCTGAGCACCTGAGCGACACTTACTCATCATTTCTTTGTCTATGGTGTATTCTGAGCACCTGAGTGACACTTATCATTTCTTTGTCTATGGTGTACTCTGAGCACCTGAGTGACACTTACTCATCATTTCTTTGTCTATGGTGTACTCTGAGCACCTCAGTGACACTTACTCATCATTTCTTTGTCTATGGTGTACTCTGAGCACCTGAGCATCCTTTTCTGGGGTGGAGCTTGCTCTGATCTCAGCGTTCACCTCCTCAGAAGTTTCATAGTAATTTGGCACATCGTCCGGATTAGCACTATTGTAGTAACCTTCTAGTATCATCTTCTTCAGAATCTTCATACACTCTCGAAATTTGTATGGATTTGTTATGCCTATAAAGGAACAAGACATAAAGAGTGTGTTTTATCTACATATCAGAATACTGCAATTCTACAATTCATGTAATAATGTTTATCTCATTTCTACTCAAGAAATGTATTACTTTTGACACAAAACACAGGTTGATGTTACATAAACTGACCTGCAAACCCCCATCAGATGTTATCAGTTGTTTTCTATGAAATTATCACTTTATTTTGACTTTAATGTGAAAAGTTTTCAAATTTCAATGTAGAAAGATTATGAAAAAAAAATATTCATTGTTGTATTTACAGAAAAACATGCCTTTAAATGATACTCAACATTGGCATGATGGCACTTTGTATATTCAACAAGTAAAGATAAAAAGAATTCCAAAACTACTCAGTTATAATATTTTAAATGTCTGAAAAAGGTACAATGAATTACTATCACTCAAGCATCTGTACTATTCTAGCTTTATTAATAATTATTTTTGGAATGAAAATGTTGAAAATCCTGCAATCAGGAGATTTGGCAATTAAATCACAGATCATACTTAGGGGGTCAAAAATTGTGAAAATTACAGTTAAATCAAGAAAGCCGGCAGGTCAGCATAAACAAACAATTTAATTCTGTAATGCCACAGTCTTTCACTTAAGTTTTGTTTTGGCCTCAGAATCCGACTCTTACTATTGAAGAGGGACAGCTAATATTGATTTTAATTTCTCAATTCTGGCCTGATAATTTTTATGAACAACCTATGAAAATATGCCATCACTTTTGAAAATACGCTATCACTACTGTACATCTGAATTTTTTTTTACAATACAGAACTTCTTACAAGAATGTACTTGTATATATTTGGTAACATCAGTTTCCTACCTTCACTGACTGGATCTGCTACTTTTCCATCTAAGTATGACTTAATAACTTTATTGCACTGAATTTTGTCTTCATCTGTAAGTTTGGCATTCATCATCTCTAAACTAAACTGGACATCTTCCTGTAATATGTGAGGGAAAAAAAGTGTTCATTACAAGCAATATTCATGTGTACACAGAAAATTTAAGCACTGTCCGAAGCTTTTTAAAAGAAAATACAAATCCAATATACATGAACCATCAACCAACCATCTCCCATCATAAAAATTATACCTGCTTTTCTAATTTATCCTAGTAAAATCAAACATACATTTATTTTGCTTTCAAATATTTTTACATCAGATAAGACTTCATATCTACAGGAGAGATTAGATTGTTTTTTTTTTCTATCTTATATAATTATTACCTAATCCAATGCATGAATAATAGATCTTTGGCACATGCACAATTAAACTCATACCATGGATATGTCTACCATTAAGACATATGGATTTAGTACCAACCCCTTTTTCTGTATGTATTTAACTCTCAATATCTCAAACCTTTGGATATCTCAAAGTTTTTCCTTGGTCCCATCAAGTCTAAATAATGAGAACTGACAGTACTTTAACTTACCTTTGCCATTAACAGACATGACAGTTCACTCTCAAGTTCTGCAACTCTTTTCCTGAGTTTCTTAATTAATGCTTTTTCATCAACCTCTTCGTTTCTCCTATAAATAGAAACAGCAGATATTGAGCACATTGCTCGGGGAGACAAAAAGCAATGATCTATGACTACAGCCAAGTTGTCAGAATTTTATTTACATAGTTTCCTAGTATGTACATTTCTGTAGTAAAAATTGGGTAAAAAATTCATAACTGAATCTTTCATATTAATCTTTTTAAATAATATGCACATAAAGCTTAAAATGCATTAATTGCAAGCATTATTAATATAAACACTTGATAATGTCTGCTTAAATTTAGCTATTGGTTAATAAATTATTATTATTACATGATATTACAATTAATATAAACAAAAAACTAAACACATTTACCAAAACCAATACTGTTAAGAGAAATATTTTAAAACTTTTTATGTATTAAATATTCCATACATACGCAAAAACAAATTCCTGTAATTAAAGCACCAAAAAAATTCTGCTCAAACTTTACTCACGTACGTTAATGCTCTTAAAAATCTTTACAAAGAAAATTTTAAATATAAAACATTTGTTTTTGCCAACAAAGATCAAAAACAAGTGGAAAATTCTAAAACATAAGCAGATGACTGGAAATGGATCTGTAGCAGAAAAACTAGAAGCTGCTGCTAAGAACAACAGTCGAAATACATTCTGTAAAAAGTTGGCAAAAAGAGTACAATGACGGATATGTCAGAGAGAGAGAGAGAGAAAGAGAGAGAGAGAGAGTATGTTGTGTAAATAGCATTTCACTGCTTAAAACTGAATGAAAGCAAATCTCCATAACCTCAGAAAAGCTTAAAAAAAGTCAAAGAAGGAATACATCTATTGGAAGAAATTTCTCAATATAGATAGCGAAAATTCTTAATGAACGTTGACCAACTAAAAGAATGGGCAACTAAATAATAAATAATACAAAAATAACAACAAAGTTATGAAATTAAATGTAAAAGGGGAAGAAGATCTTACCATAATTCACATCTAAATACAATCACATATACAAATTTTATTCTCTAGACTAATTAAGCTACAATATACATATTACAATATTTTTGGTATATACTATATTCAAACCAATATATAAATATATAAAACAAGAGATATACTTCACAACACATCAATATTCTATAACAACAAACCCTAAAATCCACAGGGTTCTCTACAATCTATATATATCTCTATCCAGAATAAAGTCCCTCCAAATAATGCAAACATCTATTTTGTATCACCCATTTCACGTGCACCTACATTTATGTCTATATTTATATAGTCAATAGGGTGTTCAGGCTTACCATATAAAAGGATCCCTGCACAAATTCAAAATTTGATTATAATAATTTCCCGATGAACACAACAAAAGTTGTCAATCATCCTTCAACAATTTGGTGTCTTTGTACCTTTTATGATTACACATTAGTATTTTCAGCCAATTTTGAGAAAAAAAATATTCATTTAAGTGCCAACACTTTGTGTAATCTTTTATTGTACTAAAATGTTTAAATATTTATATAAGGAAATAAATGGCAAGGATTAGCTATGTGCATGTTGAGCTTGAGGTAATGTTTTACCCTGTGTCACAGAATTCAGTAGGGGAAAATGATCAATAAATCTCATTGTTGTCAGATTTGAATATTTTCTGAATTCTTGTTCATGTCAGTGATTTGAAACTAAATCAATATTTACATAAAAGTTTGATTTCTTTAATTGCTGCATTTATGATTTTGAAGTATAGTCAACCCTTAGTCAACATCATTTACAGCTGTCCTCATAAAAAGCATTTGAAATCATGTAATCATTGATAGCTATTTGGTCAGATTTGGACCAAACACAGTTCATGGTCACTTGTGTGCTAAGTCTACCTGCTTTGGGTGGGTGGTTATAAAAGGGGGGGGGGTATTAAGCTGCAATGGACTGGAATCCCATCTTAATAAAGAGAGGAGGGTGATCAATTACTATTCTATTTACCAAGATTGTAAGGAAGAATTTACCTCTTTAAGTCTGTTTCAGGGGTATAGTGAAATGTTAATGTAACAGTTACTCATCAAAAGAAAATAAGGCCATAAAAGATGTGTCAATGTCACCAGAATTGAAAAAAAAAAAACAATCTTATTTATCTTTCTGTGCTCCTTCCTTTAGAATTTCAATGTTTTCCCCATAAAGATGTTTTTGAAGTTGTGATCAGTGCTTTAAAGAGCAGTATTGCTAGAGACCTTTAAATATGTACCGGTAATTAAAATATATAAGTCACTAATTACCACTAGGTTTTGTACTACTGTTCCAAATTACATACAAGAAAAAAGGAAATGGAGATATGTGGAGATTTTACATGAATGACATATATTCATTTCTCTCTGATTTCCTAGCTTCCCTAATATTTTTTTTTAATTCATGTTATATAACTACTAGCATTTTTATCATGAATACCATATAAACAATATTAATTCACTAATGTAATAAAGAATAAACATCTTACTTGACACTGTTAGCTATACAGGCCACACGGCCAGCAAATCGACAAGTGGAAAGAGTCTCCCCAAGGTTACGATATTCCAGTGAAATTGTAGCAATCATACAAGTCATACAATTCCCACCTGTAAAAGGAACACAAAAACGCTTACTGGTATATCATAGAGCACATTACAAATCTGTACCTGTTATAATTTGAAAATACAAAATATATACCATTAGATTGATTTTTTCTTGGTTCCAAACATAGGGAAAGTCAACACATTTTTAAGAAACTTTGTATTCAACTGAGAAAAATTGGAGTTACTTTGCCAACACTGATGATAATTTCTTACTTTCTAATTTTTGTATGGATATTTGAGACAAATTAATTGTTTCCCCATCAAATAATTGATCAAAATGAATAAAACTACAATGCTAACAATGATACTGATCTACTGATAAATTATTGTGTGTATTTACCTATAATGTCTCTGAGAATCAAGGGAAGGATGAATTTCCCCTACTGACCCTGAGGGCAGAAGGAAGGATGAATTTCCCCTACTGACCCGGAGGACTGAAGGAAGGATGAATTTCCCCTACTGACCCTGAGGACTGAAGAAAGGATGAATTTCCCCTACTGACCCTGAGGGCAGAAGGAAGGATGAATTTCCCCTACTGACCCAGAGGACTGAAGGAAGGATGAATTTCCCCTACTGACCCTGAGGGCAGAAGGAAGGATGAATTTCCCCTACTGACCCTGAGGACAAGGGTAGGAATATGCTTACCAAGAATGACATAAGGACCATTGTTAGGATGTATTTACCCAGACTGTCCCTGAGGACCATTGTAAAGCTGTATTTATCCAGACTTTTTCCAAATACCATAGTAAGGATGTATTTACTCAAACTTTCCATTAGGACTAAAGTGAGGATGTATTTACCCAAACTGACCCTGGAGACCATATTTAGGATGCATTTACCTTGACTGTCCCTGAGGACCATAGTAAGGATGTTTTTACCTAGACTGACCCAAAAATCATAATCCAGATTTTCCCCAAGGACCCTGAATAAACTATTGTGTATATTTACACAAACTGTTCCTTAGGACCATAGATTAGGTAGTGTGTTTGTTTACCTAGATTGTCCCTGAGGACCTTTGATGAACTATTGTGTGATTTTACCCAGACTGTTCCTGAAAACCATAGATGAACAATTGTGTATATTTACCTACATTGTTACTGAGAACCATAAATGAAATACCGGTAATATGCATGTTTACCCAGATTATTCCAGAGGAACATAGATGAACTATGGTGTGTATTTACAGACTGTCCCTAAGGACCTTAGATGAAATATTGTGTGTATTTACCCAGACTGTCTTTAAGGACTAAAGTAAGGGTATATTTACCCAGACTATCCCAAAGGGACCATAGTAAGGATATATTTACCCAAACTGTCCCTGAGGACCACAGTAAGAATGTATTTACCCAGACTGTCCCTGAGGACCATGGTAAGGAGGGAGTTCCTGTATGGGACATGGCGAGGACCTCTTGATAATCCCTCAGCAGTACTGGGTCTACCGTTATCTCTGGTCTTGGAGCGCCTGTATGAACAAATAGACACAAGAAAATTGCATAATAATTTCAAAATCATTTTTTTAACCTGCATTTCAAAACTTTGGCTCACTTAATAAACATAGGTAATCAGAGATTACAGAGCTCACCTCAACGAATGTTGTCTTTAAGTAAGGCAAAGTCCCACACTAAACTAATAATCTAGGAGTGTGCATCCCTAGATGCAACATTTATGCAATTTTGGTCTGATAGGGCTTGCAGTTAATTGGGAATAGACTTATCTGAAAACTTAAAACTAGTCACTCATCCAGAAAATGTAAGTCAAATCCAGCATCCGAAGCAAGTTTGAGATTGTTCGCCCCTTGATGCATCATCCTTGCAAGTTTGGTTCAGATAGGCCTTGTAGTTACTTGGAAATGAGATCTGCTCCAAAAACTTTAACCCTGTTCCTTATATGGAAAATGTAGGTCAGATCCAGCATCAGAAGCAAGTCCAGTAGTGTGCATCCTTAGATGTATTATCCCTGCAAGTTTAGTCAATATAGGGCTTATAGTTACTTGGAAATGAGATCTGCTCCAAAAACTTTAACCTGGTCACTCATTCAGAAAATATAGGTCAGATCCAGCATCTGAAGCAAGTCCAGTAGTGTGCATCCTTAGATGTATCATCCATGCAAGTTTGGTCAATATAGGGTTTATAGATACTTGGAAATGAGATCTGCTCCAAAAACTTTAACCTGGTCACTCATCCGGAAGATATAGGTCAGATTCAGCATCCGAAGCAAGTCCAGTAGTGTGCATCCTTAGATGTATCATCCATGCAAGTTTGGTCAATATAGGTTATATAGTTACTTGGAAATGAGATCTACTCCAAAAACTTTAACCTAGTCACTCATCCAGAAAATGTAGGTCAGATCCAGCATCTGAAGCAAGTTCAGTAGTGTGCATCCTTAGATGTATCATCCATGCAAGTTTGTTCAATATAGGGCTTATAGTTACTTGGAAATGAGACCTGCTCCAAAAACTTTAACCTGCTCCAAAAACTTTAACCTGCTCCAAAAACATTAACCTGGTCATTCTTTAGCTGAAATTGCAGCATCTGAAACCTTGACTGATACAATGAAACACATTAGAAGCATCCTCCATGCATCTCTGACTTATATAGGCCATAGAAGTACTTGAAAAGAAAACTGCTCCAAAAACCTTAACCTGGGACGCCGACACCGAGGATATTACATACGCTCCCCCAACTTCGTTGAGGTGAGCTAAAAAAAAAAAAGAGTCTTAATACAACAGTATTCTGGCAACTATTCCTCTCCATTCATTTTCACCCTTTTAATCCTTAATGAGGAAATTTAAAACTGGGCTTTTCAAAATAGGCACATAATTTTAATGAGGCAAAAAAGCCTTTGAGTAAATTCAAAATGAAGCAATAATTTGCTGAATGTATGTGGACCAAAAGAAATACGGGGCAAAACAATTATATATCTACTATTTATTCATAGACAATAAGACATACTTACCCCCTCTGCTGGCCAGCACTGCTAATTCTTCCCCTTTTGTTATTGTTTACAGATTCTCCTTGTAGGGCAATGATTACTGACTCCAGGTAATGGAGGGACAAATTAATACACTTGGCTTCGTTCAGCAAGCTGCCCTGCACACCAGTCTTAGACACTCTCTCAGATCCGGCTAAATCCACCAGGTGTAGTTTAGACCTATTGATCAACAATGGATAAAGTTAAATTTATAAACTTTTGCTTGGTGACAGTGACACCTTCCTCAGAAATCGGAAAAAAAGTGTACGCCTAAATTATCCCACTTTTCTGAAGTTCTACATAATTTCTAAATGGTCTGTAATAAAGGAAACTTGGAGAAGATAACAATTTTCTTTATCTTAAATCTGTTCTAAATGAAGGACTCAAGTTTGTCATAGTTGCTGGTATATAACTAATTTGTCTTGTGGAGAAGAGGTAAAGAGATGAAACAAACCCTGGCTTTTATGACCATTATCATTAATCCAGGTAAATAAAACCTGGTGTCTCTCTAATCTCTAAGCATTGCTAAGTTGCAAAATGAAAAGTTCATCACCAATAAAATTTGATCAATAATTTTAACCATGAAAATTTCAGGTAATTGCCCTCTTTGGTCTAATTTAATAAACCATTCCTTAATGGAAATGCCCTAGTATCTAATCTTACCCTCAAAGTTATGTTAACATCAACTTGCAGAATGAAAAAAAAAACCAACATCCTCTTCATACTGTAAAGTGCTTGTCTGAGACAAATCGAATATTGCTATGACACAACTTGACAAAAATCACAACGGAAAATGAGCAACGACCAAGCACATGGATTATATCTCATCCATGAGGACTCGTACACTATGGATATGAACATTTGCTAAGGCATTTCTTTTAATAAATGTCAATTCATTCCTTTAGTATTTGGCAGTTTCTCATTAAAATGATTATAGAGAGGTTGATAAATAGTTTTAATGAAACAAAAAATCAGTAAAAACAGCATGACTCATGAGCAATAAAATAAAGGTGAACAATTGATTAAAAAGATTGATTTAAATTTTAGTGGAAAAAATACATCTTAAGTACCATTATGGATAAAAAGAAATTGCAGTTTGTTTGAAAAACAGTAAAAATAGCTCCAACACCACTGCATGTTTTTGAATAGTAAAGTCTTCTGTCGTCCACATGCATTCAGTGTCATACAAAACTGCTACCACTTGGACAAATTTGACATCCAATATTTTTAAATAACATGCTGATTTAATAGAAAATTATGTTAATATGCATGACATATCAAAGCAAAGTAGTACAATTATTAAAAAGTGACTTGAAAGAAATCACATTAAATTTCTGTTTGGAGAAACTTACACTCAAAATGGAGATTGTACGCAAGTCCTTGGGAAAATGTTTCAACCTGTAAATGCAACCCAGCGATATCTTAGGCCCATCTCCCGTTCCTATCAGATTTAGATAGTCTACACACTTGACTGGCTGACTCTGACAATAATTCTCTAAAGATTTTAAAACCTATACACAATAGAGTATTAATGTCCATGCCAATCTTTAGAAAAATACGAACAATTTCCTTCTAAATGTCTCAAAAAATTGTCTTGTTTCAGTGCTGGGTAGAGTTATTTATTTTAATAGCAATAATATTTTGTTAGTGGTTTATAAGCATTGGTTTGTAATAGTTTTTTGGTGAAAGGTTCCGAGTATATATATTGACAGAGAGCTTTAACTCGATCACACAGAACACAAAGACACCATTGTTTGTACCAACACTGGTTGATACTATAACGAGTTAATGGCTCTAATCCTATGACTGGGGATTAGTTAAAAGGCAACACCAAAGAAATATTTGTCTTCAGATGTGGGAAACCAATAATATACTTAAAGTTTATCCTGAGGTAGGAAAATGTCCTTTAGAGGGTGAAGTTTCATGAGCGTGCAGACTGAATGAACAGATCGATACATTATATAACTGTGTATCATTTTTACCACTGACCTATTGATTGGTATACCACTGATTGATTTTAATTATTAAATCAATTATCAGTTGGTCAACCTCCAAGTTCTTGGATAGATTGTTGACAATTATATTTCATAATACTACTACCGGAAAATAGTAATCGAGCAAAGTACAATACAAATTGTTTTAAGTACTGGTACTATTTACTATTTTACTTACGGGGGGGGGGGGGGGGGGGGGGGGGGGGGGGGGGACTAATTTCTCACTGGGCAGATTCAAACACAAGGGTGTACAATGTATAATGAATAAACATTCACTCTTCCATTCAGAGTATTTATTTCTCCCATTAAGATTTGCAGTTCTTTATTTCATTGTCTAAAAAGAGTTTGTTTGTTTTTTTAATTTATCAGGTTGATTCTTCAAACATATAAATTCAAAACAACAAATACAAGTAGAGTGTACATACTTATGAATTTAGTCATAACAATTTATGACAGCATTTTGAGCATAAATAAATAAATTTTGTTGTTTGGGGTTCATCACCCTCTGTTCACTCAGATAAAATTATTCTTTAAAACCAATGGTTTCCAAAAGAAACTTAATTCATAACTGGAATGCATACAATTTCAGCATACCTTTCATTGCAAAATTTGACAAAAATGGCCTTTTAACTTGACAAATTTTTAAGCAAATCCTGCACAGAGTTATCTCTCTTGTCAGAGGGTACATGAACCTTAATGTTGATAAATTTAATATGAACTATGTTTGGAGAAAAAACACAGCTCAATCAAATATTTAATGCAGGAGGTGGAATTCTCTGCATGCAGTGCTGTATTTGTATTTCTCAATAATGACCAGTAAGCGCTAACTGTCTACTATGCTACTTCAGTTCCATGCTATGACACAAATGACACTCTGAAATAAACCAGTTACTTACTTGACTACCACATCTGAGTCCGATCTTTTTGCACTCAGCTGAATGGTGAATACCGCATGTGACCTTGAGGACCTGTCATGGACAGTGGTTGCAGCCACACGGCGGTTTGCCTGACCCTGGAGAAGAAGGTTCTGTGCCACCTCCTCAGTGGCAGCATAGTGTACAGAGAGGTTCTTCACCATCCATACACCCTGGGTACCCTCCATCACAGAAACCTGTAGATTACAAATTAGAACAGAAATTATACAAGGAGAGTTGAACCTCAGAGTATTAAACTCCAATACAGTTGAACTTTGGTATCTCGAACACTGATATCTTGAATACCATGGATATGTCCAAGTGATTGGGAAGTCCCAATCAATTATTCTTTAAGTATTTTAGTTTTTACACTCGATATCTCGAATCCTTGGATATTTTGAAGTTTTTTCTCAGTCCCATCAAGTTCGAGATAACGAGGTTTGACTGTATATTGAATGAAGTATGGCAATGGTACTACAAGTTAAGCTCAAGTTTCAAGTTATCTCTAATATTCTGAGATTTTGACATTTTTTGTCAGTTACTGAAAAATAAAAATTTGTTTGCTCTTGTTCTATTTTTGTTCTTTTTTCTCATCTCTTTCCTAAATGGAAAAATCTTCAAACTGTGCTAATTCTCATATCAGATTAAATTTACAAAAACAGCTATTGCTGAATTCACCCTAGAAAAAAAATCTTTCTTAGTGCATTTCAGCAAAACTTGTACTGCAAAACATGTACCCAATGTATTGAACAATGTTGAAAAAAAAATGTTTATACAGTATGAAGCAATGGATAAAGAGATCTTCCTTCTTATGACAGTCAATTTATTTTCTGGATTCAAAACATTCAGCTTAACTCAATAAATTCAGGCCATCTTTAAAAAATTGTCTGTTTGTCCTCACCTGACCAACTGACTAAAAATTCCCTGTCTCAAAACTTTTTTTAACATCCAGGAAACAATTTTATTTTTATTCATACCAGAATATTCTTGTCCCATCTAAAACTTTTTAAAAAAAAAATTTTATTAATACCTTCAATTTCAATAGCTTTGGAAAATTAAGCATTGATGTTGACAATTTCTGGGGGGAAAAATTTTCCCCTACCTTCCAAATTTTTTTATCCTAAGTCATGAGACGGCAAAAAGAAATTTTTTTAAAGATGGTCTCAAGTAATAGCAGGGTTAGAAACTCCCTAAAATTACAACTCGCAAATAATTGCGAGTACAGTGGCGCCTCGTTAATCCGAACGCCTCCGTCCCCAACGAAATCGTCCGGATAAATGAATCGTCCGGATAAGTGAATCACTTCTTAAAAGACGTACCCTCTTAAAGCATGTACATATGAACATAGTGGTATCAAATGTGAAGGCAAAGAAAACACTTTTATTTTACCTTGACTTATTGATTTTATTTTTATAGTTTTAAAAGAAATAATAAATATTTAAAAAAGAAAAAAAATTAAAATGTAATTTACACGATGAAAAATGGATAGGCAGTTTTATGTTGAGACTTCCTTTTCTAACACAGGAAACTTTACTCGCCTTCTATTTGACGTGTAGTTACATGTACATGGGCTGACCAAATTTTGATCTGCTACTGTTTTATTTCGGCACTTTTTTAAATATTTATTCAAGCTCATATTAAGTAGAACTGTTCATTATCACCATTGAGAATGTTCAAATGACTAACCGCGTATATTCACTACATAGGGAAGTAAGTAACTAAATACTGTAATCAGTGTACGTATTGCAAAAATTCAACCTAAACACAAGCCATATTCAGGATTATCAGTACTCTTTCTATAAACTCTAAATTATATATCTTGAAAAGACGTGATCGGCATTTATAACTAACGCCAGTTACGTATTTCTTAGTGCGTTAATAGAAATATATTTTCTTGAATTATGTATCATAATAAATTGCTTTATGAAAAGAAAAAAAAAAGTTTCAAATAATGTACGATCGTATTTTGATAAATTTACGTAACTCGATACCACAACCAAATCTCATGATTTATTATTCAGTAAACATTTTATTTACAACTCTCCAAAATTCTCATAAATTTATATACCGTTAGCAATTTAATTAATGCACAGTATAAGCTAAATTCTTCGGGTTTTATAATATAAAAGACGCGTGTTTTAGCTGAGGTAAACACACGCTAATTATAGACGCTATTGTTTAGAGGTCACAGGTAACCGCCTTCAAAATGACTCCACGGACAATGTTTTTACAATAATTATCACCACTGCAAGAAAGGTGTGAAAAGTTGTTCCTCGAAAAATTACCGTCCGGATAAACGAGTCATTTTTCAATGAAAGATTGCGTTTTGTAGTAGAAATTGACCGTCCGGATCTGGAACGCGAATTTCCGGATTAATGAGACAGAATAACGTAGAAAAAAATCGGTTCCCAAAAAATATCGTCCGGAAGGTGAAGCGTCCGGATTATTGGCGTCCGGATTACTGCGGCGCCACTGTACCAAGAAAGTGAATTCGCAATTTCATAAGACTACTTGCAATTTTCATATAAAGTTAAATTAATATAAATTAAATACATGTTACTTAAGGAAAAAGTATATAAAGTTAAACTAATATATATTAAATACATGTAACTTAAGGAAAAATTAACTACAGTACAATGGACAAAATACAACTACAGTGTGACTTTTATTTAAATTACTGATTTAAATCAAAAGCATTGTGTTCTGTCATATTATATAATTTTGCTACAGTTTCAATGCAAAAAAAATCAACTCGCAAGTTTTTGCGAGTTACCTAATTTTTAACACGCAATTTGGGAATTCTAACTCGCGTTTTGCGAGTTGTATATAGTGAATTTCGAACCCTGAATAGTTTGTAAAATTGTTGTTATTTTATCTTAATCTGGTTTCTTAATGGCTGTCTTCTTTGACTGCACTATCCTGAACTTGAAATTAGCCTTGACAAAGGCATAGGGTGAGTTCAACATGCATCGGACAACCTCATACTTGAACAAGTTCTAGCGAGATCGTTACCGACCGAATATTATCAAAATGGAGCTTAACACATATAATTTGACTAAATTATGAATTTGAAACACAATTTTATGCTACTTATTGAGAAAATATTTAAAAAATGAAATTTTTGCAATGAGCCAGAATTCACCGTGGATCATACAGCATTCATCATGGCAAACTGTATACGGGACAGGAAAAATGTCCTACCTTTATCGCAGTGGCCTTAAAATACCTAATATGCTTATACATGTAATTAGTGACATGAAAATATTGTTGTGCTTAATTCAAAAATTAACTCTCTATTTTAATTTGATTGACTATATCGATATACAAATGTGGAGAGATGTTGGTTGCATCACATCACCTTAGATAGGCTTTGCAATGCCTTGTAATATGGCAACTAGCTCCTTGGTTTTGAGGGATCATAGGTCTTATAGTTTAAAGAAAGGAAGAGAGCCCACCTCTAGTTGTCATATATCGATAACTTGCATTTTCATTGAATATTTTGAGTTTATATTTTTTTTATTTCTGCAAAAACAGCTTTGGTTTGGTATTATGCATGTATCTCTATACAATTAAGTACTTATTATCTATACAGCAGACAAAATGTCTGATACATGATTGTGTCTGATGCATGGTGAAATGAACATACTAGCAAAAAAACAGCGCTGCTCTAAGAAAATTAATACACATTTTTAAATGAGATTTCTTGAATTTTTCTATAAAATTATCAATTATTAATAAAATTCACCCAAGATGGACTCTTCAAGGGCTTGAAGTCTTATGAAAGAAAGACAACTCTAAAAATTTGCAAAATCGTAAAATTCTGGTTATTCCCCTTTGTCGATGTCAAATATGACATCAAGGCCATTATCGTGGTACAGTATTTATATCACAACACGATAATAAAATCAGCATGATTAAAAAATTTAATCTTTGGCTTAAGACAGAAACAAATGAAAATATGGAGACATTCAGGTTGGATGCAAGGTTATTGCTTAAAGTTGTACGAAGTAAGGTAATTGTGTCAGATGCATCGTGAACTCACCCTATGCGTTTGATAAAACAATGCAATTTCAGCTGAAAATCAAAAAAAAAAAAAAAAAAAAAAAACAATTAAGCAAAATGTATGGAACAATGCTATTTACCCTACACAGTGAAGGAATGAAAATAGTAGTTATACCCTAGGGAATGGAGTCACAGCAGACTGAGTTCTGGCTCCTGGGTTCAAAAGATCATATCCTGTCTCCTGGTAGATTTCCAGGTATGAAATGTGAACACTTATATCCTCTTCTGTTCTCTTCTCAAGCTCTTTGTAAATCAGGGAGATAGACCTAAAATGTACAATTGCTAAATTCTATTTCATCATTGACCAATTGATCAAGTTTATATATTTCTCCCCCTCCCTATTTGTGACGAAAAGGGGGATTTTTGGTTTGCACCTGCTTGTTGGTTTATCTGTAGACAGAGTTTTGTCCACTCAATCTCTTGAAAACCCTTTGCTTGAAAGACATCGAACTTGGTACATATGTAGTCTGGTACCCCCTAAAAAGCATATGACCCCTATGATTTTGAGGTCAAAAAGATCAAAGGTCAAACTACTCTGAAATAAGTCAATATTGTCCGCTCAATATCTCAGGAATGCTTTGCTTAACAAACATCAAACTTTGTAAACTGGTTGCCCCTACCGATTTTGAGATCACAGAGTCAAAGGTCAAGGGTCAAACTACTCTGAAAATTAGTAGGTATTGTCAGCTCAATATCTTTAGAACCCTTTGCTTTACAAACATCAAACTAGTTACAGTGCTATGGTACCCTCTGTAATACATGACCCCTTTTGAATTTGAGGTCATAAGGTCAAAGGTCAAGGTCAAACTACTCTGGACATAAAAAAATATCTGCTCAACTTCTTGTTTTCTGCTCAATATCTTAAAGTCTCTTTGCTTGACAGATATCAACTTGGTACACTGTTACCCCTCAAAAGTTGATTTTTTGGTCAAGAAGTCCAAATCTAAGTATCAAATCATAGGAAGATATTGTCTGCTCAATTTCTTAAGAATCATTTGCTTGACAGACATTGTCTTGGGACATTTGTACCCTCTAAGAAGAAGTTGACCCCTATTGATATTTAAGTCATAACATCAAGATTAAATTACTCTGGACATAAGAAAATATTGTCTTCTCAATGTCTTGTGAACCCTTAGACTGACAGACATCAAACTTGGTACACTGGTACCTCATACAGAGGAGATGACCCCCATTGGTTTTCAAAATATTTCTTGTTTATTCATGAAATGTATCATATGTTTTGACTTTTTGACTCGGGGTTATCATAGAAAAATGAAAAAAATAAATATAAACGAAGCAGGCTATCTAACCTGGGTTCCAGTCCCCTTAATTTGTACTGTTTAGGACTACCCTCCACAGTAAAGGTCTTCCCTGTTCCTGTCTGACCATAGGCAAAGATGGTACCATTATACCCGCTCAAAAAACCTGAAAAATAAGGCAACAAATTATTATTACAGACACTTTTTCATAATGTCATTATGGCAAATATTTGAAGTTTTAGCTAATTAAATTTTTCAAAATATGAAGGTAATTCTGTCATACTTATTTTTAAATTTTCAACTGAATAAATTGAAAACATAAATTATTATGTCTAAATTTCTTAAATAAAAATTATTCTAAGAACACTTTTTATCTTAAATTTAGTAAAGAGAAAAGACAGAAAAGTGCCAGGAATGAAAATGATAACATTGAAGCATGGTTAAATGAAACATTATCAGGGGGAAAAATCCCTCATAAGACAATTAAAATCAGTTTAGTTATAACAGCAATCTCCTACCTGATATGATATCCTTAGCTGCCACATCAAACACTTCCTCCTGTGTAGCAGTGTTCTTAAATATATAATCAAAGTGGAATTCATGGCTGACATTTGCCTTTCCTCGGACCCCTTCTGTCCAGTTTTCTCTCAGGACCTCTGGAACCCTTAGATATAAGGTATTCCGACTTGCCTCAAATTCTGGGTAGTATTCAGCAGACGGACGAATTCTGCACAGTGTTCGAATCTGTGGCATTATCGGGAAGATGAATCAATCAAAACTCTAATATTGACACAGACTCAGAAACATGGACAAGGTGAGCTGTTATGTTAAATGCCTCCAAAACTTCAGAAATTTTCATCTTGCTGAAAAGAAAAATCAGTAAATAATAATCCCATTGTAAAATTGTACACATATATAAGTTCTAACTTTAAAAAGGCATGCAGGTGACAAACAGAAAGATTATTGATTACAAAGTGCACCTTAAATCAATGATTAGAGGATTAAACATTAATATAGGGTAATATATCAGTCCAAAATTAAAACTAATTGCTACCTTAAACACACATTAAAATTAATAGGGCCACGACATGCTGAAATTTCTCTTCACCAAAATCAATGAAAAGACTGCAAACTTTCCTAGTACCTGCTAAAAGTGCAATAAACCTGGAAACAAAGATGCTTTTATTTTCACACTATTCTCCACATACACAAAGGTAGCTGGTACATTAGGTAAACCATCCATAACTAAAGGTGGTAAACAGGTAAACAATGCATAAATGTTCCACTCATTTTCAACATTTGTTTTGATGAAAGAACCTCTGTTTTCTCTTTAAAAATAAGGCGGTAGGCATATAATCACAAAAGATCTAGTAACCAGATATTTTAATAAGTTATAAACATAATATATGTCCCTCCCAAATGGAAATTAATCAAATACCTTCAGGATAAATCTCAGTATGATGATCAAGAAGTTCTATAATGACTTACAAGACAATATCCTTTCTGTCAGATTTTTTTGGAAGACGCTTAATCAAAACCTTAGAGTTAAACACATTAAATTATTCACAACTTCTAGCTTAGTTTGAAATTGAGAAATATAACACTGATGTACAATTTAATTATTCCATCAGTCTTTTTAATGTAGTGGTCAGCTTATAAGCACTAAAATACTACCTACAGAAAACTTACACATCAAATATTTCTAGCTCCTTATTGTTTGGTCACTTTATTGGTTTCTTTGAGGATCAAGTCATCAAAAGCTAACATGCTTTATCTGCAATATCATATCTGGTGTCCAGGTAACTTTGAAACAACTCAGCATATATATTTAATAAGCACTGAATATTAAATCTGGAATTTTTTTAATATTTCTCCACTGACACATGATCCTGTTATCAGAAAGTAAAGATTTCAGTTTATTTAATCATGACAACAGTTTCACTGCTTGATTTTTAGGAGTATAAAAGAAGATTTTTGAAGGTTTTAATTAATTTTGATAGATATGGTCCCTTTGGCCCAAGGGAGACAGGGACCATGAAATTCAAAATTTTTTACCCATATATAGATGTTAATTATAACAAAATTGGTTAAAATTGGTTAAAACATTCTAGAGAAGTACATTGTAGCTGAAAATGTTGAAACCCATACACAATGCATAACAGCCGACAAAAACAGATACCAAAAGGTCACCTTTACATTCGTTTTTCTTCTGTACCTATTAGTTCTATATATGGGGTCACCTAGAGTTGTAGGTCAAAAGCATCTAATAAAGCATCCAATATAAATACACCATTAGGTATGGGCATTGCCAAAAATTTTGTATCAGCTAGAATATATTGGGATCTTTTCCACAAAAATATGATAATATCATGATATTTTTACACATAATTTTTACTATGATTTTAAAAGAATTCCCATACTTTTTCTAACAATTATATTGTGAAAACATAACTTCACCTTTCTCTTTTTATTTATATACAGTCAAACCTCTTTATCTCGAACTCAATGGGACCGAGGAAAAACTTCGAGATATCCGAAGATTCGAGATATCGGGGTAAAAATTAAATACTTAAAGAATAAGGGGTTGGGACTTTCAAATTACTTCAACATATCCATGGTATTTGAGATATCAGTGTTCGAGATACCGAAGTTCAACTGTATTAATAAAGCACATTTTGATGCCTTTCTGGCAAGCTCATCAAAAACACCTCGAATGCATTTACATCACTGGATGTTAAAAATTTATATAAAATGGAGCTGTTTTCTATTTATCGAAGTATTGGATAAACGCTGTTGAAAGTCCGTTCTGTGGTATATTTTAGGTAATATCTTCACATTTAATGAAGGTAAGTTAAATACTCCACAGATAGGCAGGGTTAGAAACTCCCTTAAATTAAAACTCGCAAATAATTGCGAGTACCAAGAAAGTAAACTCGCAATTTTATGAGACTACTCGCAATTTTCATATAAAGTTAAATTTATATAAATTAAATACATGTAACTTAAGGAAAAAGTAACTACTGTACAATACACAAAATACAACTACAGTGTGACTTTTATTTAAATTACTGATTTAAATCAAAAGCATTGTGTTCTGTCATATTATATAATTTTGCTACAGTTTCAATGCAAAAAAAAAATCAACTCGCAAGTTTTTGCGAGTTACCTAATTTTTAACTCGCAATTTGGGAATTCTAACTCGCATTTTGCGAGTTGTAAATAGTGAATTTCGAACCCTGATAGGAGGCCACCCTATATTCATTTCAAATTTTAGGAGAATGGGGGCTGTCATATAAACGCCTACAGTAACACATTCTCTTTTTTTTTTTTTTTTGCTTGTCGAAGTTTTACAACATTTTGTTTTTTACATTTCTGGTAATAATCATTTGAAAGTTTGAACAAAATAATCAATTATTTCTGGAATTTATCATTATATACTAAATACAGGTATTTTGGTTTCCATATCATGATGTGTACTGCACAATAAAAAATCATCATGATATACTGGTATACTGATAAAATCGTGCATCCCTATACACCATTTGTCCATATTGGTGTGGATCAACATCCCTTATCAGCTGCTGGGAGCAGACTTAAATGCTGTCATTGATGCAATAAAAAATAAAAAATTCTCTTCTACCATCTTGAACCAACAGCATCAGCCATCAGGAAAAGGAATCAGACAAGCATCTACCGTATATACTCGCCTATAAGTCGGTCCGCCTATAAGTCGGTTGTATTTTTTAAGCTTACATTAATGGGATTGACCCGCCATAATTCCAATATTTCTATAACTCGCCTATAAGTCGGGCAAGGGTTTTTGGACCAAAGTTTAACTCCCAAAAAACTGACTTATAGGCGAGTATATACGGAATTTACATCATATGTGATAAGGATACATCTCTTGATAAGGCCTAAGTGGGAACAGTCCTAAACACTGCCCTAGCATACCAATAGACAGAGGATCAGTAAGGAAAAAATATGCTATGTAAAACAAATTCTACAAATATACAGGTGTTAAAAAAAAAAAGTGTCAGATTAATCTGTCATAAAAGATCTCTTTAATATCACAACCTTGTATATTTTTTCTATAACAAATGTTTTATTTACCTGTCATGCTTGTTAGTACCCATGTGACAAGATTATCCCTTAGGTTCAAACCATACAAAGCTTTAGATCCAAGATTAATCAATGAATAAAACCTATTCATACCCCATATTTAAATCACTAACATTTATTTTTGTGTATTCCACATTCTCAAAAAGAGGATTATCTGCACATGTCTTATACAATAGCTAGTTCAACCAGCAAAGTAATATATACTTCATCTTTAAATAAATCAAACTTCTGGGGAATTGTCTCAAATTACAGAACTCTCAATTGTCTATAATTTGGGCCACTGAATGCGCCTGTTCCCTATGCAAGATAGGTATCTCTTTTACAAACTCAATGATGTTATTTTTTCCAATTACGAAAGATACAGATAACAGTTGTAAAACATTAGAAAACCAAAATATGTTGAGATTTTATGCATGTTGATTCCCCCAATTTCAACAAAACATTCCTAATTCTAACGAAGGCCCAGTTCCTGTACCCAAAAGTGGTGCAAGAGCTATAGATAAGTACAGTAGCTCAAAAACAGACTTATTAGTAAGGACATTTCAAACAATACTTTTCAATTACCACTCTAAAGATTAAATTCTTGATATGATGGTATTTTCTATTTTAAACTTTTAAACACCATAACATTGATAAACATGGTAAATGCAGAAAAAAACCTAAATGAAACTTTTGTAATACTATTTGCTATATAATAAACATGGAAAAATAAATGTAGTAAATAAAGCCATATCTCTCACATTTCTGACTTTAGCATTGCATGTACAGTGTTACTGACCTTCAAAAATAGAATTTTAGAATATAAGATCATTATCATTTAGAATATAAGAACATTAAATCTTCCTTTTGTTTATTTGTTTGTTTTTGTTTGTTTTTTTTTTTTGTTTGCTAGTAGAATTTTTTTTTCACCCAGCTAAATTTTGCTAGTAGTCAAAGAAGTTAATTTGCTCCCTGATTTTAAAGATGTTAATAAAATTATATTTTATAGTGAACACTGTACTGACAAATTACCTGATATTATATTTGGTAAAATATGATAGAATTTAGCTTATATAGCTTTTTAGACTTTACGGAAATGCAACTAACATATGCATGATGTGACATCACAGTGTATACTGAGTGTATGAAACTTCTAACCTAAATGTGTGCTGTTTATAGATAAAAGTGCACATAAATATTTTTTATGGTATCCAGTAATAAACACACAACTGCACTCACCCCAACAGTTTCTTTTAATCTACCATAGTTTTCAAAGAGTGAATGAAGCTTCAAACTTGATAGCGAGCGCAGCGAAGCGCCGCTCGCAATGCGAGCTCTAATGACAACACCTGGGCGAAGAGAAAATTTGGAATTACACATTAATCTAAACGATTTTTTTTCCGCAGTAACTTCTGGACCCACAATGCATCCCTTGTTTAACCTACATTCTCGCGAGAATAACAACAACAGCTTAACAAAAAACAAACTCGCCATGATTTAATGGATATATTGCAGATAAATAGTAAATAAAAATGTTCTTCATTAAAGTCAACAATTTTCAGGCTTCGGTTTGATAATGTAACTTAAATACGACATCATGTGACGTCAGACTCTAGACGCACCAAATGTCATGTGCAGTTTAACGATCGAGCCCGATCTTAATTAAACCTGAATTAATATATATCTGCGCTCGCCCTAACGGTCACACCGTCAACATATTATTCTCTGGCAAATTTAAGGTTACTGAGAATAAAAATCAAACTGCACTCACCCCAACAGTTTTTTTTTTATCTACCATAGTCTGATAGTTTTCAAAGAGTGAACAAAGCTTCAAACTTGATTTTTTATAATGTTTATTGCAAATTTAAGGTTACTGAGAATAAAAATCAAACGTGGTTGACTTCTCTGTCTTCCTAATGATAAAACTATCCATTTTGATGGTAAGGAACTAATTGTATTATCAGAAATGCTCAAACATATAAACTCAGTAAATGCAATAAAAACTGAGGCAATTCGAAACAATAAAGGTAAAATCGTTGAGAATTTTCTTTCTTCTCAGAACTAAAATTTAAAACGAAAAATAAGTCCTACAAAAATATTTGAAGTAGCGAAACTAATAAATACATTAAACAGTGTAAAATAACTTACCTCCTGACTCTAAACGTATGTAATACAACCTATTGAAAATAGACGGGCACCGATCATGTTTACGAATACCGCCATTTGTATCTACGGTCTAATATTTAGGATCAGAGAAGGTATATTTACCAAAACGATACATAAACTTCTCTTTAGTGTGACAAAATATTCTTGTTTAAATAATAAAAACTGTATTTTGTATCATAAATCGTCATATTTGGTATTAAGTTTTTCAACGACTGTTCCCTCGTTCAGACTTTATCTATTTATTGTGCAATCGCGAATTTTTTTGAATCCTAAAAATAGCTTTAACCAATGAAAAATGTAAACATTTAGGCTTTACTGTTTACAGAGATAGCCAGAGATTCTGAGATATATTAATATACATTAATTGAAAGTAAGTATCTTTATTCAGATTGATGACAAGGGTTGATTCTATGTCAACGGGTACTTTTTCTATGAAGTATATAACTAACATAGATTTATTTGGTGTTTTCAAACATTAAACATTTATAATGCATCCTTGTTTTTACCACTTGTAAACACATTTTACAGGGGATGTATAGAATATATTAATTAATAATTGCACTAATAATGTTTTGATGATTTCATTATAAGAAGTTAAACAAATTTGAAACTGGGCAATTTACTCTTTCAGCGTAAAATTCTGTTCAGTATAAAGTTTAGTTACTCCCAGTATCCCACAGGTCCAGCACAATCTCTTGTTAAGCTATATAGCTTGAATTAGCTATATTAGTCAATTATCTTGTTGACCAGAATTAATTTACCTCCTATATAATTTCATTCAAGAAGTACGACTCTTAACTGTGAGGTCACAATCATTTGCTTTATAAAGCCCCAAAACTTTTAAAACTAATTAAGTATAAAGTCTCTCAAGGAGATGCAATTTGATGAGCGATTTTTACATGTAGTGTTTTCAGAAGAAGAGTTCAAAGTTGAATACTCTCACTGCACCAAAGTGCAACTTTTTCTACATGCTGAAAAATAGCACATTTAATCAAGCTATTCTGAATAGCTTAATAAAGCTATATAGATAAATCAAACTATATATCTAAATCAAGAGATTGTGCTGGACCTGTCCAATGTGTCCAAATACTGAGTGTTTGTCATTTTTTTTCCTCATTACATTTACAATTTCTCTTGTTTCTTTCATTTCAGAAATGGGGAGTTCATCTTCAAGAAATACTGAGGAATTCCAAAGGCGTTATCTTATAGGTCGTTTGGACAAAAAGTCTCAGGTGGAGCAGAAATTATACAGACTATCTCATCTAGTAAATTTAAGTGTGACATGTCAAAGCAAGGAGTCTTGTGAAAATGGTTATGCAGATACACACATGTCCCAAATAATTGACAATGTTGACTCTAGTTGTAGTGGATCACAACTTTTTAAACCTTTGCCCCTCAGCAAACCACTGTTCTCATCAGAAACTTTTGTGAATTGGAGGGCCCATTATGATGTGGAACAACTAAGGACTAAGCTCATGCGTAAAAAAGAAATCATTTATTTGATACCAATAGGGAGTTTTCCATCCTTTATCACTGATTTTGAAATTACAATAGGAGATGAAATATGCTCTCTTTTTGATCTTTTACAAATGTTTCTTGGAGTATTTTATCAAGGAATGTCTGTCATTTGGTTAAAGTCTGTTGATCCCGAAAAAGAAAACTGGAACATAACGACAAGAAATCATAAAATTACTGGGAAAAAACAACATCTTGTGTCTGATTTTTATCCTCGACTCAAGAAATGGAAGCCAAATAACTCTTATTGCATCATGGGAATTACATGGACAGATCTTTATCCAACTGAGAGTTTGAACTTTGTTCTAGGTGAAGCTTCAAAACGACACAGATCAGGTGTGTTCAGTTTTGGAAGATTTGAGCCTAAAAAATTTGATAAAGAAAATAGCAGAGATATAGAGGAAATTGATGTCCACTTATTATGGAAATTATTAAAGGTAAGGAACAGCTAAGAAGAAGAATAATTAGAAATTATTATCAATTATTTATAATTAATTGATTTTTTCAAAATGGTCATTTGAACTGACTTTTCTAGTAAGTTATCGGTCCAGGTCATATTTGACTGGCCTTGCAGACACAACTGACAATTTTTTGACAACTCTGTACCAGTACCAACACTTTCTAAATTTTATCTGGAAATTTTTTGACTAGACTTGGTCTACTTTCTTTAACTGTTTGCAATTTCCATCTTTGTTAGGTATCCAGCCATGAAATAGGACATTTGTTTGGAATCTCACACTGTGACTTTTTCCTTTGTGGAATGAATGGCAGCTCATCAGTGGAGGAGGCAATGTCACAACCCCTCTTCTTCTGTCCAGTGTGCCTCAGAAAGCTCCAGCATGTCTGTAAATTTGACATTGTTCAACGATACAGGGATCTTAGACAATTCTTTTATAACTTGAATAAGGCAATGCCTTGTGAAAATTTTCAGCAATGTGTACAATGGTTAGACAGCTGTTTACAATTTTTATTAGGTGATGCTTAAAGTTGAATAACCTGAATTGTCCATAACTTTGTGAACTTTATAATAAACTAAATATTGATTACTGAGTAGTGAGTAATCTATTTTTTTTACTCTTTTCAGAGACAGCTATGGCAATTTACCATTTTCTCTTTTACATGTACATGTACTACTTTTGGGTCAACATTTTCTGATGCCCAAAGGCATATCAACTGACAAGGTTTGATGATTGTAAGTTGATGATTCCAAGTTTAAAACACTTGACAATGAATAATGATAAAATTAAAACCTACTTTTGTATTGACACATCCCTGTGCCCAAGGTTAATTAACTTTCAAAGTTTGGTCATCGGGTACGTCATAATGCTCAAAATGTAAAGGTTAAAACTTAAAAGATTTCAAAAAGTAGACATAAAAATCTCTTAGGGCTCTTACTTGCCAGGCTTAAAAAAATGACAATGAATAATAATAAAATGTCAAAAAGTAGGTATCTATGACATACTTTGGAATAAACAAATCTCTTAGCCCCATGCAAGATGCATCAACAGGTTTGGTGACCTACATGTCAACATGTACAGAAAATATAAGATAAAAGATCATAAGATGATAAGCCATACAATTCAGAAAGTATGACACTGTCCTGTGTTTCAGTTGACACAGTCTGAAGCCTCAAGATGTATCAGCTTACAGGATTTGATGATTCTATGGTTCTTAAAATCTTATCTGAAATGTTTGAAAATGAATAGCCATATATTTCAGAAAGTAAGTAACTGTGTCCTACTTTCTTACGCCCCGAAATGCATCACGTGACAAGATTTGATGAATGTCCAAAATATGCACCAAAAACAATTTGAAACTGAATAACCGCAAAATTAAAACAAGTACGTTGTTGTGACCTACTCTACAGTCAACATATCCATGCGCGGATCTAGAGGGGAGTCGGGGGGGGGGGGGGGTTCCAGACCCCTCCCTGGAATTTGCAAAGTCATTCAAAGTATATACTGAAGCAAATAAAAATGACTTTGGATCCCCCCCCCCCCCCCAGAAAATGTGGACCCCACCATCATCACCACGAAATAGGTATTTTTTACGTTTAGAAATGGACTTGATGGGTTTTTTTTTCTTTTTTGTGCTTGTCAGGAAATTTCTGGATTGAATTTTTTTGACTGAGTTGGACCCCCCCCTTGGAAAAAAATTCTGGATCCGCGCCTGATATCCCAAGGCCCCGAGGCACTTCGACTTAAAAGGATTGATGATTCTAAGCCTCTAAGTATCCAAGCCAAAATAATCTGACAATGAAAAATAATTTCAAGAAGTAGGTCACCCTGACCTACCTTGGAACTAACAATCACTAAGCCCCAAGTTGCATCAGCAATTTAGGTTTGGTGACTGTTAGTGTACACAATATATATATATATAGGTTAAAAGATTTTGAAATGAAAATGATAAGCTGTAAATATCGGAATGGAGGCCAGAGTGTGTTTAAGATGACACAATGTGAGGCCACAAGATGTACTAATATCAGGTGACAAGATTTGAAGCTTGAAATTGTCAATAATATGCATCTAAAACAAGTTCAAATTGAAAAGCTGCAAAATTAAAATTAGGAGGTCGCTATGACCCACTTTAAAGTCAACATTCTTCAAGGCCCAGAGGCAGATTAACTGACAATTAAGGTTTGATGATCCTAACCTTCTTAGTATTCAGACTAAAAGGTTTGACACTGAAAAATAATTTTAAAAAGTAGATCACTTTGACCTACTTTGGAACTAACAAATCCCTAAGTCCCAAGATGCATCAACAATTCAGGTTGGTGACCCCACATGCCATCGTATACAAAATATATCAGAAAACGGATCATAAAATGAAATTGATAAGCGGTAAATCTCAGAAGTGGCCTCAGACTGACCTATATTTTAGTTAAGGAACTTTTAAATTAAACAGGGAATAAGAAATTTAAGTTCAAAACTACGTTGCGTATGTCCTTAACACACTCAGGGGCCCCAAGATGCATCAACTTACAAGATTTCATGATTCTCAGCCTCTTAGTATTTTAGCTGAAAGTTTGAAAATAAAATGCAACTCTTATTATATACTCCAGTAATTCAAATAGTAAGTCACTGTGACCTATTTTTGAATTCACAAACTTGAGGCATCAGGTGACAATGTTTGATGATCATAGGCTTTACACTGTCCAAACTATGCACTTAAACAATTTGAAATTTAATAGCTGCAAAATTAAAAAGATCTGTCACAGTGACCTACTTTTGGATAAATATATCCCAAGATGCTTTAACTGATAAGGTTCAGTAATCCTTAGCCTCTTAAAGAAGAGTTCAAATTAAACAGGTTTGACAATAATAATGATATACAGTCAAACCTCCTAATCCCGAACTCATTGGGGTCGAGAAAAGACTTCTTCCAAGGGTTCGAGATATTGAGGGTAAAATACTTAAAGAAAAAGGGCTTGGGGCTTTCAAAGCACTAATCGGCATATCCAGGGTATTCGAGATATCGAAGTTCAGCTGTACTAGTAATTCAAAAAATAGGTCACTATGATATACTAGTACTTCCTGGGGCCCCACTATGCATCAACTATATAGGCTTGGTGGCCCAACAGATCATAGTGTTTAAAATAAATATATAGGTTTATAAACGTAAACGTATGTCATTTATTGAACGTAACGTTAAACGTACGTTTTTCATACGAAAAAAATCTTACGACAATCTTAGGACTACGATAAATCGTAAGATTTTTATTAATTGTGAATAGATCGATGTCCAGACCTGAGGTCAATTACTTTGAAATGTAATTAATTAAATTACAATTACTTTGGAATTTTTAACATTACAATTACCATTACCATTACTCTCATTCAGAAAAGTAATTAATTAAATTACAATTACTTTGTCAAAGTAATGAATTACATTACACATTACATTTTATAAGAGAAAAAAAAATTATGACTACACAATTTATATCCATAAATTAACTTTCTCACACTTTGTGCTCGGTTAATAATACTTTCAGGTCTATAAGTCAGAGTGGTATTTGGATTTTTGATTCATTTATCATGTTCATGTAGTTTACCAATCTACAATTGACAAAGAAAGTGGATCAGCTAGAACACTTTCAATGTTGTAGTTTTGTTTAGTCTCTGATGTTAGTTCTTCTTTTTTTTTTAATAAATGATAAACATTTCATACTTAATGTTTTATGTAAAGTGATATTTAATCAACAGATAATTCTATATTGTAAAACGAGTATGTATTAATAATTCAATTAATTGGCCCTCGATCATAATTAGCTGAGCAGGCATAATCAATGAAGATATAAAAACACAATCAAAGGTGATAATTACTGGTACCTAGATATAGGGTTGGAAGTTAGAGGTGACTCTCAAGCTACCAAAAATGAGGATGGACAATATCAATACATGTATTTACATTTGGCCTTTGTTTCCATTTGTGTCTTCAAGAAGATCATACTGATTTTGCTTTCCAAGTCCATTTTACCAGAATGAACTTTGTGAAAAAAAAAATCAAGTTGAAAAATATCGTATCTTAATTGGTAGTCACAGTATAGTACATGTATTAATGTCACTTGTTTTGTGGCTATCTTTGAAACCTAATGATTTCTTTTAATATTTTTTTTTCTGGCTTTCTTATATTGTTTTTATAACTGTCTTGTCTTGAAGTTTTCTACTAAAACAATTATTCAGTATATTGTCTATCAATCACCATTGGATAAACATTTAAAAAAAATATTAAGATATAGGATTTTAATTTTAAGACTTTAACATTATAAATTTGAAAAAAAAAAATCTCAATGGCCTTGCTTTGTTTAAAATTCAGTAATAAAAAGATATTAAAATACAAAATGTAATTGAAATGTAATTGAAAAGTAATGGTCATTACTGACATATTTTTAAAGTAATGCATTACATTACAATTACTTGTAATTGAAAGATGGATCCATTACACATTACACCCAATTACTTTGAAAAAATGTAATGATTACAATGCATTACCATTACACATTACCATTACCCCAGGTCTGTCGAAGTCCTGTTTTTTTATTTTTATTTTTTTTTTTTATAAAAACAGCTGTGATGTTGAGTGTTTTTGTTTTGTGCAAGCAAAAAAAAAAATTACAAGTGGTGAATAAATTTTTAATCAATATAAATAGTTTATAGTACAAGAGCGATTTTATTTATCGAAGTCCTTGGTCAGTTGACTTCCTTATGTTTCTGATGCCAGTATTCGTGTGGTTTTTCTGTGTGATGATCGTCATCTTCGTATTCTTTCGTTCTGCATAAAAGGCTGAATCCCATGGCAACTCCCGCCAAAATTCCAAGAGCGCCACCTGTCGAAGACAGCGCTAATGACCAACCCGGCACCCCGTCTTTAGTTGCCATTGCAAATCGTTCAGTAAGTCCTGCCTTCTTTTTCACAAATAATACAATACCAACAATGATCACAGCACCTGTCAAATATATGATTTGTTAAGAAGTAAGTTTAGCTAACGTGATGATTAATGATATCCGTATCGTGTCGTATAATTCATGTAATTATTAAAAAAAAGTTCGTTTCATCCACGTTGTAATGGTTGCTGACTGCAAAAGATGGAGAGAGGGTGTCGCGTTTATTCAACTGAAGAAATGCCAATTCACTGTAAAAGAACGCTCTCGATCTATATCGATCCTGACTGAAAATTTGAGAACATCTTAAAATAGTGCCGCATCGATAATGGAAAGCGAAAACACAAACATGCATGCATTCTTTTCTTTCTTCACTAGTTCATTTTTTTTTAATCAAAGCACGGGAATGGGAAAATGTATTGACATTTTGGGACCCCAGTCGTAAAGAAAGAAAGAGGTACGTTATGCACCAAAATCCGTCCATTCCCCAAATATGATGATAATATTTATGTAATGTGTCTTAGATACTCCTATTCTAAATTAATTATTTTTTTAAATATCTCAAACCATTTTCCCTACACAACTCTCTAAAAAATGCAACGTTTTCTTAAGAAAATACACTGACGACTTCATGATGTCAACCCGACGCGTACGGAATAGTAGATTTTTTAAAACCTTAAAAATAGTATTCTTTTACTCTAGTAAGTTTTCTTTTCCTTTTTTTATTTAACATATTCTAAAACTTTCAGGTTCTTTTTTTCTTTATATGAATTTATACTGTAAATTTTGATTTTATTTTAGAATTATCGTGGGTCATTTTTTGAAGAAAAAAAAACTATTTCATCAAGAAAGCAAATTGAACATATTTATTGCAAGAATCATTTCCCTTCTCCATTTCCCTAACATTCATAATATGAATTAAAATACTAAATTAAAGTTTTGAAATATACAGACCATACAATCATGTTTACATTTTATTTATTTACTTATTAAGTATATACAGTAGCAAAAGATGACGAATATCAATTCAACATGAAAAATGGTTTATGGTTTTATGGTTTATGGTTTCACTTCATGTACATGATGTATAAGGAAGATTCCAAACAATATCTAAATTCTGTCATTTCTGGCTTTTGAGTTGTTCTTAAACAGATTTTTTAATGATTAATTGGTCCTTCATTAAAGATATTCTTCAGCCAATGTATTTTTTTAACGTTTGAATGAAACGGCATTTTTGTTCTTGAGAAGTTTAAAACGCGATAAGTTAACATATGATGCAAGAAGACGGAATAAAATGGATAACTATAGACTTAGAATTTTGCATGTATACATGTATTTGAAAATTGTAAGTAGCGACACAAGTTACAATTAGCATAGAGTTTCATATAAGATTCTGCAGAAACAGTTATCAATTAAATTGTTTGTGCAGTTCATCCTTTTTCTCGGCTTTGTTGAGTATCAAAACACAATGATTTTTTATTCATAAACTAAATTTGATATTGGTTATTGAGAGACGGAAAAACACAGATACCAGTCTATCAGACATATGTACCCCCCCCCCCCCCTGGAGTTCCCAACAAACATACACAGCCCACCCAAAACGAAATGTGAGGTATTGCACGCACATATTAATCTGAGGTCTCGTTTTTCAATAATATGTAATAAGAAATAAATGGAAAAAAAATAACCATATAAGACTTTGTTTTCATGAGGAAATGGGTTACAAAATGCGCAAGCATGATAGAGTATATTCACCATCAATTTTGTTTTCAAAACTTTTTAAAAGGGGGGGGGGGTTCCATTCATTGGGTGTCTGTAAGAAGAATGCTATAAAGCTTACCACCCGTGTGTGTTTATAAAGATTCAGCGCCTGGATGCGGTGAAACCGGAGGGGACTATAGGTTTCCTCTAAGTCTGTCCGTCCGTCTGCCCCTCTGTTTGTCAGTCTGTCCCACTTGGTTTTCCGCACTTTTTTTCTAAACGCTTGCAGATATTGAGCTGAGTTTTGTTATGTGACTTTACCTTGATGAGTTATAGATCAAGTTTGCATATCCTTCCGCTTCATTGATTTTTGACGGAATTACAGCATTTTCAATTTTTAACGGGAACTTGCCGATAGGGGACTAGTATTGCTAATGCAATTCTCTCAGAATGCTTGTATTGAATTGTTTTTTTTTTAAGGAAAAAGAAATGAGAAAAAAATATCTGTTTTATACGTATGCACCTTAAAAATGCCATTTAATATTGATATAACAGCTCTATCATAAAAAAGAGCAATTAACTATAGATGGTTAAAATCTTACCTGCCCCACTTAAGACGACAACGTACAGTTTCTTGATGACGTCAACATTTAGATCTCGTATTCCTCTGTATATCAGTAATATGGCAACCGGAAGTGAAAGTGCATACAGTGCCGCTGACACCGCCTCTATTGCGGCTACCCCGAGTAGCCAAGCTAAAAGACAAATCCATTTTGAACTTTATATTTGTATTGCCAAATCTTTTACCATTTTGACAGACCATAATAAAATAAGGAAAATTAAGCAATCTTTTCATGCATTAACTATGTGGTAAAAGTTTGTTCTACTGTGATAAACTGATAATTCAATTATCATTTTTACCATTACACGTGTACGTACATAAATTGGGTATCGCCAAAAATTTCGTATCGCGATATATCACGATCCCCCCCCCCCAATATCACGATATTTAACAAGCAATTTTTACAATGATTTCAAATGAATATTCATAATTTTTCCTAAAAATGTGCTGTAAAAACATAACTTCATTTTTTCCTTTTTTTAATTTACATAAAATAAAGCATGTTTGGATGCTAAGATGCCGTTCTTTTACCGTTCTCAACATTTTTTTTACACTTACTGTAAAAGTAATTTGAAAGTTTGAACAAATAAATTAATAATTTATGGAATTTATCATTATGTACCTAAATACCGGTATTTTAGTTTCCGTATCACGATACGTATCACGCAATTAAAAATCACGATATACCGATAAAATCGCACATCCCTAATAAATGATTTAAGGAATGTTTTACTTATTCCACGAATTTTAATAATTCATGTTTCGATTTTGAAAATCTTATTTTCTAATTCCATTATTCTTTCAGAAAAGATCGATGTTTTTGAATAAAGTGGTACCGTATATGTATACCAAGTTCTCCAGAAAGATTCCTAGACGACACAGAGCAGACATCATCTCTACACGTGCGGGTCCACCAAAGTCCGAAAGACGTGCTTTCAATAGTTCCATTGGGAAACTCGTCCGTTAATTTCCACCATTCCGTCGTGGATATTCCGGTAATATGAAGTCCAAAACTCAAAAAAGCCAGAAAAGAAAAAACTACCTCTGCTGGACGCAACATCGCCTCAACCCTTGCGTTAACTGTTTAGGGATATGATGTCTACATAGAACGCTCTGGAAATGTTAACAAAATTCTACCTTATCTGATTGAGAAATTTACGATGCTTAGCGGGAATGTATATGTGTCTTTACATTTAACGTCACGTGACAATGCGAAGGCTACGTCCAGTTCCTGCAATTTATAACGTCCATTTCGTAGGTGTTATTTACAAGCTCTTGACTAATATGAATAAGACAATGTCGGTGTTGCATTGACCACTATCAGGGTAAATATTTACTATTTTTGCAGGACATTGAATACACTGTAAGAAGCATATTGGTTTTAGCAAATATTGGATTAAAGAAACGGCAAGATGACACACTATTTCTCAAGAGTGTTTTAAGACAAGTGCTGAGTGCTGGTATCTTATAGTCTTTTCAACAAATATAACCTCAGACATGTTAGTGTCTAACATTTATTACTAGTATATTGTGTATATGTATGTCAGTTTTATATATCTGGATTAAAAATTTTGGAGAAAATTAAGACGACTTGAAATCATTAGGCCATCATTGAAAAAAATATTTGTTTCCCCTAACCCGACCCTAAAATTTGAAGTTGGGTAGGTAGGTAGGTAAATATTTTTTTTTTCTGACAGCAGCTTTGAAAATACATTCGGAATTTCTGATAAGAATGGGTTTTCATGAAATTGTACTTTATAAAAGTTGATAAACATTAAAAAAAAAAATATTTGAATAATCTTCTTATTAAAAAAAAACTTTTCAGTCGGCGGGATTTAATTGGGTCGGTCGCGTTAGGGGAAACAAAAAGGTATTTTTTATTTTGGCCTTAACACTCTTTTAAAACAAGCATTCGACGTACACGTATACAGGAAAAATCTTGCCAGCTAATAGTAACCGGACCCTAGCTTGATGCAGCAAGAGGAATTCTCATTTGTAAATCAGTAACCTTTCCAAAAATAGCAGTATTAAGTAGAGAGGTGGGATAGAATTAAACTAAGCGCAAATATTTTACTTCTGATCCATATCAACCGAATGCCACCTGATTTCAACATTCAAAGCAAAGACAGTTGTAAATCTTCTTGAAAAGAGCACGCTTATCGTTTGTGATTTCTGGGAGGGATTCAGTTAAGTACCACCAGATCACAGATATTTACGACTGAAAAAGAACAACTTAAACTGAATTTATGGGTACTTGAATTACAGAATGAATGGTGTATCAACAAAATTGGGACCACTTGTAAGTCTTTGATGTACTTTAAAGATTCAAAATATATGACGTCATTGTCTCGTAGAAGCACTTTAAAATATAGTTATTTAAATGTATATTCAAACCCACACTTTCTAAATAAAGTTCGGATAAATTTTTGTCATCCAAGTCCACACTACCGGTTTTTTCTTCGATCCTCAAACCTCTCTTACATTTTCAGCAGTAACCATTTCATCTTTTGGAATGTGATTGGTGGTGTCCTGTTGGTGTGCAATAAGGTTTTGGAGTTCTCTTTGTCATCCTCGGGGCAAAGGGGGGGGGTTAAAACAACTTTTTTCTACAATAGCCATATTCAGAGTCCTCTTCTCACGTTTTAAGAACTATAATCGAATCATCTTTTGGAATATGATTGGTTGTGTCCTGTTAATGCATGTGCAAGTTTAGTCTTGGGGCCAATTGTTGGACAAAAGCATTTTTGTTCAAAAACCATGCTACCAAAACATCTATGACATTTTACGCACTGGGATCTTATTTTCCGAGATCTATTTGGTGGTGTCTTGTATATATGTGCAATAATGTTCCAGAATATTCATTGTCATTCTGGGGGGAAATTGGGTGTTAAAAACGACGATTTTCTACAAAAACCATCTCTCTCTGTTTAGAATTCCTCTCACATTTTCAGAAGTAGCTATATCAAATTTTGGAATATGATTGGTGATGTCCCATAGGGTTTGGAATTTGATATATACTCTCTGAAACGCCTTTTTTCAAAAACCTTTCCAAAACTCATTTTTAATTATCGGTATTTTATGGAATGCTAACATAAGAGGCCCATGCAGGGACCAAATCCTCTGCCTCACCTGAAAATTTTTAAGACGCTTAATTTGATACATGAGTACTTGATATTAAAATTATATTACAGTTTCTTTGCTAGTTATCAATGTAGGAATCAAGGAGAGCACACTTATAGACAAACACTAATGTGTGTGTACAAATTGCTCTTATCACATCTATTTTATTATCTTAATACAGAAAATATTGAGAAGGGTTTCGGAGGTGAGCTGAAAACACAATTTTCGGAAAAAAAAGCTCTATCACATGTTTTGAGGCCGTGTTATCTTTTCTAAGGATATGAATACGGTAAAGTATAATTTATGTGACAAAGCAAACCAATATTTATTTAAAGATTATATTTACATTCGTTTAATATTGTTTTTTTTTTCTATTGTATCAAAATTTATTTTCTCAGTTTATTACTGTGGCATTGTATTTACAGAAGAAACATCCATCACTTCTGTGGTTTCGAAGAAGACTGATCGAGATTTTGCGATTTTTCAGGTGAAAATGCGTGGAAAAAAAAACACTCTGTGCACACATTTGCAGTGTGAAACAGGTTTACCGTACATTTTGTATGAGGGAAATCTATTGTGGATTGTGACTGTTAACTCTAGATGTTTTTCCAGAGAAAAAGCTAAATTATTTTGAAACAATACATTATGTACATTGACCTTGACCCAAAAAATTACCTTCAATCAAAGTCAAAATATGCATGTACTTTCTGGTGAAGTGAAGTTAGATTAATCTAACTTTGTCTCGGGAGAAGCCTTCACCACAGTTAGAATACGTCCCTTATAGCTGCAAAGTAGCAAATCGGAGCAGATCCGCTCCAAAATGATTTTGAAGAATACAAAAGGAGTTGTACTGAAATTGTCACAGTAAACCGGGTCCGCAGGACAATATCATTTTAATGATAGAATGTTCTATGTAGGTGAAGTGTCACTTATTTATACTGCTTGATCTCAGATAGACCGAGTAAAAAGGTAGAAAAACAGTTAAAATGACCTTGAACTTGATTATTTGACCTTGGTGAAAGACCTTCCTTCCACCTATATAAAGAAGACGGGTGAACAAGGCGGGCGAAGTGCCTATAGTGCGACAAACATGAAGTGAAAAATAAAATCTCAATTATATCAAAATTTTCTTTGATATTTCATCTAATATTAAAATATATTTTATGTAAAATCCCTACAATTTACAAAAATCTCACAAAGACTGCAATTATTTGCCTTTGAAATAACATATACACACTAAAGAGGACAAAAAGGACCATTTTCTCATACTTTAACAAAATTTTTCGATATAAGTGCATGGGTCTTCGCTCCATTTTTTTGAAAATTAGTCCTGAAAGTTTGCATTAAAATAAACATTTTTTATTTTACAAAAACATGGAGCAAAGACCCACTAAACGTTAAAAGTACACTTTTATGGCAAAGCATTCGCATCTTTCCGAGAAATACTTGAAGTCCATTAAGGTCAGACGACACGTTACTCAATTATATGTTTTGTATACCTTGGTATTATATCAAAAATTATTCATAATTGTCATTCTCTTGTGATTTCTTAATTGTTTTCAATATGTTTTAAAAAATAAGTACACCAGAAATTGTAACACTGGCAATTCAAAAGATTACCTATATGGATTATATAGGAAATATCACCCTCTGGTATCTTGCCCAAATGCCTGGTAAGGTACCTCAATTTTTGGTGAGGAAACTTGTTTAAGTAGCAATACTTCAATGACAAATTCTTGGAAAAAATTATATATTTTTGAGGAATGTGTCGTCTGACCTTAAGTAAAGGGTCATATCATAAACAAGATTTAAATGCCCCAATTCGTCAGGAGCTGTGTAGCGTAGTGGTTAGCGTGTTAGTCTCAAAGCAATATGATACAATATGATATGATTTTTATTGCTAGGGTTCGAATCCCAGGAATACCATTTTATTTTTTAATAAAAGAATAATTTTTCCGAGATCTTTTTTTTTTCTCAGAAAAGATTTGTTGAACTTAATTTCATAAATTTCAATAATGAGAACTTTACTTTAAATACTTATTCACAAATTGAATTTGATTTTTCAATATCTGAAGCTATAGGCATTCTGCACGCCTTGTTCACCCATCTTCAAATTTCTTAACGTATCATATCAAATAGGCCCGACATACGGGTATTACAAGCCAGTCGGTCAATCTTGTTCGAAAGAATTATCAACCCAAAAACAAATGAGTTAAGCAACGGACATCAAAGATCTTATATATATTCTTAGTACCCCACCTTTTAATTGAAACTATAAACAATTCAGTGCTCAAAAACCTGACCAGGATTATTTTTCTTTTTCATTAATATAACATGTTGACGTAAAAAATGCATATTTAGAGAACACTTATTTCAGAATTTATTTACTCTTAAATTGTCATTCAATATTTGAAGATGAATCAGTGTACATGGCAATTATTTGTCAGGCACATATACTGAATTTTGGAAGAGCGATGATATAATGCAAGGATTAAGTAAACAATATCATATTGTCCCCACAGCTAAACCGAGGTGATCGCTCTAGCCTGCACGCTAGTTGAACGCTCCAGGAAGGGATCCTTTGGTGGAGGGGGTTTAAAGTCCATGTTTATTATCAGTCCAACAGCAACGATTTTTGACAACACAAAGGTGAAGGACAAAAACATGACTGGTAGAGTGTGGGGACGAAGTATCTGGTCCTTGTTAGGGTAGGAGAAAATGGCAGAGAAGCCGATTGACAAGTTCTTAATGCGGTCCATTGTCACACATGAGGCAATGAAAAACAAAAGACCTGCAAAATGAAAAAAAATTGTATTTTAGTCCATGTATTTTGTGAATTTGTATCGTATTTTTATGAGAAACTTACTGCTGGGGGGGGGGTGTAAAGCCTGCTTGTCGTGATGAAATGTTAAATGAAAATTTTCAGTAATCTCTGAAATAACGTATAGCAAGTTGGACAGTAATTAGGAAAGATGGTGTTTTACACGGCATAAGGGTTCAACAATTATCATAACTACCAATGACACTTTCCTAGGGGTCGTATGGAAGGGGGTAAGAAAGACTATAAACGCCTATCCTTGCAAACATTTTTGTTAAGGACATCCGATCCTCAGCCAGGAAGAATAACTCCTAAATTTATTAGTCAAAATGAAGCTTGAAAATGAGATTTTTTTTGTGCAACAATTTTCATTTTATGCATCGCAATATGATTCAAGGTTCTTTGAAGTCTTAGAAGCAGTCTGTTAAAAAGTTGACATTTGTATCCCATAAAAGAAAAAAATAATTTTTAGAGAAATCGAATTCCCTTTAATCTAGTATTAAATACCAATGCTTACTGGTATTAAAATGATATGAAATAAGACGTTATCTTTGATGTCTAGCAATGATAGCACAAGCACTTTACACTATGTATTATATAACAATTGAAGTAAATTTGTGTCCGGACACCATACTGAATACCTATATTTTATCCTGAAATATATTTGTTAATCTGTTTTCAGTTAGAAAATGCATAGCTAGTGTTTTTATTCGCATTTCCTGAAAATATATTTGAGATTTGATAATGTTCCCTATATAATATGATTAATTTTAATGATGAACTTTGAAGAAATACCATGGGTAAATTCACACTACTCTGTGAAATCAGAGACATTTTTGTGAGCATTTTCAATTACTTGAAAGCTAATTTTCAGAACCTGAGGATCGGAGTATCTAAAATCAATTTATCTCTCTTTAGATATGAGTGCAAAGCCTGACCCTCGCCTTTTTTCCATGGAGGTTGGATAACGACTATTTGGTTATTATAAAGTACAGATTGACTATCAAAATATTTTGGGATAAGCACCCTCCCCACTCAATGTGGCATCAATACGAATAGTGTGTTGCCCTAACCACCCATCCTCCTCATCATCATAAGTTTGCTATAGATGTGTGTCATCATTATTGGAAAATTGTTGTATATCTTACCAGCAATAAACATTACGACCACGGCGAATTTCTTGGCTGTAGGACTTTTCTTCCAGAGGTAGATTATCTGTATCACTAGGCCCACGAAAAGGAGGGTTGTCGAAAAGGAACAGATAATGCGGATAAATTTTATCCAGCCTGTAAAAGGAACACAGACGTAAATGTAATCACTAGAAGCTGACATGCGAAATTTATCATCTTTAAACTTGAGTAAATTCTTTGTTGTACAGAGATGATGTACAAGAAAGTAAAACGAACTGTAGATATGAGTGCATGGTCTTGTAAAATTGTTTTACAGAACATGCTCTCGGTAAAATTGTAAATGATATAGATGTCCTTATTTCGAGTTCATGTAAATATAAATTTTCATTTCCACCATAAATTTGTCAGTGACCTACCATTGTTATCGGCATCCTCCTGGAAGCACGCATATGTCGACACACCGGTCACTCCAATGGACGTTTGACCGCATGTGACACTGGCCCATAGCCCAAGGTTTATGGTTGTTGTTGAATTTACATCCATCTCCCACCAGAAATCCAACAAAATACCCAGTAAGGCCAAAATAATGGCCAAAACGGTAACAATTGCCATGATTTTATCCTTGAAGTATGTATTCATTCGTTTGGAGGGCATTTTTGAGGTTGTTCTTGTTAATTCACTTCAATTTCTCTCTCTGAATGAAACAAAAGTCATGGGCAATTTGTAGAATAGGAACACAAAACAGGAAGGAAATGGTTTGTCACCGTCTATAAGTACATGTACAGCTTATAGCATGTAAGCTCTGTACGTGTTCATAATGATACTGTATATAAGAAAGGAAGTAAGTAATTGAGGCTTCGTCTACATCCAACAAAGTGAGAAACATTCCGATAATCCTGAAAACGAACTACAGCTGCCTCATGCTGATTTTTTTTAACCCTATATTGACGACATGACTATAAAATCTCCAAACATTTATCTTAGGGGTGCTGATTTTTCCCGGTCCTACTTATGGATTGAAGGTGAAAATATGTTAATCTGTATCTACTAAGCGAGAAGTAACAAATTTATCATGTTGCAAAGCAAGATACGTGCACAACTTGTATTCCCCCTTTTCAGTCAAAATACAAGAAATGTTTGTAGCTTTTCCCTCCCTCCTACTTTAAAATGGAGAAAAGTCTAGCTAGCTCCACAGTTTGCACAATGTTAGGCGAAGACAAGAGACATGCGTGCCCCCTCCCTTTTTTTCCAATGTTATGTAGATGAGCAGTTTCTCCAAAATGCATGACAAAAACTCTCCTTTCCCTTTTAATGAAATTGGATTCAAGAGGCGGTGAATATGATTTGTTTCGTGAGCTTGTCAACACATTTTTGTACCCCCCCCCCCCCCTTAAAAAACAAACAAACAATTTTGACAAGCTCTGTTCTTACATTCCTGAATGAATATGGACTTAATTTAGAAAGATTATACAATTTTGTAATCATATGCAACACTGCAAACAAACCTTTTTAGTTGTATAAACAAGCGTAACTTTATATAGTCATATATATTAAGTATTTCAAATTACCATAAATACATTTTTGCATTTTTTTTTTTCAGAATCAAACTACCTGAATTTTGCAGTGATTTTTTTAAACCAAAAAGAAAAAAAATGTTTCAATTAATATTTTTTCGAATTAAACCTGGACTTTAAAAACATTATATTTGCTCCATGTTTGCTTAAATGGGTCCAGAGGTATATGCATCCATTTTTACCGTTTTCTGCATGTCTTAGATTTCACTGGTGACATAATTAAGGTACTACCACCCCTTGTTTTTCTATTTTGAACCCATACAATTGTAGGGCCCCTACAATTTTATGGGTTCAAAATAGAAAAACTGCATTTATTTTCATTGAAAAACCCTTAAATTTTTAGTAAAAAGCATTGCTATTGTGTAGAAACTGGTTCAAATACATAACCTAATACTGAAAGTTCAAAATTAACTGTTACTCTATAAATATGTATAAATTGTGAGTATCAGGGAATTAAACTATTTTACAGTAGAAGTACAATAGAGAAAATGTCTGAAACATAAGTAAGAGCCCTTACACCATTTTTTAAAGATTAAATAATTTCAAGATTGAATAAAGAAAATATTTTCGCTAAATTAGACCTTTTCGCTTTGCGTTATTACGCCTTTGAACCCCCCCCCTTCCGATTAATCCGAATAAACCTTTGGATAGCCTTTGGATAAAAGAGAAGAGAAGAGAGTGATGCAGCCACAGGTGCTTGGGGATGGGACCCCCCCCCCCCCGTTGTTCCTCCGTACCCCAAGGGTTCTTTGACTTTTTTAAATAAAATATTTTTCTATGACACATTCACAAAGTATTACAACTGAAATAACAACTGAAGGGGGGGGGGGGGGGTCCCGTCCCCAATCACCTGTGGATGCAGCAGGAAACAAGATGTGTTTGTGAAACACTGATGCCCCCGTATGGCAACTTATTGCAAAGGTTAAACTTTCTCAAATGCAAATCAAATATGTTGGTACCCAAAGTAAGGTCTTGTCTCGAGAAATATACCTGTGAAATATGAAAGCCCTAGCAGCAACCATTGATCAGACATGGAAAAGGTTAACGTTTTTTCAAAAGTATGTCAAACATCAAGGTCAATGTCAAATGGTAAAAATTAATGGTACCCAAGGAAAGGCCTTCTCCCGAGAAATATACAGGTGAAATATGAAAGCTGAAGCACCAATCGTTCAAAAGTTATGACCAAGGTTAAAGTTTTTTCAAAAGTAGGTCAAACTCTAAGGTCAAGGTCAAAGTGTCAAAGTTGTTGTTACTCAAAGAAAGGTATTGTCACAAGGATTACATATGTGAAGGATGAAAGCCCTATCACCAACCGTTCAAAAGTTATGACCAAGGTTAAAGTTTTTCAAAAGTAGGTCAAACTACAAGGTCAAAGGGTCAAAGTTGTTGGTATCCAAAGGAAGGTCTTGTTAAAAGGATTACACATGTGAAGTATGAAAGCCCTAGCACCAACCGTTCATGGCCAAGGTTAAAGTTTTTCAAAAGTAAGTCAAACTCCAAGGTCAAAGGGTCAAAGTTGTTGGTATCCAAAGGAAGGTCTTGTCACAAGGATTATACATGTAAAGTATGAAAGCCCTAGCATTAACTGTTCAAAAGTTATGGCCAAGGTTAAAGTTTGGTAAAATTTTGCAAAACTGAGTCAAACTCCAAGGTCAAGGTCAAAAGGTCAAATATGATGGTACACAAAGAAAGGTCTTGTCACAAGAAATACACATGTGAAATATGAAAGCCATAGCTCCAACCAATCAAAAGTTATGGGCAAGGTTAAAGTTTTTGCGGATAAACAGACAGACAGACGGACGGACAGGGCAAAAACTATATACCCCCGAATCTTCGATACAGGGGGATAAAAAAGTTTTGACATGTAGACCAATGAACGACTTGTCTGAACTTGTTTATTTCGAAATATTTCCTGCACGACTTGATTTTTATTTACAAAAATCGTCGACCAAATGGCGAAACATGACGAATCAACAGTTGTTTGTGTAAAAAGTAAATGGGAGCGAGGAACATAGACCCAATACGTGTACGTATTTAAAAGTGATCATTGAAATATACTTTTCTGCATTAAATTTGTGCCGTCAGTATATTTGAATGAAGTGTTGACGTGTGAAATAAGTACTACGTGTTGCATGTCGGTTTGGTTTCGGTATAGTGTAAATAACTTTACCGGGTTCTATTTATAAATCATATCACATTTCACCGAAACTGCGCCATAAGGAAGTATTTGTCTGACTCAAGAACACTTTATAGTTTTAGAATAAGTTCAGTTATACGCATACTTGATGAGTGAGTGCTGCAGCTTCTTTTTAGACTGTTAGATTTGTCACTTGTATGATACCAGTCAGTGTTGATAATAGATCTATTGCATCATCATTACAAATTTCTACTGCTAAGCTGATATATAGCCCTATAGTTTTTATTGAAGCATTTAGTCGACATGGAGATGCGATTTCAGAACCAGATGATGAATGTATGGAGGAGACATCGCATTCGTCACGCACAAGAAATTTTCCCTGTTCGCCCAGCAGAACCAGGAAAACCACGTTATGAAAGGGTTATTGTGGATGGTGACATTGTAAGGTACAGCTGTTTTTAACCTTTTTCCCTTTTAAAATTTAACAGTTACAAATTGCTCAAATTTTTCACATTGTTGATGTAAAAGTGGTTACATGTTTTAAATTAACATTGTATAACAACTCAATTTTATTTTTGGTTATCCATTTTTAATTAAAGTATAAAATATCAGAGTGGGGTATTTTGAGAGGGTTGAATTGGGATGAGAATCGAAATATTAATTTCAGGTGGCCTGTTTAAATAAATTTTACATGAAAGGAAAATAACAGATGTGATGAATATGTACATAATAAACATGATAAAGAATAGAGTCTTGAGTTGGTACAGGTGTATAATTTTTCTTCATTTAATTTCCAGTGCTGTAAAAAAGGTGAAAAAAGACTGGGTTGAGGAACCCTAAACCATGCTAAACACAGATATGTTTTGTTGGCTTTAGACAGATAATCATCAAATGGCTCATTTGCTTCATGTCACAATAAATTGATGGTGTTACAACTTGGTTATAGTATTCATTCAAAACAATGATTAATGACTGTTTTTGAATCAGTGCACCTGTCCTAGTATTGTATGAAAAGACAAATTTTTAAGCTATAATAGCTAATTTAAAAATAGATGTTTCTTTCAATTTCAGTACCCTGAGTCTGTATATCTGTTTAATTAACACATTGTGTACATATACACATGTACCATGTGAGCAATTTAGGCTCCCATAGCGTAGATATTTGTCTATAGTTTGTGGTTTCCATTTATTTTCAGTTATCTAGCAAACCCCCACAATCAAGTGGGTATCTACATTGCTTCTGACCCCTTGACCCCAGATGATTATTACTTTGAAGTTGAAATCTTAGATAGTGGAAACTTAGCAACAATAGGTAAGGTGCTTGTACCTGCTTGATAAACATGTAAATTCATATAATTATATAAATGATGTAAATAACTATAAGTATTATATTAAGTATTATAAGTATATTAAAAAAAGGAAAGTAAATTATAAGAAGTTATACTGTTAATATGGGCCATATTGGTCAGAATTCATTGATTTTTTTCACAAAAACAACTGAATATTAAAAAAGTAATCAAGTATGTATAGCAACTAAGCAAGACAGAGGCTAGGAAGCTGAGAAAATTTTTGCTTAATTTAATTTTTTGCTTGTGTAGGTGTTGGTCTTGTACCATTAAGATATCCAACAGACTCTCAGCCTGGGTGGAGGGCTTTCTCTGTAGGGTATCATGCTGATGATGGAAAGTAAGCATTTTGTGTGGATATGACTTGTCACATTTTTGATCAATTTGTTTACTGTTTATATCAAGATTTACTATATCCTGCATTTTGCAAAGGAGCTGATATCAATTTTAGTAGTTGTAAATGGACATTTATACATTGTTGTCGGCAAACCGTATTATGGAATCAAGTATGTTTGATTGCACAGATACAGGAAGAAAAAAATCTCTAAAGAAAACTTCCCTACACACAGTAAACTGTATTTCATGTCAATTGCTATAAAACTAAGTAAAGAAACAAAACTTTTGTTTATTCTATTTTCAGACTGTACAAAGCTAATGGATTTGGTAAACCATTTGGTCCTAAATCTCAGGCTGGGGATAGGATAGGCTGTGGAATCAAATTTCCTAAGCCAAATGCTGATCAGGAAAACCCAGCAGCCCAGAATATGGCAAAGGTCTTCTTCACACACAATGGGAAAGAGGTATCTCTTTTACTATTGTTAAGAGAACAGTTTATAATTTAAGAGTCAGTTTAAGCATTTTAAATTCCCTTCTTTTGATCATAAATTTTTTTCAAATGTCTTTAAAAAAACATTAAATGATATCGTCTTCTTATTCTTTTACACGTATATTGTAAATATATGTTTATGATTCTAGACTCAATAAAAAATTAATGTGATTTATGTAGGTTGGCATCGTCATGGCAATGTTACCACCAGATGGAAACCTCTATCCAGCAGTGGGCATGCACTCTGAGGGTGAAGAGGTCAAGGTCATGCTTGATGCAGAGTGGCACTACGAGGATTTAGAATTAATGGCGGTGGATGATGGGGAAGATGACTGGTCTCGTCTCCATGACGTCAAACTCAACGGCACGGTAAGACTTAGACTTGACATTGAATCAGAAGATCAGGAGTGGCTTGTTGTGGAATTGAAGAAACTTAAAATTTCTTCATGTATTTTATTTGCAAAAAAATTTTAAAATTTTAAAACAGATTTTGTAGTTTTAAGGCTTGAAGAAAAAATGGTAAAGAGTATGCAAAAATTCATTTGTTTTGAAAAACTACATGATGATCCAAGTTTTTCTGGAATATATAGATGTTGGAGTATTCAGGGAGAGGAAAAAGCATCCATGATGTTGGACTAGCCCAGGCTAGGTATCCCCTTGATACCACCAATCATTACTATGAAATAGAGGTCGTGGATCCAGGAGAAAATTGTTATATTGCAATAGGAATCGCAAGAAGGGTAAGTGTTCACTTATCAGTCTGTAAAAGAATTATTTCTTGTTAAGTTGAAAAGAAAAACACATAAAGAGAAATTATTATTTGGACCATTTTTTTTAACTTAATCATTATCAGAAACAATTAAAAAACTGGGAGTGTCAGTGATCTCTTTTTATCAACACTAGAATAAAATACATTTTTTTTCAATTGGAAATGGAACCAAGGTCTTTTTTTCAACATGTAATCTTTCAATACCCTTTAGAATTATCCTAAGAACCGACATCCTGGATGGAATAAAGGCTCTGTGGCATATCATGCAGGTAAGTATTCATTACTATTCAGTGTACATCTTTTACACCATTAACACTAATCACCACTTGTATCATACCAGTTCCAGTACAGAAATGATTATGATTCCACATTTGGAAGTACAGTACATGTAAAATGTTAACTTACTATTTTAACTAAAAATTGAATTTCGTTGTCTCCTGTTTTCATGAAAGCGAGGGGACAGTAAATCTCATTCATCTGTTAGTCTGTCACAAAAACTTTAACCTTGGTCATACCTTTTGAATGAGAAAAGACAGTGCTTTCATATTTCACAAGTGCATTACCTGTGATAAGAACTTCCAGACATATATGATTTTTGATCCCATGAACTTGACTTGGAAGTATGGCCTACTTTTCAAAAATTTTGACATAGGTGATAACTTTTGAATGAAAGAGGATGTTCATATTTGACATGTGCATTACCTGTGGCAAGACCTGTCCAAATGTACGATGGTTTTTGACCTTGTGACCTTAACCTTAAAGTTTAACCTTCAGTACTTTTCAAAATTTTTAACATTGGTAATAAATTTTGAATGAGAGGACTTTCCTGTTTTACATGTACATTACCTGTGACAACACCTTTTAGAAAGAACTATCAATTTTGACTTTATGACCTTGACCTAAAAGTTTGACCTACCTATCAAAAATTTAAAATTTGGCCATATTTTTGGCTCCTTAAAAGACAGAGCTTTCGTATTTTTTTCACATTACTTGCGACAAGACCTTTCAGATTGTATAATGATGTTTGACCTTATGACCTTGATCGTGAAAATGGTTGCAGTTTTAAGAAACTTAAATCACTGTAACTTTTAGTAATTCAAAAGTTTTAATCTCATTTGTTTGATAAACAGACAAGACGGGACACTCTGACAAGACAGTAACAATTTGCCATAAATAATTCCATCCCAACCACTAAGACACCGAAAGTGGGGCACCACAATTCTCTGAATTTACTTGTTTTCTTCCAATCATACAGTGATACTTTGCTTTTAAGTAAATTTATTTTGACATACCTTGTAGATGATGGTAAAATTTTTGTTGGCTCTGGAGTGGGTGAGCCATTTGGTCCCAAATGTCATAAAGGTAAGGGACATACAAATGTTAATATTACAGAAGTAAAGATTTGACAAAAGTTGTGGAATGCGGCAATGCACAAGACATTTCTCTAACATATATTGATAACTGCTTGTAATACCTTCTCAAATATTTTTTCAGAATTTTTTTTTCTGTTTGCCATATTTGATATCTGTGTAGTGTAACATTCCTCTCAATAAAGCTTGTTGGCTCAAAATTTGTTTTATAAGCATCAGAGATAAAAAAAATTAGCCAAAAGTGTCTATTCCAGGTGATATCATGGGTTGTGGAATCCTCTTCCCTAATGACTATGACAGTGAAGCTGATAGTGACCAGTCTCCGGATGATCCGGATGTCAGTAACAGAGAGCTGGATGAACTGGATCCCTCCGACTCGGATGACTCAGATGAGGAGAACATGTGGTGGAGACCTGGTAATGATGACCAAGGAACCAAAGTACAGGTGGGACTGTCAAATTAACCTAAAGCTTTGGGGGAGGGGGAAATTAAGAGGTGAATAGTTGTACATATATAATATATGAAACAAAATGCCACATTGTAAGAAACCTTGTTGGTTGATTACATTATATACTTGCCTATGAGTCAGTTTTTTTGGAGTTAAATTTTTGTCCAAAACTCTATGCTTGACTTATAGGCGAGTAATAAAAAGTTTTTCCTGGACGAAGAAATATAGTATTTTATAAACATTTTTGACAATTATCATTGAACAAAGTATGGATATATTATGTCATTTATGTATCTTATATCTTAAATGTGCATTACTTATTTGTTAAGTGATTTAAAATTCATTATCAGCATCATTTCTAAAAATAGTAATTGAAATCAGGTTAAAAGATCAGTGCAATGATTTGAAATTGTCAACCGATTCTGGCAAAAAGTTGTACCGACTTATAAGCGGGTCAATTGTAAATCCCTTCAAATTAACCTCAAAAAATACAACCAACTTATAGGTGGATCGACTTATAGGGGAGTATATACGGTATGTCGCATTCCTTTCTCCATCACTTCAAATGAGTGAAATGGTTGATGGAGAAATCAATGCAGTGTAGTTAACCATTGGTCTCTAAACTTGAAAGCACCAAGGATATAATTGACATTTATTATTGATATACAGTTGAACTTCAATATCTTGAATACCATGGATATGTTGAAGTGATTTGGAAGTCCCAACCAATTATTCTTTAAGCATTATACCCTCGATATCTCAAATCCTTGGATATCTGGAATTTTTTTCTTAGTCCATCAAGTCCGAGATAACGAGGCTTAACTGTATATAATTTATCTTTGGTTGTCTTGGTTTGGGTGGTCACAGTGATATACATATAGAACGTATCAAGCATTTAGGTAATGCACAAATGGGCCCTAGAGAATGTTATAATTCAGAAGAAAAACTTTTTTCCCCCATTAATACTCAATGGACTTTTGAATTTCAGGTATTTTTCACAAGAAATGGAAAGATTGTGGGAACGAAACAGGTGTCAATACCAAAAGGAGGATTTTATCCAACAGTTGGAATGCTCAGTAGTTGTGAAAAAGTGCGAGTGGACTTGCATCCATTGACTGGATGACCTCTATGACCTTTAGTTACTCCTATAAGTATTTCACACTGACCAAATTCCCAGTGCTTAAGTCCCACACAACAATATGCACTGGAAATTCTCTCAAGCTTGTTTCACTGTTAACATTCTGCACCTATAAGAAGGATGGTGTAGGCAATAGCACTGGAATCAGGATAAGCCGTATTCTTTTTTGGGGGAAGTAATTTGTTCATTTTCAAGCTATGTGCTTGTATTGTACGAACTCTTATGTAGGATTGTGCTACAATTTGTGCCAAAAAGTTTTTTTTTTTTTTATTTTAAAAATCCAAGCAAAGTTTTGCTATAATAGATAGAGCATACTCCACTGAATTTTTTTTAACAATATCTTCACAGCTATTGGAAACATATGTAACAAGTTAAAAGGAATTGGCATGTAGACCTTGGTGTACATTTATTTTACTTTACTGATACATAAGACATATTTCATTGAGTAAACTACTAGCTAATAAGCAATTTATACATGTATGTTGCTTTTTTTTTTTCTGGAGCTACCTTGGAGTAAGCTGTATTTAAAGAATGGTTATTTATAGCTCTGATTTTTTTTTTTCAAAATCTGGTGAAAATGAAATATTAAATACAATACATGTATATATAATTGTTTCAATGAATTTTTTTCTGCTTATATATGTACTTGTACATATATTATGAATTGTGAATGTACATGTAATTAACAAAGTTAATTAACAAAAATCCAGCATATCAGGAACAGTAACTCTGTCTATAATCTTGATGGAACATTAGCTGTGATACACCTTAATACATATTTTATTAGCATACTTGTTTGAGAGAGCAGACATGTGTGAATTTCTGTATGATTTTATATGATTCAGGTTTACATGTGTTTCGAGTGTGAATTTTGTAGTCATGGTTCAGATACTTTGATTTTTTTTTATTTAAATCGTTGTTATTTGTTTACCACTGATTTTTGTTAACATGAGCATTTGATGGAGATAGCTTCTGACGGAAGTAAATTGTTCCATTGTTTGTCATCTGTGTTAACATATAAAACCTTTCACCTGTAATTCTCTGAGAGTAGTCTTTTCCTTATGCAAAGATGCCTTTTTTGCATCATTCACTAATTGCACTCTTGCTTCATGTGAGATGCTTAAAAAAATGAGTATGAGTCAGTGATACCCCCCCCCCCCCCAACAAAAAGCCTTCTTGTTTGAAGACAAGCAACTTAACAGTATTAGATGATGGTTTTGGTTGTCAATATGTTAGTTGTAATTGGTGAGAGAGGTCAGATGGTTTTGTATTAACAGTATTTACATGTAGTTGTTTATGGTTTTGACTTTATGGTATGAAACAGTTCAGATTAACCCTGTTTGATGAAGAATGTTTCTGTTGTATGTTGTTGTTAATCTTTGTTGTTTGTTTCCCTCAAATATATATTACTCAAAACTAGTATTTTTTAATGAACATACATATTCTGTTAATATTAAGAGATAGATTTTAAAAAATTTGATCAGTTTTAAATATGTAGGGTGAATATTTTTGCAGTTGGTCATTAAAAGAAAAGGATAAGGCACTAAACAAGAATTGCACACTCAAAGACTGGGGCAAAAGAATTTCAGGTTGAAATATTCAAATAATTATCCACTCTCAGATTGTAAAAATCTATGAAGGTTTTTACATAAATTATCCCATTAGAGTATAAGCATAGAATAAAAAGTTTTTTGGATTTATTTGTAGTGTAATTTTATGCACACAAACTTTTACATTTCTCTGATGTTACTATGATGTTTAGATACATTTATTGTCACTTATTACGACAGATGTTTAACGAAGAATCAATTAAATTTCATTTTCCATAAGCACCCATGTTCCTGTCAAAAAGAAAGCAAATGCCCAGATTCTGTATAGTTTTCTTTACATTTTTAATTTCATATTGTTTAAATATTTCAGAGATTCAAATCAGGACTGAGTACACTATGCTGTAGGAAAACACATATTAGTGCTTTGCTGAATACATAAATTAATTTTGTAATAATTATGCACTTTTGTTTGGAGAATTTCAGGAAAATAAATTGCACACGTACATGTACACTTAACAAGATAAGAGCAATATATTAGAAATATCTATATTGTGACGAATCCCATGCAAATGTAGGCTCAGTTTTCCTTCTATACTTTTATGGAATTGATTATACTTTCAGATAACTATTGAAAGTTTATATTACCTTGTTTGAAACAAATTACCTTAGAAAGAGGATGTAAATTTTTGTTAACTTGTCATATGCTTTCAACACAATTGACATAATTTGTTGGAGGAGGAAACAATAACCCAAATTTTTTTTTTCACTTCTGGGTGTAAAGCAAGAATTAAATGTACAGTGTACATGTACCAGCATGTAATTATATGTTTTTGCATAATGTATTTTTCATTAATTTATTCAAACTTATGTCAACTTGTTACACTTAATTGTGAAATATTACAGCAAGTTTTGACCACGTGAAAGACAACATCTTTTTGACTGACATTGATTACATTTGTGGTTGATATGTGTCATAAAAACTTATGCCATGTAATATGAATAGAATGCTTTTTGATGCCTTTTTGTAATAAATACATATATGTTATAATATGAAGTTGGGAAGTCAATTGAAATTGTAACAGGAAAGGAGAAAATGTATGTCTGGACCGGGAATCAAACCCGAGACCCCTGCATCACCAGTCAGGTGCTCTACTAACTGACCACCACATTCCTCCCTCCTTAGAGGTCTTCGGCCCCCTGAAGACACCAACCCAGGCTTTTCCCTGGCAGGTCTTACACAAGTCACTTCCATCCTGGTCACAGCACCAACTGTAATAGGAGAGGAAAAAAATGAGACAGACCAGACCTGGATTCTAACCCGGGTCCCCTGAATCTCCAGTCAGGTGCTCTACCAACTGAGCTATCTGGCTACCGGCGATCAAACCTGTCTGACCGCCACAAAATAATACTCTTTCAGTGAAGTTTCCTACTCTTTATACCCCCCGCTTGAAAAATGGGTGGTATATAATGATTGGGGGGGGGGGGGGAGGGTCCATCTGTTACATTTCTTACTGCCAAAAAAGACACTTTGTCATTATACTCCTGTGGGAGCAGGGGTTTTCATTTCATGGGCTCAGTGCTCACAGTTTCTCTAGTTGCAGTTTTTTATGCCCCCGGATCGAAAGATCCCGGGGGTATATTGTTTTTGTCCTGTCTGTCTGTTTGTTTGTCTGTTTGTCTGTCTGTCTGTTGTCAACTTTAACCTTGCCCATAACTTTTGATTGGTTGGAGCTATGACTTTCATATTTCACATGTGTATTCCTTGTGACAAGACCTTTCTTTGGGTACCATCATATTTGACCTTTTGACCTTGACCTTGGAATTTGACCCACTTTTGCAAAATTTTATGAGACTTTAACCTTGGCCATAACTTCTGAACAGTTGGAGCTTGGGGTTTCAAACTTCACATGTGTATTCTTTGCGACAAGGCCTTCTTTTGGATACCAACCACTTTGACCTTTTGACCTTGACCTTGGACTTTGACCTACTTTTGAAAAACTTTAACCTTGGCCATAACTTTTGAACAGTTGGTGCTTAGGGTTTCAAACTTCACCTGTGTATTTCTTGTGACAAGACCTTCCTCTGGATATCAACCACTTTGACCCTTTTGACCTTGACCTAGGAGTTTGACCTACTTTTGAAAAACTTTATCCTTGGCCATAACTTTTGAATGGTTGGAGCTAGGGCTTTCATACTTCACATATGTAATCCTTGTGACAAGACCTTCCTTTGAATACCAACGACTTTGACCTTTTGACCTTGACCTAGGAGTTTGACCTACTTTTGAAAAACTTTAACCTTGGCCATAACTTTTGAATGGTTGGTGCTAGGGCTTTCATACTTCACATATGTAATCCTTGTGACAAGATCTTCCTTTGGATACCAGCCACTTTGACCTTGACGTTTGACTTTTATTTAAAAAACTTTAACCTTCACCATAACTTTTGAACAGTTGTATCTAGGTCTTTCAAATTTCACAGGTGTTTTCCTCGAGACAAGATCTTTCTTTGGGTATCAACATTATTTATCTTTTGGCCTGGATTTTGACTTGCATTTGAGAAACTTTAACCTTCGACATAAGCTGCCATACGGGGGCATAGTGTTTTACAAACACATCTTGTTTTAAAACATTTTCGACTTCTCCAGAACCACTGGGCCATTTTCAACCAAACTTGCCACAAAGTATCCTTGGGTAAAGGGGATTCAAATTTGTTCAAATGAAGGGCCACGCCTTCTTCCGAGGGGAGATAATTATGAATTCGTGAAAAATTAATGGCATCATTAAAAAATCTTCTTCTCAAGAACCACTGTGCTTGAAAATATGAAACTTATGTGAAAGCATCCTCAGGCAGTGTAGATTCAAGTTTGTTCAAATCATGACCCCTGGGGATAGGGTGGGGCGATCAAAGTTTTTACATAGGAATATATAGGAAAAATCTTTAAAAATCTTCTTCTCAAGAACAGGAAAGCCATGATTGGTCATATTTACATGAAAGCATTCTCAGGTAGTGTAGATTCAAGTTTATTCAAATCATGACCTCCGGGGATAGGGTGGGGCCACAATGGGCGATCAAAGTTTTACATTGGAATATAAAGGAAAAATCTTTAAAAATCTTCTTCTCAAGAACAGGAAAGCCGTGATTGGTCATATTTATATGGTAGCATCCTCAGGTAGTGTAGATTCAAATTTGTTCAAATCATGACCCCCGGGGTCGGGTGGGGCCACAATGGGCGATCAAAATTTTACAAAGGAATATATAGAGAAAATCTTTAAAAATCTTCTTCTCAAGAACAACAAAGCCATGATTGGTCATATTTAGATGGAAGCATCCTCAGGTAGTGTAGATTCAAATTTGTTCAAATCATGACCCAAGGGGGTCGGTTGGGGCCACAATGGGCGATCAAAGTTTTACATAGAAATATATAGGAAAAATCTTTAAAAATCTTCTTCTCAAGAACAGGAAAGCCATGATTGGTCATATTTATATGGTAGCATCCTCATGTAGTGTAGATTCAATTTTGTTCAAATCATGACCCCCGGGGTCGGGTGGGGCCACAATGGGCGATCAAAATTTTACAAAGGAATATATAGGGAAAATCTTTAAAAATCTTCTCAAGAACAGCAAAGCCATGATTGGTCATATTTACATGGAAGCATCCTCAGATAGTGTACATTCAAGTTTGTTCAAATCATGACCCCCGGGGATGGGGTGGGGCCACAATGGGCGGAAGTTTTACATAGGAATACATAATAAAAATCTTAAAAAAAAACTCTATTTCTTAAGAACAGCAAAGTCATGATTGGTCATATTTATATGGAAGCATTCTTAGATAGTGTAGATTCAATTTTGTTCAAACATGACCCCCGGGGGTATGGGTGAGGCCACAATGGGTGATCAAAGTTTTACATAGGAATACAAACTAGGAAAAATCTTTAAAAATCTTCTACTCAAGAACAGCAAAGCCATGATTGGTCATATTTAAATGGAAGCATCCTCATGTAATGTAGATTCAACTTTGTGCAATTCATGCCCCCCCCCCCCCTCCCCGAACCACTTTTATATTTAAACTTTTCAATCTTTCAAGACTGAACTGATTTCTGCTTTTTCCTAGCCATAGTGCTCAGGTGAGCAATGTGGCCCCTGGGCCTCTTGTTTTAACAGTAGATCTAGAAACTATTCAGCTAGAGTTGCCTTGGCAAGTTCTTTCTGAGATGCACAATCAAAAATATTTTACAAACTGCATTAGTTAAAAAAATTCTAGAGAGATTCTGTTGAGCAAAACTGACTGGTGTCAGGGATGCCTCTAAGCCATAAAGAGCTTAATCCAGTTTGGATGATGTCCTAATTACATGTACTACCGTTATGTCTCTGATATCTAGGTTAAGATGGTTAAGGTCTGAAAATTATGATACAGACTGCTCTCACTAGTATATATCTGTGAATGAAGTTTGACAAATCTTGAAGAGATTTCCAGAATTTAATTGTTAAAGTGAAAAAAAATGGAAGGACAAAACATGGGTGTTGATAAACACTACTGTATACAGGGAAATTTTTGCCCCCATTTTTACCCCTTTTGTCCTTGTCGCCAACTGGGGCAAACTATAACCTGAGACAATAGTTATGTCTTTAAACACAACTGTATCTGGACGAACTGAAATGGAGCAAATCATTTGCAACGTGTAATAGGACGAAAATAACCCTGTTTATGGTTTTTTCCCAAAGTAAAAAAAGAAAAACCATTTCATCATTTACAGTTTATTCCACAGGTGATGTCATATTATGATGCATTTAGTACATGTATATTCAATAACAAATATTGTCTATTGCACTGTGTTCATATACAAAACAATGAGTATCACAGATTAATGCATAAATTGCTTCATTTTCTTCAAGAAAATTAAATGCACAATTTGTTACACATTAAAATATACTTCGCAATATTTACTTGATAAAATTCTTTTATTGATATTAAGTTTGGAATGAATTTATAGAAAAGCCACTGATCTGTGAGATGGATTTTTTCATTTGATACTGGATGTTGATTATTTTTTTGTCATTTTATCGTCTACTTCGATCCATTTCTTCCACAATACTGATAAGTCGCTGCCTGGATTTCCTGTTGATGTGATCTACTGAATTTATCAAGGCCAGTAACTGCTTATTGGAATATTCCTAATAAATGAAAAAGAAAGGAATTGGAGCTTCACATACTCTGATCCAATACCATTATCCATGTACATATGCCATAATTTAATATCATTTTCAAATGATGCCAAATATTGTAACCAACTTCTCTACACAATTTTTCTTTTGCATTTGTTGATATGAAAATATATACCAATCTCTCTCTTACTCTCACCCCCCCCCCCCCCCCCTTCATTGAAAGAATTAATTTCCTTCAAGATAGAGAAGAAATAATTATCACATCATCTTGAGTGGCAAAAGTTGATCACAGATGAAAAAAAAAATGTCCGACAGTATCCAACAACTAGGTCTCCATACATCACTGTATGATTTTTCATAAAGCACCTGTCTTGTACTTTTTGTTAAAAAGTTGAAAATATTGTAACCTGTACCATTACCTTGTGATCTTGCAGCCATGAATCCAATTGATCTTCTGGTAGATAATACGCCTTTATATAGCTCTCAACAAAATCTTTCTCTGGAATGGGCCTAAGAAAAATGCAATAAAACCTTGACAAAAATATGTACATGTATGGCTATAAACATATATTCACAGTAAAATAACGTTAAAATGAATCTATCAGCAAAATATCTGTATTATTTCTTTACACTAACCCATATACAAAATGTGTAAGACTTACTTGAGGTCTATTATTGCATCTAACTTCATTAGAAACTGCTGATAGTCTAACTGCATTAAAGCTCTTCCTTCATTGCTGCATTTTTTGGCATTTGAATATCTGATGTGAGAAACATATGGTAAACTTTATAGTAAATACAAGCAAATACAAAGAGTTGTGGTCCCCCACTTTCAGTGTCTTAGTGGTTTCAAGTATTTATGGCATAATTGATCAATTCATGATGATATATTTATATACACATGATCTTTTGTATTATTCTGATAAAACCAATAAAGTAAATTAAACGTTTCCTTCTTCAATCCTTTGCCTGTTTATGGTTTGACTTACCCCTCTACAAATGTTCTGTTGGCCAGTCTGACACAGTGTTCCCACAATGTCTGGTAGACAACTCGGGGAATGGGAACTCTCCTGTTAATTTCAACCAGCTGATGAGCTACAGATTCAAAGCTCTGTTAAAAGACACACAGAAATTCAACAGAAGGGACAAAATAAAGATTATTTTCTCTTTGGATTCTTATCACTCAAAAAACATAAATACTCCTGGTACATGTATTTTCCAAAGCCTAATATATGTAAATGCAGGGCCATAAATAAGGTTGTATTTCCAGTCAAGCAGATGTGCATTTGTTCAGTTTTAATATGAAATGGATTAAAGCTTCCAAAGTAGAACTAAAATGTCAGAGAAAACTTCTCAATAACAATGATAGATACATGTACATGAACTCTATAGTTTGTAAATATTTGGTACTATGAAAGTGGGATACATGCCTTCATTTTGTTTAACTGACTATATAAACTACAACAAACAGCTTGGTTTAATATGATTTAAAACTGTTCCTAAAATGCTGTCTACATAGGGATTGTATGATATACTGTATACAGGGTTATTTTCGCCCTTTCAAACTTGGAAATAACTTTGCATCATTTTAAATTCACCGAGTCATTGCTCTGTTTAAGAAGTAATACTGTCTTCCATGAATTCGCACCGTCTTAAATTCCCCCACTTGTGTCTTGGGCAAAATAGGCAAGAATAAACCTGAGGCAAATATTTCCCTGTATACAGTAGCTTACTCGCTGCATGCTGTCTACATAGGGATTGTATGATATAGTTTACTCTCTGCATGCTGACTACCATACATAGATATTGTATTATATAGTTTACTCTCGGCATGCTGTCTACATAGGGATTGTATGATATAGTTTATTCCCAGCATGCTGTCTACATAGGGATTGTATGATATAGTTTACTCTCAGCATGCTGTCTACATAGGGATTGTATGATATAGTTTACTCTCAGCATGCTGTCTACAAAGGGATTGTATGATATAGTTTATTTCCAGCATGCTGTCTACATAGGGATTGTATGATATAGTTTATTCCCAGCATGCTGTCTACATAGGGATTGTATGATATAGTTTACTCTCTGCATGCTGTCTACATAGATATTGTATTATATAGTTTACTCTCAGCATGCCGTCTACATAGGGATTGTATGATATAGTTTATTCCCAGCATGCTGTCTACATAGGGATTGTATGATATAGTTTACTCTCAGCATGCTGTCTACATAGGGATTGTATGATATAGTTTACTCTCAGCATGCTGTCTACAAAGGGATTGTATGATATAGTTTATTTCCAGCATGCTGTCTACATAGGGATTGTATGATATAGTTTATTCCCAGCATGCTGTCTACATAGGGATTGTATGATATAGTTTACTCTCTGCATGCTGTCTACATAGATATTGTATTATATAGTTTACTCTCAGCATGCCGTCTACATAGGGATTGTATGATATAGTTTATTCCTAGCATGCTGTCTACATAGGGATTGTATGATATAGTTTATTCCCAGCATGCTGTCTACAAAGGGATTGTATGATATAGTTTATTCCCAGCATGCTGTCTACATAGATATTGTATGATATAGTTTACTCTCGGCATGCTGTCTACATACGGATTGTATGATATAGTTTACTCTCAGCATGCTGTCTACATAGGGATTGTATGATATAGTTTATTCCCAGCATGCTGTCTACATAGGGATTGTATGATATAGTTTACTCTCAGCATGCTGTCTACATAGGGATTGTATGATATAGTTTATTCCCAGCATGCTGTCTACTAGTGATTGGACATCAGTTAATTTTCATAATTGATCATCGGTTGGAATCGGTCACTGCTTCCGATGTGATTTTACCGATTATAATCGAATTTCATAGTTTTGTATACAAAATGCAGATTATTACAATTATTTCATATTATTTGTTAAACATGAATAAATAATATATTATTTTCTTTGTTGTTTTGCTTCTTTTACACTTTCTAGGCCTAAAAACATTGTTTGTTTGTTTCCTGTAGCATTCCCCAAAAAATCAAGGGTCGGTAGGTCGAGAATTTTTTTTTTTTTTTGCTTATGAATATAATAGGGTCAATCATCCCAAAACTGAATCATCCAGGTGTTATATTTACAGTGGACACCCAACATGGCTGTCTAGCGGCAGAAAATGAACTTCAAAAAGTTGTGGGGGGAATTAATTACTCTATATTTAAGGTAAATGTTGAGTTGCATATTTTATATCTCAAATAAAGATACAATTAATTTTTTTTAATAAAAAGAATCAGCTGATTGATCAAACTAAAGAGCAAACACAGATTTGGCAGAAAAAAATCCACCCGGGGGTAAATTGAATGGGTCGGTTGGGTCATAGGAAACAAACATATTAAACTTTTTTTAGGCCCTATCTATGCACCTTTCAGTTCTTAATCACCTCTCCTTCGTGCTAGTTGGCTAGTATCAGATGCTGAGAAATAAATTTTAAACCAGAAATGGATAATTTCAGAATGTATAATTCCGGAATGTATTGTATTAGAAGTATGTTTCCGATGATCGATTATGAAAAATTATAATCAATCATCGGAAACGGTAGCATTTTTTTGTCGACAATCGATGTTTTCTGATTATCGGTACAACACTACTGTCTACATAGGGATTGTATTATATAGTTTACTCTCAGCATGCTGTATACATAGGGATTGTATGATATAGTTTATTCCCAGCATGCTGTCTACATAGGGATTGTATTATGTATATAGCTTACTCTCAGCATGCTGTCTACATAGGGATTGTATGATATAGTTTACTCTCTGCATGCTGTCTACATAGGGATTGTATGATAAAGTTTACTCTTAGCATGCTGTCTTCATAGGGATTGTATGATATAGTTTACTCTCAGCATGCTGTCTACATATGGATTGTATGATATAGTTTACTCTTAGCATGCTGTCTACATAGGGATTGTATGATATAGTTTACTCTCAGCATGCTGTCTACATAGGGATTGTATTATATAGCTTACTCTCTGCATGCTGTCTACATAGGGATTGTATAAAGTGGCTTACTCTTAGCATGCTGTCTACATAGGGATTGTATGAAGTGGCTTACTCTTAGCAGGCTGTCTACATAGGGATTGTATGTTATAGTTTACTCTCAGCATGCTGTCTACATACGGATTGTATGATATAGCTTATTCTCTGCATGCTGTCTATATAGGGATTGTATGAAGTGGCTTACTCTTAGCATGCTGTCTACATAGGGATTGTATGTTATAGTTTACTCTCTGTATGCTGTCTATATAGGGATTGTATTATATAGCTTACTCTCTGCATGCTGTCTATATAGGGATTGTATGAAGTGGCTTACTCTTAGCATGCTGTCTACATAGGGATTGTATGAAGTGGCTTACTCTTAGCATGCTGTCTACATAGGGATTGTGTTGTGACATGATGTCCTTGATGTCCCATCGTACAGTGTTCATCTGACCTTGAACTTGGTCATAGTTCACTGCCTGAAGAGACACGCTCCAGTAGACAGGCTTTCTCACTTCCTCTGCCATCTTCACTGTCTAAATATTACCATTAAAAATATAAATGTATGGTATTTAATTGTGACAAAATTGAATCAAAGTATTCCCCATCTAAAGTAACAGATCAAAGGGGCAAAGGTATCATCATATGTTTTATAGTCCAGTAATAAATAAAGTAGGAATACTAATTTATTTATGTATAAAATTATTCCAAGTTTGATGCCGGACTACCTGAGAAAAGAACTGTTGTAGGAAAGCTTTTTTACTGGAAGGTATCATTGCCTCTAAGTGGGGCTGAAGGAGGCTCAACTGTGTGGCAAGGAATATTCTAAAGAGAGAAAAATTAAATCATTAAATTAATAAATCTGATTAATTCAATTAATTGTAAGTACAGTACTATAAAGTATATAATTTTGATGTTGCTCCATTAATTTCAGCGTGCAATCTTACAGAGACTCTACAGCAACCACTCGCTCTGCCAAACCAAAGAGCTGATCTTTCCTGTGGAGGTCTATTATTGGAGAAAGGTGGGCCTGGGGCATTTTCTCCTGCTCAAATAAAATATCATTAATTAATGATTACTCAAACACTTGATAATAAAATTGCAAATCAAATAAAAAGAGGCTTGTGGGCCACAACACTCACTGACACTTGCACATATTTGAACATACACTGGATGAAGATACTTGCCAAAAAAATCCCCAAAAATATCATGGCCCCATCCTAACCTAGGGGCCACAAACTGAAAAAAGACACTTGAATTTATATTATAGGCATGGTTGCATATTAATTTGACCTTGGAGTTTGACCCAGTTTTAAAAAAATTTACCCAACATTAACCTTGGCCATAACTTTTGAACGGTTGATGCTACGGCTTTCATACTTCACCTGTATAATCCTTGCGACAAGACCTTCCTTTGGATACCAAGAACTTTGAACTTTGACCTTGGAGTTTGACCTACTTTTGAAAAACTTTAACATTGGTTATAACTTTTGAACGGTTACTGCTAGGGCTTTCATACTTCACATATGTAATCCTTTTGACAAGACCTTCCTTTGGATACCAACAACTTTGACCCTTTGACCTTGACCTTTGGAGTTTGACCTACTTTTGGAAAACCTTAACTTTGGCCATAACTTTTAAACAGTTGGTGCTAGTGCTTTCATTTTTTTCACATGTGTAATCTTTCTGACAAGACCTTCCTTTAGATACCAACAATTAGCCCATTGACCTTGGAGTTTGACCTACTTTTGGAAAACTTTAACCTTGGCCATTTCTTTTGAACAGTTGGTTCTAGGGCTTTCATACTTCACATATGCAATCCTTGTGACAAGTCCTTCCTTTAGATACCAACAACTTTGACCCTTTGTTTGTGACTTTGGAGTTTGACCTACTTTTGAAAAACTTTAACCTTGGCCATCTTTTAAATGGTTGGTGCTAAGGCATTCATATTTCACATGTGTATTTCTTTTGAGAAGGCCTTTCCTTGGGCACTATTAATTTTGACCATTTGACCTTGATGTTTGACTTACTTTTGAAAAACTTTAACCTTTTCCATATCTTTTCAATAGTTGCTGCTAGGGCTTTCATATTTCACAGGTATATTCCTCGAGACAAGACCTTACTTTGGGTACCAACATATTTGATTTGCATTTGGGAAAGTTTAAACATTGCTATAAGTTGCCATATGGGGGCATCAGTGTTTCACAAACACATCTTGTTTTTTAATAGATTTCAAATGAACCCACCCAATTTCATGTCTGCTTAATGATCTAACCTTGATTTGGGACATGGATCTTTCATTTAATCTAACTTGAAATCCCCTCACTCAAAGATGCTTTTAGCTGCTGAATTGTAGCTCTCTGGTTGAGAAAATTTGGAAAGATAAACCAGAGTTTATCTGTCCGAATTTATCTCAACCAGAGAGCTACAGTTCTGCAGCTAGGGTGCTTTCTGCCAAGTTTGTTTGATACCAACCTACTAGTTCTTGTAAAGATGTCAACAATTAAAAAAAAAAATCACAGATATCACACAGAGGAACATATAGACAAATCCTGGGCATTCCTTTGAGAAAAGCTTAACAGAGCCTTTTGCTCAGGTAAGCTAATAATTTGACATGGAACACTCATCAACTATTATGTAATGATATTGATTTCATTTCTTATCTTTTCTCTGTCAGGGAGGAACCATTCTACAATGAAGGGACACGTCAGGCTATATCATTATTGATTGTAAGAATAATGGATTGAATTTCCTTATCGTCAAGAAAGACAATTTTTGTAATCAGTAGAAATGTTCTTCTAGTTTTTTTTAATGTCTTGCTGATGCATGTTTTCTCGCAAGTTTTCAATACTGATTGACCTTGACCCATATACCAGATTATCTGGTTGTCAGGAATATTTATTTGTTGAATGACTCAATATATCTGATTGTCAATGGATTGGATTTTTTTCTTTGCTTTAATTTTACACACTTGCCAACACATCATGACATCTATTACTCGACTTGATCTACCTACCAGGTTGTCTGTCTGTTCAACAGGTGGGGCTCCAGGTACCTGAGATTCTGCGATCAGATTAGCATGGATTCTCTGCAGTGCTATGTTGAGGCGATTGTTTATTGAGCGCTCATGCATCACCTTCTAACAAGACAACAGATAATGCTAGAAATTTAATTAAGCATGACATAAATATCACAGGCTGTATTAATTGGGTACATGTATACTTTATATGCATGAACAATTGTAAAAATAAATTTTGCTTTACTTACTGTATCAGCACCAAAGAAAGAATATACCTAAAACAGATCGAATTTTTAAAAAAAAATTCTCTAGATACAGAATTTTCATAAATATGCAGTAGCTGTAAATTCATTGAAAAATCATTAGATAGATCTGAGAAGTTGAAACAAATATTGCAAAACCACGACTCACAATGTAAAAGTAGTAGTCAAATAGCTGAGACATACAAAGAATGACATCAAATGCAATAGGTTTCAGCACTGTCATCATCTGCATGTATTTCCCTGAAGAAAAGAAAAATAATTTAAAAACTTTACTTCAATCTGCAGTAAAGAAGTCTATGTATTCCAGTTTACTTACTAATCACAGAGTTGTTTTATAAAGTCAACATCATTCAGTTTTCAGGGGGGAAAAGTCATCACTGAATTCATTGGACATTTATTTTTGAACACAGAGATATTTTAAAATAATTACACTCTGATCTTGACTTCATTATCATAAATGTAATAAAACCTGACCTACCTATCACTCTCATTACATTCAAGGTAGTGTTGGTTACAATGGGAATGTACTTCTCATTTTTACTCTTAGATAATCTTCTCTTTAAATGCCTAAAAAATAAAAAATCAGAAACTTATATTAACATTTTTTCTGGTCATTCTGAATGCTAGGTCTGCCCTAGAGAGCAATTCCTAATGGGCATCAAGATCAAAAGTTGAATGCCTGATAATAAAATATATTAATATACATATGCCTAGTTTTTAATGACCCCCCCCCCCCCCCCAATTCCCTCCAGAACTAAATGTGATGATGAACGGTAATTCAAGTACTAATACTTGTTATACTGTAGTACTTATGTACAGTCTGTAAAAAAGTAGTACTTCTACTGTAAATAAATACATGTAATACACCTTTTGTTCATTCAAAAAAAAAAAAAAATTTAAAATACAAATAACTGTATAAATTCTCATGTGAAATATGCACTTTTTGTGTATAATTATCAATATCAGAAAACAAATTAAAATAATGCCCCCCCCCCCCCCTTTGAATTTAGTTTTTCATCAGACATCAGTCTTTTGATCTCATCCCTATGCAACATGTGTTAATCACTGTATTATCAGCAAAAATTAATTGTATGAGAAACCAAAGACAGATTCATTACTGCCTGGATTGGCAAATTTAATTACTTTCTTTGATGCTGTAGGACAAGTCTGTAGGACTTCATAAGTTCCACTGACCTGTTTGACCTTCCCTCTCCAGTCAACTCATCAATGTAATCTTGCTTCAGTTCATCTGGTACATCTGAATCACTATCACTTAAGTTACCATTATCTTCATCATCCTGAGGATAAAAGGAGATTTTTGTTTATTTTTGCCAGTTAGACAGCTTTTTATCTTGCAAAATCAAATTGATTTTTTTTAAAATGTTATTATACATGCAATTAGAATTAACCTCATTTATTGATGGTATATGATGACTATAGTGATATTCATTTCAGGCAGCTCAATTACTCGAATTAATAATATTGATTTATGTTTTGTCATGCCACCTCCAAGAGTGTATACATATATATTAATTAACAGATAAACATGAGAGTTTATTCTCATTTCAAACTCTTAGATCTTAAAGCTTTGGAGCAGAATTTGAAAACATCCTGTTAATTGAAAATTGAGGAAAATCTAAACAAATGAGATACATTCCATCTTAAGGAGCCTCCTTCAGTAAACCACACACAAGACCATGCAGACTATGTGGAAAAATTACAGAAATTCTACATTATAGAATGAACACAGGATTTACACAAAAATCTTATGATACCTTGACCTTTAAGATAATATTTCTTCAATGTCATTGCACAACCTTCAAATATGTATTTTGTAGAGTCAAAGTCAAAAATTGGCCAAGTGGACAGAAATGATGCTCAAAGAAAGAAATTTACTCAGTGTTCTCTTGTTGACCTTGACCTTTTAAGTCAAAGCCTTAAGTAAGGGCGAATGTGCTCCTTTTATCTACAGACACTGTACAAGTGAAGTGCCATTGAGATTGGGATGTGAGAAAATAAACTTTACTAGAAACAAGGAACTTTCTTTACACTCTTGAATGACCCTCCATGGGCAAAGTATGAGTGACACATTTTAAAAAAAAAAAAAAAAGGGAGAGGCCCACCCGGGTTATAAAATTTAATTGGCCTTTAATCTTTGTTGGATCCTGAAAAAAAGTACTGATTTGACCTTTATTTTTAAATCTTGATTCAAGGATACTGCATGACTTTATCCAAAGTAGATGCTTTGTAAGTGAGTGATATGACCTTGAAGTCTGAAAATATACTCCAGGCAAAGAAATTAACAAACAATATCATTATTTTGACCATGATCTTGTGCTAGAAGCTTATTCAAGGACATGCCACATCCCCTTTCAAAAGGAAAAACACACTATGTGGGTGAAATGTAAATGATCAGGGTCAGAAAAACAGACTAGACAAACAAAGTTAGATGGACTGCTTGTAAATGAAGCTGCTTGCTTTGAAATTGCTTACAGTGTTGCCCTATAAAAGCCTAGTATTTGTTAAAATGATTTTTACCCATGATCCAGAGAAAAAATCTTCATTTTCATCTTCATCTGGCTTTTCATCAAAAGGATTCTTTTCATCCCCCTGCATGAAGTATCTCCTCTTAGGTGGTGATAATACCCCTTCCTCCAGGGGTTCACTTGTGGAGCTGGAATTCAGTGATGCATTCGGGGATTTCATCCATGATTTCATAAAGCGGAATTCCTGTTTTAAATAATGTTGTAAATTAGAACAATGTGTATGTGTGGATGTAGGTATGGATGAATCATTGCAGATTTTTTGGAATGGAATATTCCAAATCTTTGACAAAAACAAGAGGCCCATGGGCCACAGCACTCCATAAAAACACCTTTCTCTGCATCCTTAATCCTGGTTCCTTGGAGAAGGGGGAGGGGGGGGGGGAAATGACTTGAGCAACCTAGGAATGTTTATATAAGTATATTAGTGTGACTATTTGATATAATCCTTTAGATGCATTATGCAAAAATCTGTTAAAATCATCATTTTTAGGGAACAGCAGCAAATTATTCACTAAAATGGAAATTGATGCTTAAAATTTTCTGTCTAGTAGGAGACAAGGTTTCAATTATGCTAATCAAACCAAAACTGAAGGAGGAGAAACATTGAGAAATCATCAAATAGAATTCTATGTGTGCATCTGGATGTTTTAATCTACACTTTGTTCAGATCTCTCAGACACTGCAGGAAATGGACATTTTGAAATTTGATAAATTAAAACTATTAAAGAGATTACTATTAATCTACACTTTTGTTCAAATGAAGCAAAAACTATGGGGGAAGCATTGATAACTTGAGTGATTCTATATTTCAGTAAATGAAAATTAATGGAGAGAAATACCGGTATGTATCATTATTAGTGTATCTTAGTGCTAAATAGTTTAATTCAAATCACAAACAAAATTCTAAAAGGAGTAGTTTCTTTCAAACAATTCTTTGCATTAATCAAACAGAAGGACCACTCACCAATGCATATGCCCCACTGGTTTATGACCAGGACTGCTAAAATTCAGTCAGTAATGTTTCTTTACTTTAATCAGTTACAACTGATTAAAGTAAAGAATCAAGTAACTACTGATATAATGTATGAGTACTTATAAATTTTAAGCATTTACATAGAAGAACTATATGGAGGTTGTAGTATCATGCTACATATAATTTACATATGGTATTTTATAAAACATACTTGCTTGTAGGATGAATTAATTAGCATCATACTAGAAAGAACTGTACTTGTTTCATAAATTAACATAACACACTTTGTTTTGCTTATGTTTCTGACAACTTGGTTTAAAATATCATATAAATAAAGTTGAAACTGTACAATACTTTAATAACAATCAAACTTTCTATTTACATCTTTTAAATTTCTTTGTCCGAGATAAAACTACAAATAATAAAAAAATTTGATTTCTACATAAAGCTACTGATTCATGGATAGGCTTGGTTTACAAAAATCATGTGCGGGGCAGGAGAGAGAGAGAGAGAGAGAGAAGGCTGGGCTAAAAATGGAACACATGAATTTACAGAATCAAGAGCATGTAAAATATGAGGAATAACTGTCAGATTTTTTTATTTCTTTGATTTCATGATGATGATCAAGCAATTGGTTTGCTTGATAATTTTATATATAAATGCCTTAGGCATTTATGCAAATTACTAGTATCACACAAGCCAATTGCTTGATCACATCATAAAACCAAAAATTAGACAGTTCTTAAATAATACATTGAAAGTGTATTCAAAAATTCTATGCTTATTATATTTTGATTGTAGGCTAACTGAAATATCAAACATTGAAAGAGTGTTAATGCTTATGATTGGTTCAGAAGCAAGGGAGCCAAAATTTTGGCATAAGATATTGAACTCCCTCAAGTATTTCTGGTGAGTTTGAGCGGGGAATACCATGGTGCCCTCAATATTTTGCTGTTTAAGGGAGGGGTTTTGAGATGTGACAGAAATATTGAATCACATTAATACACATGTACTACAAAACATTTATCTAGCTATTTAGATAAGTGCTTTAGCTGAAAACAAATTCATGGACTATAAAGAATTGTGTAAAGACTTTGTCTTGCATGCTTAATCCATTATGTTATAATATTAATTTTTCTTCTTTTTTTCTGTTAAATGTCATTTGATTTATCTTGATGTGTATGGTGATGTCTGAATTGAATCCTTTGCAATATTAAAGGGAATGTGGTCAAAACATCTGGTCCTGAAATATTAAACTCGATCCCCTCTTAGAGTATGTAAATGAAGTACTGGACCCTTTCTATGAAGAAGGTGTTCAAGATATGGCTGCATTACATTAACCCAATCAAATATTACAACACCATTGAAGACATTTTTGCTACAAAATACAGAACCCTGTCAAGTATGATTGTTGGGTGTGTGTGGAGAGAGGCCAGTGCTAGACAAGATGCCATGAAATATTCCCATTATAAAACACTGAAAACAGATTCCAAAACTCCATATTCCTGAAATCTGGACTACAGGTGCACAGAAATATCAAACCTTGAAGGACTGTAAATGCTTATGATGGGGAGCTCAATTGGACAGAAATATTGAACACCCTCATCATGTATTTCTGCTGAGTTTGAGGGGGAATACTATGATTGTGGCTTACACTGCGAGAGGGGGGAGGTGTTCAGGAATCATTTAATGTTTTATACAGTTCTGAAAAGATCTACGTCCCCATTTTTATACTGAAGTAAACTGTTTACTAGCTACTTTTTTCCACTTTTCCTTGATTATTCCCCGGTCAGTGCATTACCCCTCATGGTTAATTCCTCTGATTTTCTATATTTAAAAAAAATGAGCAGACCAAGGCATAAGGTGAGTCCTATGGATAATGTCAATATCTATTTTAGGTGAATAATTACTAAGACACCACCCTTTTTTCATCAATGGAAGTATGTCAGTGGTAATTTTTTTTTTTTCATTTTGTCATTTGTCATTCTTTAAATGTCACATCATTTTGCTTGTCATCCTTCTTTCTAACCCTCAAAAACCCCTCTCCCCTTTTTCGTTTTTCATTTTCCTTATTCTTGAGCTATTTGCATGAAGTCAAGCTTTCAATTAAGAATCACCAATGGAATTACTATTCAAGAATTCTTTTGAGGGAGAGAGCGGGGCATGTGTATCAAAGGCCCAACCGTATGAAAGAACAAGAGATGTTTGTGAAACACTTATGCCCCCCCCCCCCCCCCATAATTGGAATTTTTCTAAGTCCAAGAGGCATAACTCTGTCAAAAATTGCTTGATCGTACCCAAAACAGAACTTGACCTAGAAATTTTTATGATAAATCTGTATATCGAATATCATTTCAGTATGTGCAATGTCTGCGAAGAAAATGAACGGAAACTGCAAATAATTGGAATTTTTCTAAGTCCAAGGGGCATAACTCTGTCAAAAATTGCTCGATCGTACCCAAAACAGAACTTGACCTAGTTATTCTCATGATAAATCTGTATACCAAATTTAATTTCAGTACGTGCAACCTCTGTGAAGAAAATGAACAGAAACTGCAAATAATTGGAATTTTTCTGAGTCCAAGGGGCATAATTCTGTCAAAAATTGCTCGATCGTACCCAAAAGAAAACTGGACCTAGATATTCTTACTAAGAATGAAAAGTACTAAGTTGAAAAGTGATGAAATTTCCAGAAAAATAATGGAAACGGAATTACCTGGCAATATGCACAACTACACATTGTGTCCTAAATCTCTGCAAAGTTTGATGAAATTCTGTGCAGCGGTTTAAGAGGAGTTGTGCCGACAAACTGTTCATCTCTGTATTCAGGAGATGTCCAAAAAACCAGAAGTCTCTGATGAGACTGTAGCTCTACTGGTTTGTAATTTACACAAAGGAAGAGAAAAATAACATTTGGATTTGAAATTTTTCAACAGCAATGAAAAGAATACTGATCCTTGGTTTAGTCTCTCTTTGTGGCAAGATTTATTGCAATCAGACAAAAATTGTAGGAGGAGTAGTCTTTTAAAAGAATTTTACAGAAATTTCGATTTTAGTAACCATAGGAACATCATTCAACAAAATCAAAAAACAATATATCTCAGTGTAGTCTACTTGTGTGCCAAGTTATATTGAAATCAGACCAAAACTGTAGGAGGAGTAGTGTTTTGAAAGTATTTCAAGAAAATTTCTATTTTTAGTTACCATGGTAACACCGTTCATCGAAATCAAAAACCGATAAACAGAATTATGCATCATAGTGTAGTCTACTTGTGTGCCAAGTATTATTGAAATCAGACCAAAACTGTAGGAGGAATAGCATTTTGAAAGTATTTCAAGAAAATTTGTTTTTAGTATCGGTTAATTGTGGCAACACCGTTCATCGAAATCAAAAACCGATAAACGGAATTATGCATCTTAGTGTAGTCTATTTGTGTGCCTAGTTATACTGAAATCAGACCAAAACTGTAGGAGGAGTAGGGTTTTGAAAGTATTTCATAGAAATTTCTATTTTTAGTAACCATGGCAACATCGTTCATCGAAATCAAAAACTGATATTCAGACTTATGTATCCTAGAGTAGTCTACTTGTGTGCCAAGTTACACTGAATTCAGACCAAAACTGTAGGAGGAGTAGCGTTTTGAAAAATTGTTTACAAACGGACGGACGGACAGCTAGACGGACGGACGACGGACACTTTACAATCGCATAAGCTCTTCTGGTCCCTGACCAGTAGAACTGATAATTTGAAAAGTGCCGAAATTTCTCTGCAAAGTTTGACGAAATTCTGTGCAGCGGTTTAAGAGGAGTTGGCCGATAAATTCTTCATCTCTATATTAAAGATATGGCCAAAAATCTAAGTTGAAAAGATCCGAAATTCCCAGAAAATAATGGAATCGGAATGTCCTGGCAATATGCACAACTACACACTGTGTCTTAAATCTATGTATAGTTTGACGAAATTCTGTGCAGTGGTTTAGAAGGAGTTGCGCTGACAAACTGTTCTTAAGTATAATCAAGATATGGCCAAAAATCTTAGTTGAAAAGTGCCGAAATTCCCTGAAAAATAATAGAATCGGAATTTCCTGGCAATATGCACATCCACACACTGTGTCCTAAATATCTGCAAAGTTCGACGAAATTTTGTGCAGCGGTTTAAGGATTTGCGCCGACTTCATTGAGCAACATGTACATGAATCAATTAAGCCTTTTTTTTCTTAATTGAAATTTTGCTAACAATATTTTCACAATCACATTGGCTTAAGTATTAGGAAAGTACATAGGAACCTCCAGATGTTACGTTTACTATTGTGACCTTTACCGAAAGGGTAAGGTCAAAGGGGAACGACCATTTGATACTGGGGGGGGGGGGGCAAAAATTTTCGAGTCAGATTATTTACTTTCATGCAAGTCAAGGACAGATTATTTATTTTCAACATGATCAAGGACATGTTATTTATTTTCTTCTTTACTGAAAGAAGTTTGACTGGCGAAATGAGGACAGGTTATGTATTTTCAATATTTTTGAGGACAGATTACTTATTTCCAAAATCTGCCCCCCCCCCCCCCCCGAATCAAATGGTCGTTCCTTAAAAACTTGAGTAGATGGAAATTACAATGTCATAAACCTGTTAATGCAACAGATCTGCATATATTAAAAAAAAATAATTATTATTGAATGATGTTTAATTAAACCTGGTGAACTTACAATTTTGTATAAAGAATCTGTTTTTTAAAACTTTTTATATGTATGTCCAGTAGAAACCCCGTCAATGCAAAAAAAAAAACAACAAAAAATTAAAGGTTCAATCTGAAATGCTGGAAAATGCACCATTTGGAGCCATTTTCTACAAAAATTTTCAAGGGAGCCCCCCTGAACCCCCTAATGGGAGGGGGACACCCCCTCCCATTGGCCATTCAGGCCTCATCCCCCCCCCATGAACTTATTCGCTACTGAAAAAAAATAGTGTAAAAAATCGAAACAAAGTGTTATTTATTTTTTAATTCGTCCACCTTTCAATACAAAGTTGTGTGATTAGGTGGAGTTAAGGTTACCACTTTTCTACATGGAAGTTGCAACAAATCTTGAAAACTTTGTTTTTTAACCCTCCTTTTTTAAGAAAATAAAAAGAGTGGTGTCTTTCTTTGCAAGTATTTATAGAGCCGACAAACTTCCTTCTTGTGAATAAGAACGTCCTGCTTATGGTTAAATAAACATTGAAGAGTTGCAATGTTTGAGAAAACAATAAATCGTCAGTTTTGTATACTTAACCAGCTTAATGTATTTTAGCAGGAAGACAGCATTGTACTTTAACCGTTTAAATAAAATCGGGAGGGTGTCAATCCGATTTATCAACATGTAATAGGACTAAACCATGCTGGAAACGACTTATAATTGTAGAAAAATCTTTCTTATCAAATATAGAAACCTCAAGGGGTATTACAGAGACAGGAAAAGGTTGTCTCAATTGTCAAAACGTCAATTCTTGCCACTATTAACAGTAAACACAACAAACGATTCGAGTCGCAGAATATATAATTGATACAGACAAGTTGATCAATTTTTATGCGAAGACCAAGAAAACTACGTCGAGGCTACACGGCAAGTCAAACTTATGTGGTCAATTTTTTTTTCCTATCGATCTAAAATCTACGATTTATGCGAAGCAGTCTTGGGAGTGATAGAGTGCTCGGTATATTGTGTTACATTCCCAGATAAATCATGCTTTTAAACTCGATCAATGATCTCGAAAAATGAAGATGTAACATAAATTTCACAAATACTCGTTGCTATTGCAAAATACAGAGCTTGGCGTTTCCTGTGTATATAGTACTGCATACGTGATTCATGCGTCGTTTCCGTCTTCTAAGCAGTATTTTCCGCTTCGCCGACATTTCCACATACAGCCCGTGGTGAGAAGTGTTCACTGAGTTTCTATTAACAGGAATCGCAAACGTATGTATTCGTTATTACTATAGTTAAAAAAAATTGAGCTAACTGCTTTGTTTTGACCTTTCTTATTAATTTTCGAGGTATAGTAATTTTACCAGGGACCAATGTACGTCAGTATATATAAATACTTGCTAGTACATGACGATGTACATAAGTACATCATTGAAAAGTTTGTTGCCTTGTGTAAGGGAATGATGTTAACACGTGGGTTATTCAACATCCGCATCAAAACTAACCTTTATACTCTATTGCATAAAGAATACTCCAAATATGTGTTAAACAAAATCGATATAATGTGTTTTTCGAATCGCCTTAATTCACAAGTAAAAGGTTGATGTAAAAATTCACCATTTTATTTCATTATATTCGAGATTTCATATCGAAAATAGAAATGTCAACGTTAACTTTTAAGATTGGTGGGAAATTCATTAAAACGGAATCCTCCCAACACAAGTCCGGTGACCGTATTATTCTATTTTTTTTTCAGCATCGCTATGGCTGGATTATCAGTAGCAGTCATCTTGCTATGTTTGCTCAACTCTGTGTTTTCGCAAAGAATGTGTGAGTAAAAATAACGTTGTTTACATCACTCAAAAGAGTGTGCATGTTGTGTGCTTTGAAATCAAGTACTACGATTCGTCTTAGAATTATACGGGAGATAACTCTAATTAAAACTTTGCAATTGAGGGATCAAAGGAAAAACAAAGATATCAGGTTTAACTCTCAGTATTATCAAACAATTACCTGTGAAATGATTGAAACATTTCAAAGCTAGTTAGCCAAAACTATTTCTTACTAGATATCTACAGCAAAAATTTATAACCTGTAGAGAAAATAACTACAAATAAGTTTCAAAATTGTTTGAATCACTGACATTAATAAAGAACTGAATTACTGCTGACCAAACATAATTATAAAGTTAGCAGTGCTGCAGGTTTTGCGTTTAGAAATCATCAGAAATGAAACTGAAGTACACATACTCGAGTGCCAGTATTTAATCTAGAATGATTATGCTATCATCCACAGATTCATTTGAAACATATCTGTTTCCTCTCTTGTGAGAACCATTCTATAACACATTTAATTTATCATGCAGAATTTGGATAACAGGAGAAAAAGATATTTAATATTATGGCAAAGCATATGCTTGAAATTTAAAACATCCCATGAAATCCATCCCCAAATGAAATAAATTTTAAAATGTGGAGTTCTTGTATTAATGTGCATATTATTTTCTATTTGGTAAACATGGTAAAAAGTATTTAATGATTGTGAAATTCTGAAAAAAAAAACCTAGTTAATGTATACATGTATGTCATTTTCTCTAACTATAGTAGAAAAGTTCTTAATGGCTCCATATTTTATGACATATTTTTAGTCCACATCAGTGGACCTGTTGGAAATGAGAATAACACTTGTGGAGACAGCTTTACACTGGCTCCACGTTCAACAGAAAATGTTACTCTGGTTGCCAACGGACGCCTTTCTAAGGGTTTCTGTGAAGTCACCATTGGAATCAACAACTCACAGCGATGTAAACGACAAATCTGTATCCAGGGAGCTGGGACTTTGACAAGCTCAGGGATTATTTTCCACATAACACCCACTCCAGGTTCAATGACTGAGGTACATGTACTTTCTTATTCAGGTTATTCTAATAAATCAGTATGAATTTCTTCATTTAATAATAGGCTCACTTCGAAAACAACTTTTGTACACTGCTTAAAAATGTTTTGTGATTACTTAGTTTACAATCCAAAGGATTTTACTGAAAAAGTTAAAAAAAAAAAAAAGAAGGTTAAAAATAGTTTATAAAATACATATCAAGATTTCCACCATAAAAATTGTTTGCACAACAACGTCTCTACATGTATATATTGCTAGAATCAATTGCGAAATAAAGATTTGACATGTTCTTTCTTTGCTTAAAACAAAAATCTCCTACCCTCTTTTTTTTGTTACAAATGCAAACAATAATACAGTGCAAAGACAGATCAGCACTGACTTCATAAAGCACACAGTATAAATTTATAGATTTGGATATTCCTTTTGTGTTTTTCTAGTACCGGGGACCTAACTACTCAGAACTAGAGATGGAACACTGTTTTGATGCTTACTCACTATTTATCAACATATCAGAACCAGCCTCAGTCGGCCATAACTTTAACTTTCAGCTGTTTCTTCGTCCATCTTGTAACGACAGCAACAATGCAGATCAAATAGCCTTGTCTGATGCAGGTATTTTCTCCCTTTTATCATCATGTGTGGGGTTAGTGTTTATCAAATAGCAAAAGGGAAATTGTGGTTTTGAAATGGAACAACTTACGAAGAAAAAGTAGAACATGTGTGTAGCGTGGAGAGTTAATAGTCAAATTTGACAAAGTTGAAACATTTGACGTTCCCTCAACTGAGGGTTTCTACACATTCAGCAATAAAAAAGAAACCTATTTTCTGCATCTCACTGTACAATAAATTGACACAGATAAATAGGTCAAGGTTATTCAGAACAACAACTACTGACTGCACTATGGTAACAATCATGGACTTTAACACAGTATCAAAGTACTGGAAATACTCTTATAACGTACAGGCTACTTAATAATGTGTCGCATTATAAACCAGAATAACTTAATGATAGCTGTCCCTGTCAAAGTTCATTCTCTCTCCATCCATCATGACCTTGAGTTATCTTAAGGTCAGATTCATCACAAATCATGCTACAGATATCCTCTCTTGTGAAATATTAGCTACTGTAGTGGATATATTCAAAAAATCATTATGAAAACTTTTGCCAGCAGTGAAAGTTAACTAACCATGATTAAGAGGCACGAACCATCTTTGATAAGGTCATATACAAGTATGATCTTCCAATGTTTCTTCTTTATAAAGAACAAAATTTAATACTTTTTCTTTCAGTATCATGAAATTGCCCATATGACATTGCTAAAATATCATAAATCACCCTTCAATCATATGTAATCTTTGTGTCAAGTAAAACCTTCAAATATTTTTCTGTTAAAAAGTTGTTTCTGTTACAAAATTATAGCTTAGACATTAATTATTTTTTTTACTGCCAGTAACCTTGAAATTGTTCAAATAAACTAGACACACCCTTGGATCATTAACATTTTTTCACTAACTTGTTCTTTAAATGATTGTCTGTTTCAAAATTATGACCTGGTATGACTTTTTTCTGCCAGTGACCTTGACATATTGCTCAAATGACCTTGTTCCAAGATCACTACACATTTTCAGGTTGTGTACAATCTTTGTTCCAAGTGTGAGCGATATTTCTCATTATGGCCCAGACACATTTGCACAAGCATACAAAGGTCAATCCTATTTTCTCTCGATCTTCCCCATTTTTGCAATCTTTGTTTGACAATAGTCTAAACAATAAAACGTGAACAATGAAAGTCAAAAGTTCACCAGACTAAAAATTAAACTTTCTTAAGGTCTAATAACCCTCTGATAGGAGAGATAACTTTTGAAAATATATCCAACTATTTACTTCCTAGAATGATACTTATTTTGCCTAAACAGAGCTCAGCAGTTGTTACATTTTTTTCGTAGTTAATTAACCTGTTGACAGAAATAATTCCCAGATGCAAACATTTACTTGTAGATCCCTGATAATTATTTATACTTTTAGTCTTAAACATCTGTACCCAATTTTTACCCTGTTAAAAATAAGCATATATCTACCTGTTCATTTCAAAATTTAAAAAGTAGCATAATTTATCATGTAGCACCAGTGCTCAATCTTAACTTTTGGCCAGACTGACAGATATTTGATAAATTTAAAATTTAGTCCGTCCATTGTGCCAGTAAAAAAAGAAGAATTAATTTTAGATTATAAGACTAAAAATTTCGCAAATAATAGCACAGGTTAAAAGTAAAATAAAAGGAAATAAACAGGATGATGAACAAGCGGCACATGGACCACATTGCTCACTTGAGCACTTAATTTGGCTAAAGAAAAGCAGAAATCGGTTCAGTATTGAAGAGTTTAAACACATAAGTGGTCCCAAGAGGGACAGGGAAGGGGGCATGATTTGAACAAACTTGAATATACACAAACTGAGGATACTTCCATATTTCTATGACTGATCATGGCTTTAAAAATTTTTACAGATTTTTTCCTAATATATATTCCTATGTAAAAGTTTGATCTTCTATTGTGCCCCCCCCCCCCCCCCCCCCCCGGGTCATGATTGAAACAAGCTTGAATCTACAATACCTAGGAGGATGCTTCCATATTAATATGACTTATCATGGCTCTGCTGTTCTTGAAGAAAACTTTTTTAAAGATACTCCCTATATATTCCTATGTAAAACTTTGATTACATTGTGGCTCCATCCTATGGGGTCTTGTTTTGATCAAACTTGAATCTACACTTTTTGAGGATGCTTCCACATAAATATGAATAATCAGATCAGACTATGCTGTTTTAAAGAAGATTTTAAAGATTTTCCCACATATTTCTATTCAAAACTTTAATTGCCAATAATAAAACTTTAATCCCCCTAACCCCAGGGGTCATGATTTAAATAAACTTGAATCTACACTATCTTATGAAGCTCTCACCTATATTAGTTTCATCTTTTCTGGCCCTGTGGTTATTGAGAAGATTTTTAAAAGATGCAATTAAATAAGATTTTTAAAAGATGCAATTAAATAAGATTTTTAAAAGATGCAATTAAATTTTTACCAATTTTTAATTATATCCCCTTGAAAGAGAGAGTTTCTCTTCTTTTGAAAAAAAATTTGAATCTCCTTCACCCAAAGATGTTTTTTGGCAAGTTTGGTTGAAATTGGCCCAATTTTTCTGAAGAAGAAGTTGAACATGTGAAACGTTTACACAAAAAAGACCTAAGTCAGAAAAGTTCATCTGAGCCAAAGGCTCAAGTGAGCTAAAAATTGTTTGGTATCTATCTGAACTGTTATTCAGCTACACCATTGCTGTCATTAGGACATACATGTAAAATGTAAAACAAATACAAACACTACTGTAAATTCAGTTTAACAGTGCACACTGTATATTTTCAGCAAGCGAAATATCCCAAGGAGGGGGTACACACTATATACATGTATAGACTGAATGCCAAATTGAATAATTTTATTCAAAATGTAGCATTACTTTTGTCTTCTATACTTTTGTGTATTTTCTATTTCAATTTAGTCAATTCAGAAAGATATTAAGCTACTATACTTTGAAATAAAATGGGTAATATTAATACAGGCATTAAGCTAAGAGCATACAAAGAGTTAATCGGTATTTGTAAATATTCCTTTGATAAATGACATTTCACAAGAAGGACAGACAAATCTGGTACAGGACCAGTAACTTGACATGGTTATAAGTCTGCGGACTGATGAGTTAAAATGCAGTGAACACTGTGTAGTACACATAGTACTTTTTGATTTATATTGTATGTTTTTTCCTACCTAAAACAAAACTTTAAGAAAGATAAACTCTTGCTGATGAATGCACTTTAAAAAAAAAAATAACAATATGATACTCTGACTAAAAAAGTACCGCTTCATTATGGTTTCTAATACCAATGTATTATATATGGGACTAAATATTTTTAAATAACCTCATATTTTTAATTTTATGATGTAAATAATAGTAAATCATTGATCTGTTTATTCACTTTGTAAAAATTTTTTTTATATAATGATAAGACATAAAATCAATTTCTGAAAAAGTATGCTTCGCTTCATGCTTAAAACCTTTACCCATCGAATCTAATGCTTTTGTTGTTGATGAAAATTAATGTTTGCAATTTTTAATTTTTTTGGATGACATTTAGAACAGAGAGTCATTATATCTTAAGTTGTAAATAATCCTTCTTTCTGTCTTTTGTGAACTTCCTAGTGACATTGCCTTGTTTTTTTGTTTTTTTTAAGATAGTCGTGCTATAGATACGGTGGCTGAATTAGAGCGAGCCTGGACACTAACCACGGTGTATGGAGCTGTAACAGGAGTGTGTCTAGCTTTCTTCTTTCTTATCATTCTCTTCATCACCTACTGCTATTATAGATCCTACCCCTACGGCAACAAGAAACGTGAAAAACAGAAAACTGGTAAGGGAATCTTAACAATTTAAGCCTTTTCAGATGATAAATGATAGAATTGTTTACATGACATACTCCATCAATAGGAATCCTAATTTTGTATATATAGGTAGCATATTACTGGTAAATTCAAACTCATAAAGTGCTGTAATGTGTAAGGAAATGTCTTTATTAGTCTACATGAATGTAATCTCACCTCAAACTCAATTTTACATGGGGGTACAATATTAAACAAAATTTGCTCATCTGATCATCAAAAATGGGTTTCTAATGCATCAAGATTTACTTTATATTTTACTGTATTGTGAAAAAAAATCACTATTGTTGTTGTAGTAGCTAACAAAAAAGAGGGAACTACAAAAATTCAGGCAAGAGAAATGGAGGAAATGAAATTACTGGAGACTAAGGAGGCTGTGGGAGATTCCTCAGGCCTGGGCTTATCTGATAATGATGTAATAGACCTGGAGGAGGGAACCAGTCAAAATAAAGAGGAACCAGACAAAGAAGATACCTTAACAATGGAGAAAGAAACCAAAAAAGTGGAGGAAAATGAAACAAATGTGGAGAAGAAAATGGGAAATGACTTTGTAAATGTGGATCTGGAAACACCAGAGCCTGATGAGTCTCAGAAGTCTGCTTCATTAGACTCGGATTAATTAAAATTAACATTAAATTAGGTTCAATAATTCCTATTTGCAGCATGTGAAAATTATAGTGTTTAATACAGACATGAGACAATTTCTGTAAGTGTATAAATGTAAATATATAGAGATTTAAAATTGCTAGAATGTCAGAATATCTGTTGTCGTGATTGTAAACTGTGTCTAAATGTCGATTTGTGAAATAGATAAAGAGTGTGTTTTTGGAAGAAATGAAAAATACAGTATTGAACTGGATTATTCTTGATTCTCTAGAGAAAGGGCACGCATGTTATAAAATTCCAATACATTTTGGATTTTTACACTGGTACATAAGCATCCATTAGATATCAGACGACATGCAGACGTCTGTTTTTATATGTAGGTACATTGATTCAATCTAACCTGATGGAGTGGCAATTTATTACCCTGATAAGACAAAGAAAGATATTACATTTATTTTCTCTCTCTTTTTTTTTTTTTGAATTGACAGAGTACATGAACTTGATAACGGAAGTAGTTCCTGGGTTGTTGCTTGCTTGACAGTTGACATTTAATATGAATCAGATGTATTTATTGTGGTAATTAATAATGCATTTTCTTTAAGATTTATATAACACCACACCCTATGCATACTATAGAGGCTATAGACTTTCAGATATAAATACCACTGGGAGACATACACAATAGTACCAGTGTCCTATCAAATATTATCTGACAATCAATAACAAGAGGCCCAGGGGCCACATCGCTCACCTGAGCACTATGGCTAGGAAAAAGCAGAAATCACTTCAATCTTGAAAGGTTGACAAGTTTAAATATAAAAGTGGTTGGGGGGGGGGTGTCAGGAATTGAACAAATTTGAATCTACATTATCTGAGGATGCTTCAATTTAAATATGACCAATCATGGCTTTGCTGTTCTTGAGTAGAAGATTTTTAAAGATTTAACCTATGTATTCCTATGTAAAACTTTGATCACCCATTGTGGCCCCACCCGACCCACAGGGGTCATGTTTGAACAAACTTGAATGTACACTATCTAAGAATGCTTCCATATAAATATGACCAATCATGGCTTTGCTATTCTTAACAAATAGTTTTTTTTAGAATTTTTACTATGTGTTCCTATGTAAAACTTTGATCGCCCATTGTGGCCCCACCCGACCTCCGGGGGTCATGATTTGAACAAATTTGAATGTACACTATCTGAGGATGCTACCATATAAATATGAGCAATCATGGCTTTGCTGTTCTTGAGAAGAAGATTTTTACTATGTGTTCCTATGTAAAACTTTGATCGCCCATTGTGGCCCCACCCGACCCCCGGGGGTCATGAGTTGAATAAATTTGAATGTACACTACCTGAGGATGCTTCCATGTAAATATGAGCAATCATGGCTTTGCTGTTCTTGAGAAGAAGATTTTTGAAGATTTTTCCTATATATTCCTATGTAAAACTTTGATCGCCCATTGTGGTCCCACCCGACCCCCGGGGGTAATGAGTTGAACAAACTTGAATCTACACTACCTGAGGATGCTACCATATAAATATGACCAATGATGGCTTTGTTGTTCTTGAGAAGAAGATTTTTAAAGATTTTTCCTATATATTCCTATGCAAAACTTTGATCGCCCATTGTGGCCCCACCCGACCCCCGGGGGTCATGATTTGAACAAATTTGAATCTACACAACCTGAGGATGCTTCCATGTAAATATGACCAATCATGGCTTTGCTGTTCTTGAGAAGAAGATTTTTAAAGATTTTTCCTATATATTCCTATGTAAAACTTTGATCGCCCATTGTGGCCCCACCCTACCCCCGGGGGTCATGATTTGAACAAACTTGAATCTACACTACCTGAGGATGCTTCCAAGTAAATATGACCAATCATGGCTTTGCTGTTCTTGAGAAGAAGATTTTTGAAGATTTTTCCTATATATTCCTATGTAAAACTTTGATCACCCATTGTGGCCCCACCCGACCCCCGGGGGTCAAGATTTGAACAAACTTGAATGTACACTATCTGAGGATGCTACCATATAAATATGACCAAGTATGGCTTTGCTGTTCTTGAGAAGAAGATTTTTAAAGATTTTTCCTGTATATTTCCTATGTAAAACTTTGATCGCCCATTGTGGCCCCACCCTACCCCCGGGGGTCATGATTTGAACAAACTTGAATCTACACTACCTGAGGATGCTTCCACATAAGTTTCATGTTTTCAAGCACAGTGGTTCTTGAGAAGAAGATTTTTTAATGATGCCATTAATTTTTCACGAATTCTTAATTATCTCCCCTTGGAAGAGGGCGTGGCCCTTCATTTGAACAAACTTGAATCCCCTTTACCCAAGGATACTTTGTGGCAAGTTTGATTGAAATTGGCCCAGTGGTTCTTGAGAAGAAGTCGAAAATGTGAAAAGTTTACAGACGGACAGACGGACAGACAGACGGACAGACGGACTACAGACAAAATGTGATCAGAAAAGCTCACTTGAGCCTTCGGCTCAGGTGAGCTAAAAACCAAAATTTATTAACATCAGTCACTTTGTCTGAATTTGAGGGCTTTAAGCCTTTATGAAAGAAAGTGAAAGTAGCCTTTCCTTACCAGTAAGTGGACAAAAGAAAACGAGGATTTGACCGGACACAACTCCCAGCCCTCATTCTCCAGGAACATTCGAAGCTCCTCCATTCTGTATCTATTAATAGGAAATAAAAATTTAAGCCCAGTCTGATTAAATTGATTTAAAAGTTTTACTGATAAATAATAACTCTTTCACAGAAATCGGTATGGTACATGTAATGCTATATTTAAACCTTAAGTATTTAAACACTGCAACATCAAATACTAAGGTAAAGCAAGTATGTGATTCTCCAACGAAATATGTCAAGCCTTGCACTTCTCTTGAAGTTTTTAATCAGTCTCATTATGTTTGAAAGGATATCAAAGTATTACTGTAATTTTACACGTATCAAGATACATGTCTGTTTTGTATATGCAAATAAAACATGTATATGATTACTTGTAAAATCATCCCTGTAAAGTACATTTCAAATTCAAGAACTTTCTAGTAAATAAACAGCATTAGTTGATAAGAAGACCATAAATAGTCACAGATCAATCTGAAGCAACAATTGAAATCTTAATCTGACAATATAAATAACCTTTGGAGCTAATTACATGAACATTTTGATGTTTCTAAATACATGTATATTATTTGAGCATAATTACATAAATATTTCAATGTTTCTAAATACATGTATATTACTTGCATGTATATTTTTGTGGCTGGGCAAAATTACTTAAAAAATATGATACATGTATGTTGGTTTTAAACAAAGATGAACAGTTAAAAATTACAGAAGGAGATACTGTAAATCACTTTTTATTCGTGAGAACTTAATTTTTGTGGAAATTACGTGAGATCGTCTGCTTGCAAAAATTTCATTCTCAGGTATAATTCTACTATTAAAGATTATATAGAGCAATAACCAAAATTCATGAAAATTTTGTTTCGCTTATAAATACCAAAGAGTAATCTTGCGAATATAAGGTGTCGCGAAAATATAGTGATCTACAGTATTCTGGTAACTGTACCTGTGGTGGTTTCTGAAGTAGTTTAAACTCTGTTGTTTCAGGGAATCCTGCAGGCCCTCCGACTTGCTTTTACAAAATTCTTCTCCAATCTCTATCATCCTTAAGAAAACAATAAAATAATTCGTTATAAAATACTTTACTAATCCGGACACCATTGGTTCCATAAAAATTGGCCGGATTAGACAACATTTCAGATTAGACAACATTTTACAAAGAGGGACTTGGAAATACATCGTACTAAGTCAGGTTTCGGAATACACAACATCCTGATTAGACAAGTTTTACTATATTATGTACCATCAGAATTTGCTCAAAATTAAATGCTCTAATATATTCATGTATTTTTTTTTTAAATGGTAACTTTTAACATTTGGTTATAATTATATGTACATATGTACTGTAAAGATTTTTTTATTATGTAAGACCATCTGATTGCAAAAAATATTCTTCTTGCATTTATTATTATAAAGGATTATGTATAACAATAGACCAAATCTGGGGAAATAAATACCAAATAACTTTCTTGCAAAAACAAGAAATTTTGTGGTCTACAGTAAGTGAAACCTTTGGATTTTTGAGAAATTATTTGGATATTGATCCTGATCCACACCTGTTGACTAGATCCAGCACCCGGATGAACTCTTCCAGTTTGAATCCAGACAGATCCGTACCAAGGACAAAAATCTTGACTTTGGACTGGACATCTTGCCAGATCCGGCTCAATCCATGTTCTAGTTTCTGTTTAATGTAATGTTGATTGAAGTCTGCCTGTGCTTTCCCATCTATACATATAAAACAAAATAATCAGTTCTTGTTCCACCGTCAATTCTACCTTCATTTCATATATGCATCTTCAAAAACGTGAATTCAAAATTCATTAAAATCTGAGGATGCACTGAGAAACCAATCGATATCTTTAATTCTTATTTAACAGGAGACATGAAGTAAAATTAATGTGGAATCATTTTAATTCATGGGGGTCAATGTTTGTGGACAACCAAAATTTGACTGGTTTTTGGGGATGTAATTTCCTGGTGACCTCCTCTATACAAATGATTCAATGAGCTGATATACTGACAAAGTTATCATTCTTAGGAATGTAAATTTGTGTGTAAGAACGACCCACAAAATTCAAGAACACTGGTCAATAGTGATTCCATAGTACATGTATTTATGATTTTTTAAAAAAAATTTGATTTATTTTTCAATAAATTAAATCTAAATCCACCTTCCGTTTCCTCGGATTCCTCCTCGTGTTCTTCATGCCACCTCATTGTCTTATGATAACTCTTCATCACCTCCCATAATGCTTTGCTCAGGTCAATTAAACATGGAGTGAAACTGTCATGAGTAACATTCTGTAGAAAAAGTAGTTTCTTCATAATTAGTTTAAGTTTTTAATTTCAGTTACTAATTCATCAATTATTTTGATTAATTTATCAATACTAACATGCTTTCATATACTTTAGCCATAAACAAGAACAATATTTATTTATAGGAAAACAATGAAAAAAGAATGATTTTTTTCTGTGAATATTTACATTTCCTACTTGTTTTCCTTATAAACATTTCATAAACAAATTCAATCAATTTATATTTTTTTTTCATGTGCACAAGCATTATGTAAAATTTGATTTGCAATTTTAACCCCACCCTAACCCCATGCTTAATCGTTTGGGAAAAAAACAAACTTAAATCCAAACAACTTGGGAATGTTTGCATTTAAATGTGAATTAGTGCGACCCTACTACCCTCTAAAAGATTTTGAAAAAAAAAAAATCAACATATTCCCCTGCAAACTTTAATCTCTCATTGTTGTTCCCCATCAAAGGCCCCATACCTTGCATAAATCTGTGTATTGTCTCTTGTGGAAGTTTTCTCGTCCCGTCCCTGAGCACAGTTCTACGTAGCCTAGCACTATCTGGAAGGCCGTGTTATGTATAGCGCTAGTGAAATGCATGTGAAGTTGGTCCATAGCCGTCTGTAAAAAACATGAAGTAAAAAGTCAGTAAATGAGTCTAACTGTTGTAAAGGGCAGTTACTCTAGACAAGACACAAAGTTTTTATTGTATGTGTCAATTCTTACAATCATATACAATAATGTGATAAAAATATGAACTGTAAATCACAATCTCTCATGAAGTTAATACTTAGACATTTTTCAGACATTAAACACAGACACAATCCTAATGGGAATATTCATTTTTAAGGGCAATTCAATACAATAAAAGTGAACTTCCGTATCTGGAACACGGATATCTCAAATACCATAGATATGTTGAAGTGATTGGGAAGTCCTAACCACCTATTTCCTAAGTATTTTACCCTCGATATCTGAAACCCTCAGATATCTCAAATTCTTTTCTTGGTCCCATCGAGTTCGAGATAACGAGCTTTGTCTGAATTTGAAACAATGCTAATAAGAATTCTACACTTCAATTGAACAAGTACTTCACAATGCTTATCTTCTGAGCCTTGACAAACTCTCTTTTTATAACTGTGCCAAGTTTGAGTTTGAACTACCCTCAACTTAGCAAGCCTAAATTCTTTTTTTCAACATTGTAAAAATGTGTGGCTGACTTTTTCAGTGCCTTTATTCATGGCCATGATAGCCAGTCCTTGTTTGAGCAATTCTTGGGCCCAGTATGATATTCTGATTTCTATTATAAAGTTGTGGTTTACACACAAATTGTACTCTTTAATCCCTATGACAATATTGTTCTCAAATGACTTTGATTCAGGGTCATGACACAGAGCTTTAACTAGGTAAATGATTTTATTGTCTAGAGTGAGCTTGTAATGTATTTAAGTTACCAAGTTATAACCTCCAAATCATATTCAAATGATGAGAAAAGATAAATAAATGTATTGAAAAGACCATTTCACTTCTGTTGAGCTTTTCTTTAAAAGGAAAGGGGGAGGGGGGTTTAAATTCACACTTGAGTTTTTCCTAGAAGTTTGTATGCTGTTTGAACTTTCTCGTAGTGAGCTTTGTCGAAATTGCTGCAGGTTTTGGATAATGCCACATCTATCTGTTCCTCTATCATAACCAGAGTATCCTGGAGTTTGGAGTTCAACTCACTGAAAGTAAACAGCCAATTACAGTTAAAGATAAAAATGAAATGGTCTATATACAAAAAAGGGATGAACAGAGCTTAAAAACTTTGATATCTAAAGAATCAAAGTGCAATATAAGGTATGTGTCAAAGTGAGACTGCAGTCTAGATCTAATTACTCATTCAGGTTTCAACTTTTATATTTCTCATATGTGGATATCTAAAAGTTTTTGGACAGCTCTGTCACTTTTGAGGTATCAAGGCTCCACTGTATCTGATTTTCCATGGTGTTTTGATTGATCTGATACAGGTAAAAATGTCTGAGAATAATGACCTGATATAGGTAAAATGTCTAATTGACTGACCTGATACATGTACAGGTAAAATGTCTAATGGCCAGACTGATATAAAGATAAAATGTCTAATGGCCTGTGCTGATACAAAGATAAAATGTCTAATGACCCGACTGATATAAAGATAAAATGTCTAATGGCCTGACTGATATATAAAAGATAAAAAAATCAAATGGACTGACCTGATATAAAGATAAAATGTTTAATGGCCTGAGCTGATATAAAGATAAAATGTCTAATGGACTGACCTGATACAGGTAAAAAGTCTAATGGCACTGACCTGATACAGGTTAAATGTCTAATGGCACTGACCTGATACAGGTGAAATGTCTGTATGTATTGACCTGATACAGGTGAAATGTCTGTATGTATTGACCTGATACAGGTGAAATGTCTGTATGTACTGACCTGATACAGGTGAAATGTCTGATACAGGTGAAATGTCTGTATGTACTGACCTGATACAGGTGAAATGTCTGTAGGTACTGACCTGATACAGGTGAAATGTCTGTAGGCACTGACCTGATATAGGTGAAATGTCTGTATGTACTGACCTGATACAGGTGAAATGTCTCTGTAGGTACTGACCTGATACAGGTGAAATGTCTGATACAGGTGAAATGTCTGTAGTTACTGACCTGATATAGGTGAAATGTCTCTGTAGGTACTGACCTGATCCAGGTGAATTGTCTCTGTAAGTACTGACCTGATACAGGTGAAATGTCTGTGGGTACTGACCTGATACAGGTGAAATGTCTCTGTAGGTACTGACCTGATACAGGTGAAATTTCTGTAGGTACTGACCTGATACAAGTGAAATATCTGTATGTACTGACCTGATACAGATGAAATGTCTCTGTAGGTACTGACCTGATACAGGTGAAATGTCTGTGGGTACTGACCTGATACAGGTGAAATGTCTTTAGGTACTGACCTGATACAGGTGAAATGTCTGTAGGTACTGACCTGATACAGATGAAATGTCTCTGTAGGTACTGACCAGATACAAGTGAATTTTTATTAGGTACTGACCTGATACAGGTGAAATGTCTGTAGGTACTGGCTGCCTTTTGACATTCTAGACACAGCTGAATGGCCCCACAGTAATCCTCCTCCTAAAAATAAAAATAAGTCATAAACAGGCACTTCTAAATAATTTACCCTTTTTTCCCCTCCATTTTAATATATGAATGCACAGGAAATGTGGTCACCTCATACTTAAGAAGAAATGGTGTACATGACAATACACATAAATGCACATGCCTGTAGAACATGCCCCCCCCCCCCCCACCAAAGATGACCATCTTCTATTACATAACTATACTGTAGAGCTTCATTTTGACTTATTCAATAGCTATGTTTATCAAATCATATCCACCCACCTCCATCAGTTCCCTAAGTCTCACATCTGTTCTTTGCTGCAAAGAGAAATTGATAAACTCTGCACTTTAGCTGGTAAAGAAACTCTATTCATCTCTAATTGCAATGCAGAGATTTTAATCAGCCTAGTTAAAGGAAATGTTGGTAATTCAGACACAAATCTTCATTACAGATGCATGAAGTCAATATTTCCTATTTCAGCTAAACCTACCAGAGTTTCTATTGTTCTCAGAGACTTTAAGAGGCTAACTAGTTGTTGGCGCTTTCTGTAGTTGGCTAACATTTTCAGACTGGCTGCAGTGAATGTATCTCTGGCAACCGACAGCTGGCTGATAAAGAAATGTTAGACAAATTAAGATTGAGTGAGAGGTACAGCACTGTTTTCTTTGATACACTGATGGTCTGGTAACCTCTGACTAACCTTCTGCCATTGGCACATATAACATTGGCATATTGTAGAGTTTTCTGAAGGTCCATCACTCTCTGAAGTTCCCTGGCATAGGCAGGGTGGTTCTGGAGAACCAGATCGGACACTTTTTTGGAAACCTGCCGTTGATATAAATTCTGTTACTAATCTAATATTGAAGACAAAATTTTGTAAAGCTGCCATTTCAATTGCTTTGGTGCTTACCACTTGCAGTTGCTTGCGAAGCCTCTTTCTGTCTAAATCAATGTCACCTAAATCCAACACTTCTGGTAGTTTCTGAAAATATTTTGATAGATCAAATTATAATTTAAATAAAGAAAAGAATTCTAATAGCAGGCAAACATGGTAAAGACTGAATATAAATGTTGCAAAATTTGAATATTGTGCATAATCTTTTATTGCATGTGATGTTAAGCCTTGTCAGCAGCTTGTCTTTAGATATAAGGCATATACAAATATCCACCATTTTTTAAGTTCAGTAAGCATAAGAGCAACACATTTTTTTGGGAAACGAAAAACAGAACATGCCTTCTGATGACAGCCTACTTATAAAAATGACCTATCTGAAATGAAGCCCTTAGTTTTACACTGTCCAAAATAAAGTTGCCCATATTTCAAAAACAAGATGTATTTGTGAAACACTGACAACCCCCCCCCCCCCCCCCCCCCCCCCATAATGACAGCTATGGCCAAGGTTAAAACTGCAAGGTCAAACTCAAGAGGTCAAAAATGTTGATTTCCATGGGAATGTCTTGTCACAAGGATTATGAAAGCCTTAGCTCCAATCAATCAAAAGTTATGAGCAAGGATATATTTTCTATGGACGAACAGACAGCTAAACTGACAGACCAAAAACTATATGCCCCTGAATATTTGATTATGGGGGGCATAAGAAGAAAAATGTTCAAAATGAGAACAGATAAATAGCAAAACAGACATAGTAAACAAAAATATGCCTCAAATCCTTGACCTTAAAGGCTCATAAAAAAGTAATAGATTTAAACCTACCCTCAGCTAAAGGCTCATAAAAATAATAGATTTCAACCTACCATCAGCTCATAATGACTGGTGTCTATACCCTCTGTATTGTAGTAAATTTTTTCAATGCCTTCCAGTATTTCTTGTTCTTCATGAGGATTACTTGGTTTTACTTGCTGAAAATTAGAAATTTCTACCTGTCAGTGGCCGTCACTCCAATTTGCATACAATGAAACACAACTCACACACAGACTGATTAGAAATAGTTCAATTTTACATTTTTGAAATGTATTGCTACATGGGTGAAATTTATTGTCCCAAGAACTTTGCTCCACAGGTGTTGGCAGTGAGGTGAGGACACCTCTCTCTGTGCAGAATGGACAATATGGAAGTGTGTGATGCATCACTTCCTTCTAGCTTGGGCTAGTGTGTTTACACCATAGCCTGACTGATAGAGACTGGACTGGTGTGCCAGAGGTCCAGAGTGTGATGCATCACTTCCTTCTAGCTTGGGCTAGTGTGTTTACACCATAGCCCAACTGATAGAGACTGGACTGGTGTGCCAGAGGTCCAAGGTTCAATTCCAAGCAGAGACATCAATCTGTCTCAGTTACAGAAAGGCTATGACACACACCATTTTTTAATTTGATTATGATCTCCTGTTTCTTACATCTTTGCACTCAAGTCTCTCTCACTATAATAATCCATGCAGGCTTCAATGCAAAACTTTTGTTGCAATGTGTAACACTAAATGCATTTTAAAAAGGAAAGAAGTACAATAGAAAATGCATCATTTCATGTAATACACTATAGCAATTAACAAAGAAAAGAAAAATTGATAGTTTTGTACCTTGTAACTGGTAACAACTGGTCCACCTGTGAAAGAATCATGGGTAATCTCTTCCTCTGAGGGAGACACTAGCGAGTCCTAAAATAAAAATATCCTATATACCAGTCTGATTAAAATAATAACTCTCACATACATATTTTAGACGAGTACATGTAAGTGCACTGTGTATCTGTGAATTAAATGGATGCAGATGCATTGGTTATTATTAACTAAATTATTGCAACATCTAAATTTGAATGGTAATGGATTTTATTAAGCTTCTTTAAAATACACAACAAAAGAACGTTTGGATGAATTAACCAACAGGGAAATATTGAAAGTAAAATATAAGGGGAAAAAAATAAGAATTTATGCATGTGCATTGGGGTACAGCTTTTCCTTTGGGCTTGATTCAGAGATTTCATCTTTGTTGAAATATTTACATTATCACTTTTTTTTTTTACTTTAAATTGCCTTGAAATGGGATTTAATGCACTGAATCATTTACTTTTTTTTAAAAAAGGCCCTTAAGCCACAAAGCTTTCGTGCATCACGTATATCTTCCTGACAAATAAATAATGAACAGTTTGAACAAATTAGGCCAAAAAATACACTATCTGCTATTGGCTCATACATTCATCTCTGTCACTGACTCACTATATATTAAAAATTGCAATGATTAGCACAAAATAAATAAATTTAAAAAATAAAATAAAATAAAAACTGTCTTTGTTTTATTTTATTAATAATTAGATGCACATGTACTTACTCAGATGTTTGTCTCTTAAAGTAAAAATTTTTTAAGTAAATCTAGAACTATTACTTTAAACAATCCTTGGAATATAACTTTTTAAACCTTTCATCAGAAATCTTGATTTGAGCCCATTGCAGAGTGTCTAAGAGAGAAACAAATGGCAACTCTGCACGGGAGATTGAAAAAAAAAAAATTTACATTTTCTATGGCTTCACCACTTTAGGTCAAACAATGTTGCATTGATCAATTTTATTCACATATTGAAAAGGGGAATACCTTCTTTCTTTTTTTTTTCTATTTTTCAAGTAGAAAAAAAGAAAATTGGGTTATTTCCCTTTTGTACCCTAGAAAAAGAAAATGATACTTTTCTGTGTGCAATACATTTCTTGTTATACAATATTTCATCAGTAAATTAAACTTATAATAAAGTTTTATGTATCATTACAAAAAAGTTTATTGAGTATCAAATAATACAAAAGTACAAAAAAGGTAAGATAGTCATGTCAGTTGGTATCTAGAAAAAGAGAGATAATTCGTATACACTCTGTAATTCAATCTTGCTTCAAAAAAAAAAAAAAAGAAAAGAAAAGAAAAGCTGCCTGATGCATTTAATTTTTAAATTTTGGGCCCAAGAAGCTAATTTAAAATATAAATGCACTGTATATTTACAAAATGTTTTCTAGACCCTGAATCGCCTTAGCATTATAACTTTGTGAGGTCTTGAAATGAAGGAAAACATAAAATTTCATGCAATTTCATTCATTCTTGGTGTCAAAATCCTCAGGGAAATGAAAGGTGGTGGACAGCAAAGTACTGTATACTTTTCAGAGATTAAAATATAAAATGATAGATATCAATTTTTTTTAAAAACAAAGCTGAGAGAAAATTGTGGACCCCCAAGTATCAATGTGGGTTAGTAAAACTAGTAAAGTTGGGCCACATCGCCCCTAAGGTTTTAAATGTTATTTGCAACCCTAAGAGAGACTGACAGATAATAAAAAAAACTTATATCAAATTATCCACCTGCACCTTTGGCTCAGGTGAGCTATTCATGGGTGTCAGTGATGAAATTTCAGAGAAAATTATAATTAATTGATTTCTTGATATACTGAGTAACTTGAGCAAAAGTACTCAAACATATTCAATTAAAAAAAAAATTAAACAGATGTTCCATGAGAAAATATTGTTTCTTAAACAAATAAACCACAATAGTGAAATCCTGATCATGCTGCAGTACAAAATTAAATCATTTCAGCGCAATAAAGGACAAAATACAGAAAACACAGTCTAAAGAGCTTCAGTGTTGTAGTATACCCTACAAATTCACTAAATCCATATGATATTTAAGAAAGAACAGCACAATACCCCAGGCAGTTGTAAATATGATCATACTATTCATACCTTGGAACATGATTCAAATATCTAAATATATAAAAATTGACTCATAGATAGATCTGATTTTGTACAAAAATCATCAAAGACAACCCTAAAAGAACTGTGTTGCAACAAGTTGGGACTACTGGCCCAAACAGGATATAATAATCAGTTTGGGTTATATTATATCCCAAATGGGATGTTAACTTGCAGTGCAAAAAAAAAACAAGAGGCCCAAGGGCCTTAACGGTCACCTGAGTAAAATACAACAATTTAGAGGATCCATAGAGTATTAAAATGAAATGAAAGGTGAAGCTTTGTTGCCCAAAAGCATGAAAAATAGGGAGATCAGGATCAACAAAATAATTAGTCTACTATTCATTAACAGTTCATAAATTAGGTTCTAATCTGTTCCCCATTTATCACTATCACCATACAGTATATTAACAAACTATCAGTGCTTTGTACTATTTTAATTCTTTGTTGACAGTTGCTATCTCTTACATTGGCCTCTCTTGGTCTTTGATGAACATTTAATAAGACAAGTTATTTTTGTCTCATTTTTATTTATCTATTACTTACAAGTCCACATGATCATTAAAACTACGAAAATACTTTTTGCATTATACAATAAAAATTCTTGCATAATTCTCTTATTCTATTAATTTTTCAAGTACATTATTTACAGTGATTAATTATCAAAAGTAAACAGCAAAGGGGAATAACTCCTCTCAGTAGAATGCAAATTAATTGAGCCCTGGCTAGGACCAGAACACTTGACCAAATGGTCCAGATGTTCAAAAATCTGGTAAAAATACCCTTCCTTATTACAACTTTTACACTTTTTGCCTCTGATATGCCCAAGTGCAGAGAAGATTTTTAAAGAAATAATGCATTTTCACTACAGATTCACTATATTATCAATAGAGCCCCTCCCCCCCCCCCCTTCACCACCGAGAAACACCAGAGCCTCTCACCCTGGGACCAGAAGTTTCAAGTTTGCTCATCATAAGTAATCACTTTGTTTAACTGCTTAACATTAAGGAGCAAACAGGATTATTTAATAGAATTAATGCATTTTCACTACATTATCAACAGCCCCACCTTTATACCAGCACATCTGACCCAGGGGTCATGCAATTCACTACTCCGGAAGAAGCACACTTGCTCATCATAACTATATATTTAGCTTCTTTGCTTTTTAACCAGAAGCAGAAAAGAATATTTTCAAAGAAATTTTGATTTTTCACTATATAATCAATAGAGCCCCCCCCCCCCCCCCCCCCCTTTTGACCAGAACCCTTGACCCTGGGGCCATGAAATTCACAATTTTAGAAGAGGCATCCTTGCATATCATAACAATGTACTTAGTTTGTTTAAATAGTACCCAGGGGCAGAGAAGAGAATTTTCAAAGAAATAATTCACCTTCACTGTAGGAGCTATATAGCCCCACCCTAGCACCAGAACCCCTGTCCCTGGGGCCATGAATTTCACGATTTTGGAAGAGGTGTCCTTGCTTATCATAACGATGTACTTAGTTTGTTTAAATAATACCCAGAAGCAGAGAAGAAGATTTTTAAAGCATTAATGCATTTTCACTATATAATCAATAGAGCCCTGCCCTAACATCAGAACCCCTGACCCAGGGGCCATGAAATTCACAATTTTGGTAGAGTCGCTCTTGCTTATCATAACTATGTATTTAATTTGTTTAAATAATAACCAGGAGTAGAGAAAAAGATTTTCAAAGAAATAATGTACTTTCACTATATGATCTATATAGCCCCACCCTAGCACCAGAACCCCTGACCCAGGGGCCATGAATTTCACAATTTTGGTAGAGTCACTCTTGCTTATCGTAACTATGTATTCAATTTGTTTCAATAATACCAAGGAGTAGAGAAGAAGATTTTTAAAGAAATAATGCACTTTCACTATATGATCTATATACCCCCCCCCCCCCCCCCCAGCACCGGAACCCCTGACCCTGGGGCCATGAATTTCACAATTTTGGTAGAGTCACCCTTGCTGATCATAACTCTGTATCTAATTTGTTTAAATAATACCCAGGAGTAGAGAAGAAGATTTTCAAAGAAATAATGCACTTTCACTATACGATCTATATAGCCCCACCCTAGCACCAGAACCCCTGACCCAGGGGCCATGAATTTCACAATTTTGGTAGAGTCACTCTTGCTTATCATAACTATGTATTCAATTTGTTTCAATAATACCAAGGAGTAGAGAAGAAGATTTTTAAAGAAATAATGCACTTTCACTATATGATCTATATACCCCCCCCCCCAGCACCAGAACCCCTGACCCTGGGGCCATGAATTTCACAATTTTGGTAGAGTCACCCTTGCTTATCATAACTATGTATTCAATTTGTTTAAATAATACCCAGGAGTAGAGAAGAAGATTTTCAAAGAAATAATGCACTTTCACTATATGATCTATATAGCCCCGCCCTAGCACCAGAACCCCTGACCCTGGGGCCATGAATTTCACAATTTAGGTAGACGGCTCAATGCTTATTACAATCATTTCATCAGTTTGACTGCTTGATGTCCAGGAGTAAAGAAGAAGATTTTTAAAGATTGCATTAATTTTGATGGTTTTAGCCCCACCCCTCAGGCCCCAGGGGGGCAGGGACCATGAAATTCACAAATTTTGTTCCCCTTCACACATAGATGCCATATGCAAAAATTGGCTGAAATTGGTTCAGCGGTTACAGAGAAGAAGCTGAAAATGTTCAAATGTTAACACACGACGCACGACGGACGACGGACGACGCACGACGACGGACGAAAACAGATAGCAATAGGTCACCTGAGTGACTCAGGTGACCTAAAAAAAATGAAAAATGAAAAAATAAAAAAAAACATATTTAGCTAGAATTGTAAATCCACATAAATATACATTGAACAGGTTGGGCACACCCCATCAAATGGTCATTTATCCCCCGTTTGGTGGACAATCTCCCATATCGGAGACGAATTTTACTGACCATTTGGGAGAGAAAAATGTTTGTGTTCAACTCCATAGAATGGCGTGGAAAGGCGCACAATTTTAAACCATGTGGAATTAAATATAGATATTTATCGGTGTTCTGAGTGAAAAAAATCGGAAATTCAACGTGTAATTTTTTGCGCAGAGTCGTTCAAAAATTTGACAAACAAACGTCACGTACGTAAACAAGTGCAACATTTCTACGTTTTTACTTTAAAAGAAAATTCCCTTCTTCTCCAACGATGCTGCACCTGTCAATCATGTTGTTTACTTTCTATTTCGATTATCCGGGAAACCAATCAAATAATGCAAACCAATAAAAACGATGATCTTTTTTTAACCTGGTCAAAAGTCGGATTTTGCTACGGAGGCACATTTGTGTCAATTTTCAGTTAGGAAATCAAAAGAAAAATAAGTTTTTGCCTTTATTTCATTTTATTTTGTACGCAATAGCTTTGTTCTCTATAAAAATAGTAAATGAAGTTAGATTATGATATAATTATTGTTTTAAAACGATGTACTTCGAACGAAAACAAGAATAATTGCAAAAGTCACTTTGTAAATCTTTTATTGAAAATTATTTATCAAATATATTAAATTCATCAATAATATACATATTAAACCACAAATGGTTGCAGGGAATATGCAACTTCATCCTAAAAGAAAAATAACAACAGATATTACATTCAAATCTAGAAAAATTTAACTCTATAGCAGTAAGTGCCCACCATACCAGTAAAGTAATGAGGAGCTCATGTTTAACGGGATTTTATGGAAATAAATATTGACGAAGATCCAAAAAGCAATTGAAACTTAACTTATCAAGAGTTAAACCACTGGATAAAATAGAATTTTTATCCCATTAGACACAATCAAAATTTTTTTGATCGATTGATCAAGAAGTTCGGCTGTTATGGACAACTAGTATCGTTTTTAGGAAGTTATGGAGAAATTACACATGGAAAATGGACCGAATTATGTTAATTGTGCGAGGAATATGTTCACTAAAATTCCCGAATGCCTAAGTAAATGCGCTTTTGCTTTATTTCAATAAGATTTGAAATAGAATAAAAAAAGTCCACCATTTGGTCAGTAAAATTCATCTCCGATATGGGAGATTGTCCACCAAACGGGGGATAAATGACCATTTGGTGGGGTGTGCCCAACCTGTTGAATGCAACAACTTTTGGCAAACACATTTTTCTATGAACCTACAATTTATAAGACTAATTTGCAAGAATTTTGGATCTTCTTTGGAATCAATGTCCTTAAGAGAAGGGATACAGAAAAACTTCTTGTGTTTTACAGTGTTTTATGCTAATTTACGATATTTCAAGCCATATATTTTTTTTCTTCAAATTTTGCACTGTAAATTTTATATCCCATTTGGGATATTTTAACACAAACGGAATATTACATTCCATTTTGGCAAGTGGTCCCTACCCGTTCAGTGGAAATAATACATAAAATATTTTTACCACTGAGTAAATTCGAGCTACATATTTTCATGTTAACTGCATCTGTTTTAACGAGTAAAATAAAACTATCACTTTACCTGCTTTTTAAGAATAGACTTTATTTTGTTCTTCAAGTCCATTTTTGTGGAACAGACGACCTACATGCTAACAAAACTTGTTTTTCAATACGCCTGTGTTGACAAATATTAGACAACTATGAGCAGACAACTCGCCCGGAAGTAAGACCCTACTTATCGTTCTTGACCCGGGAATAAGCAAGTCTACTGACTTAGCTGTGAGTTAGCACAATCAATATGATCAGTGACAGCGATGAAGACGATGTTAATGTGACAGAAAAATATGTAAAAAATAATGACAGCTTAAAGAAATATGGATGGGCAGGTAAGAGAAATATTGTCTTAATCTAGGAGTAGGAGAAAAAATGTGGAATATAACCAGTAACGTTAGGCCTATTCAAAGAGAATGTCAGACACCTCGGCCCAACGACACCTCGGCCCATTGACATCTCGGCCCAATGACACCTCGGCCTCGACTGGTCGGCCCAAAATTTAAGACACCTCGGCCCATACATAAGACACCTCGGCCCAAGCAAACTTTTATTAGAAAGTATTATATATTTCCAATCTGCGATTTCAATAAAATTTTGACCGAAAAAAGTAAACAATCAAGATTATTTCTAGTAATAAAAAGACCTTCCACGAGCTACATGATTGACGATAATCAAGGAATAAAAAGACAATTATAATTTTAAAAGTGCTAATTATATAACAGATAAACAAACAAGATGCCGCGGCGCATCCTTTGGGAGTCTCCAGTGCGTGTCATATTGGTGTCATTAAGGGAATAATTACGAGCAGGCTTAATCTGTTAATTGTGAGACAGTCATTCAGAACATTTACATCCATTTATATTTAAAACTAGTTTGAGCCCTGATTTTTTTAAAAAAAATTTATTTTAAGCTATCTGTATCAAACTATGATTTTCAATCAATGAACATGATGAAACACACGATGAAGTTCAGATCAATAATGCAATTATTTTACGTACTTAAACTATTATTTTATACGATTATCTATACTGACTTAAGTATATACAATAAAATGTCCTTCCTTTTTTTTTTCTTAATGCAAGATTAACGACCGCAACCATATAGCGAATTTCTTCGTTTATCCAATTTATGCAATTTTCCTGCAAAATAGCTTCAATTGTTAAATTCTCGCATTTACAAAAAAGTTACTGTTTAAATGAAGTCCATATATATCTTTTCACGAATTATCAACCCATCTCAGATGTTTCAGATCATCAGAGAAGTATTTGCAAAATGAAACGAAAAAATTCCGGCAATTCTTACAGAAAGTCAAGATCATAAGAATGTTGATACATATCATAGTTTCACTTAAGTGTATATATTGGGGATTTTCCACAAGAGATAGATGTTAGTTAACGTGCTGATCTGATTTGCTTAGGGAAGTGTACCAATTTTCTATTATAGAACCCCCCCCCCCCCTTGACTTTTATTTTAAAAATCATTTAACCGTCAAAAAGAATAATAACATCGATAATAATAACAATTCAGACAATGGATTAATTTTTTTCCATCATAAAATTTCGCTTGGGCCGAGGTGTCTTTTATATGGGCCGACGTGTCAAAAATCTTGGGCCGACCTGTCAGGGCCGAGGTGTCAGACGTCACGGGCCGAGGTGTCGTTGGGCCGAGATGTCTGTCTACCTTCAAAGAGAATTTTTAAATAAAATATCACGCAAAATTAAACTCATTATTCGTTTACTAGATGTTTTACCCTTCTTTGCTTAGATCTGCCTTTACGACAGTACCAGTTGTCAGGTGTAAACTGGCTTGTCAATTGTACAAAGAAGGGACATGGAGCAATTCTTGGAGATGAAATGGGCTTGGGTAAAACTTGTCAGGTTTGATGATGGTTAATATGTTTTAGACTTAGAGAGATATTTCATACCATGTATAATGTAGATGTATACTGGAACACTTTGTCACTTAAAAATTGTTTAAAATTGAGGTACTTTCATATATATCAGGCAGTGAAACAGATTCATTCACTTGTTGCTTTGGCCAAATAGTTGGTAGTCAGAGACTGACTAGGGAGCTAGGTTCAATTTTTGGTCTGGTAAATTGAATTTTCTCCTTTTGTTAAATATGGTGCCATGACCATGTCTTAGAATGACTGTGGAAAGCCTTGCTAAGGATTAATCCAGCATGCTAGAGGTTTTTGACTAGGCGCTGCGAGGTATACAGGTCCAGCACAATCTCTTGATTTAGCTATATAGCTTGATTTAGCTATGTAGCTTTATTAAGCTATTCAATATAGCTTGATTTAGCTATTTTATCATACTTTTCTCTTAAATGTGTTATTTTCTCAGCATGCACAAAAAGTCACACCTTGGTGCAGTGATAATATTCAACCTTGAACTCTTCTGAAAATAATGCATGTAAAAATCACTCATCAAATTGCATCTTCTAATGAGACTTTGTACTCAATGTTCTGAAAGTTTTGGGGCTATATAAAGCAATTTGTCATGGATTATCCGCGAGTGTATGTAACGTTAACTTTGTTGTGACGTCATAATACTTTACGTTATGTTTCTAAGATAATAACAAGTCTCAAATAAGCCACTATTCGATTAAGACGTCTTTCATTTCATTCCACAACATTTTGGTGCCATGACCGACGGAATTCTACGTAGTACATACAATGGAAGGAAGACTAAAAGCTATACGAGGCGGCAACAGATCAGCAGTTACAAAGCTATTTGGACGGTTTTTGGACTTGAAGGAAAATCCAGCCAGTGAAGAAATTACCGAGGAAATCAACATAATTAGAAAGTCTCTCGCGCTGAAAAGGCAGACCCTACAAGAATTGAATGACCGCATATTGGATATCCTATCTGAAGAGGACATCAAAACAGAAATCGCAAATACAGATGAGTATATGTATGAATTAGACTGTAAAATTAGGCTTTACTATGGATTTCAGATCGTTATATTTTTTGTTTTTCAATTCCTACATGCACAGTTTTTATATTTAAGTGAAATATTATTTGTATATTTAAATATAAGTTCCACATTTTACATTACTATTATCGAATTTAAGAGATTTTAAGCTTTGAAATCTAAAAAAAGTTCCAGAGTAAAGTTTCATAGTAAATCAAAGTATCAAAGTTTTCACTATAGTTAACTATAGTAAACTATAGTTAACTATAGTAAATTTTTGTTAGGGTTAGGCAAACTGAAAAATTTACAGAAAAAATTCCATGTAAAACTTTGAATGCCAATGCTGAGTGTTTTATACCCACCACAGATATTCATGCTAATAACGTTAACACGTCAGCTACAATTATCTCAAGTGAAACGGCTTGTGAGAATATTTTGAACATATTTTGAGCCTCTGATCTCAACGCACAAAGTAGTCAGGAAAATGTTTTGTCATTAATATCCCAACACGCCACGAATAATCAACGATTACCAAAGTTAGATCTTCCACATTTTTACGGAGATGTCTTAGAATGGAATATATTTTGGGATTCTTACGAATCAACGATTCATTGCAATTATACTTTGACGCCAATTCAAAAGTTTAGCTATCTCAAAGCTCAATTACACGACACAGCAGCACAAACAATAGCAGGATTTGCGCTTACAAATGCTAATTACGAAACGGCAATAGACTTGCTCAAAGAACGATTTGGTCAGCCACAGAAAATTATTAACTCTCATATGAGAGCACTCATCGAACTTCCTGCCCCCAGAAATGATGCCATTAGTTTAAGAAATTATGGAGATTTCTTGGAATCTCATGTTAGGAGCTTAGAGTGTCTAGGACAAAGACCAGAGATTTTTGGAGCATTACTTATTCCAGTCATAATCAACAAACTACCAATTGAAATTAGGAAAAACATTGCACGTGAGTTCGATGGTGACAACATTTCACTACAAAATCTTCGTAAAGCTATCAGCAAAGAAGTCAAAATCCTTGAATCAGGCCAAATTGAAAACAGTGATGGATTTCACGCAACAGCAATGTTTCTTACTGGAGCCTCAAAGAAACAACGCAACGTTCATTATTCACGTAATCAGAAAACAAGAGAGTCAACTCCTCATGTTGAAACAACAGAGATGAAGAGCCGCCCATGCATTTATTGTTGCACAGAGAATCATTTTCCAGGGGATTGTAAGAAAGTTACAGACGTAAGTGCAAGATTCGACATCTTAAAACGGAAGAAATTATGTTTCAACTGCTTGGGAAACCACCGCGCCTCAGATTGTAAATCCCGCAACAGGTGTAAAAAGTGTCAGAAAAAACACCACACAAGTATATGCGACATGAAACTAACGAGGGACAGAGACGAGACCACCAAATCAACAAGTGTCAACATTGTAGAAACGAGCAAGAAGTCAGAAACCAAAGTACTGAACGTTGAACATCGACCTACAAATGTTTTACTGAAAACAGCCATTGCCCCGGCGAGTCATGAAAATCAGACAACCGATGCTAATATCTTATTTGATGAAGGATCGCAAAGATCGTTCATAACAGAAAAACTCGCAAATGAGTTAGAAATCACACAAAGGAAATATGAAGCAATTAAACTAGCTACTTTTGGGGAAAATGGAAGTGTCCAGTATCTAGATAGTGCAAACATCGATTTGATAACCGACTCGGGAGAATTGATTGCTATTAATGTTCTGATAGTACCATCCATAGCAAGCCCTCTAACCAGCTACCACTCTTCTGAAGTAAAAAGACTACCATACCTTCAAGGACTCAAATTAGCACATCCGGTTTCAGCTGACAGCGAATTTGTAATTTCGTTTTTAATTGGAGCAGATCATTACTGGAGAATTGTAGAAAACCAAGTCATACGGGGACCGGGACCAACTGCTGTGAAGTCGAAGATTGGATTTCTGCTTTCAGGACCAACTTCTCAATCATCTTGTACAGACAGTGTCAGTGATCACATATACAACGTTATAGCTATGCATACGTCAATAGAACAAGCACTGGAACGCTTCTGGGAATTAGAGAACATTGGAATCACGGACACACCAGATAAGAACGAGTCCAGTGATAAAGTCAAGATGTACCAAGATAAATGCATCGAGTTTCGAGACGACAAATACTATCCCGAGTTGCCATGGAAACATGACCATTCTGAGCTACCGTCGAATTATGGAATTGCACTGAAAAGAACCCAAAGTACTATCAACAGACTGAGTAGCAACCCAGAACTTTTGAAGAAATACAGTGAGATAATCGAGGAACAGGAACGAAAAGGATTCATAGAAAAGGTTCCAGAGGATACAGAAACGTCTTCTGTGGTACATTATATTCCACACCACTATGTCAAAAAAGATTCCAGCACCACACATATCAGGATAGTGTACGACTGTAGCTGCCGCGAATCACCTGACAAGCCGAGCCTTAACGACTGCTTGGATTCAATGCCACCCATCTTAAATGATTTGACATCAATTCTGACAAGATTTCGATTATACGAATTTGCTGTAACCACTGATATTGAAAAAGCATTTCTGCTTGTTGGTTTACATGAGAATGACCGAGATGCAACGAGATTCCTTTGGTTGAAGGACCCGAATGATCTCAACAGTTCATTAGTGCCTTACCGTTTCAAAGCAGTGCTGTTTGGAGCCACTTGCTCCCCATTTATTTTAAATGCGACAATTCTGAAGCATCTACAGAACAAGAACTCTACTAGTGCAGGTATTCTGAGGAGAGATCTGTATGTGGATAACATGATATCCAGTTTTGCAAGTGAAACTGATGCTATTGAGTACTTTCGGGAATCAAGGAAGATCATGATGGATGCAGGAATGAAACTTAGATCATGGGCATCAAACAGTAAGCTACTTCACACAGAAGCCATGCATCATGGATTACACGACTCGGACGATGTAATAAAATTACTAGGATTACGCTGGGACCCAATGAACGACAAACTGTCATTTGCGAAACGAGAGATACCAAAACTTGAGACCATTACAAAGAGATTGATACTACAACACTCATCACAAATATACGACCCACTTGGTATCCTGAGCCCAGTCAGGGTGAGAGCCAAGATATTGTTACAGTCACTTTGGAAACAAAGGTATGAATGGGACAACCCAGTACCAGATGAAATTTGTAAGACTTGGAATTCTCTTGCAAATGATCTGAACATCGCATCATCAGTTCAATTTCCAAGGAAATATTTTAACAAGGTGGACGGTGAAACAACACTACACATCTTTGCAGACGCTAGTACAAAGTCTTATGGAGCTGCTGCATATATCTGCAACAGAAGCGAATCAAATTTAGTCATGGCAAAAAATAGAGTTGCACCACTTAAATCACTCACACTTCCACAGTTAGAATTGATGGCAGCACTAATTGCCGCAAGACTAGGAAATCACCTGCAAAATTCATTACCAAAAATGAATATTGTCTACTGGTCAGACAGCCAAATTGTGTTACACTGGTTATCTAGCAAAAAACTGTTGAAAAAATTTGTGGCAAACAGAATATTCAAAATTCGCGAATTATGTAGTGCATTCACATGGAAATACTGTCCAACACATGACAACCCTGCTGATCTACTGACCCGAGGACTTGACGCAACTTCATTTATGAACAGTGCCTTATGGAAACAGGGACCATCATGGATTTACAACAGAGAGACATGGCCATGTTGGAACCCAAACCGACCTCGGTACAGTCTGTAATGGAGACACAAGAGAAATGCATGACGTCAAACGACCTTACTACTAAACCTGAAAACATTCTGAACATCATCGACGTATCAAGATTCAGCGATTATAAAAAACTACTACATGTAGTTGCATTTGTATTACGATTTGTGAAAAATTGTCGAGTTCACACATGCGACAGGGAATTCAACAGTTTAACATCCGAAGAGCTGTACAGGGCCGAAAAGAACTTAATAAAAGGATGTCAAAAGAACGCGTTTTCCGAGGAGATTATGAAAATGAATTCCAATGGAGCCAAACCATCTCTTATCAGACAACTTCGTCTATTTCTTGATACTTATGGATGCATACGCTGTAGAGGTAGGATTTGCTATGCCGAAATAGACAACGAGACAAAGAACCCTTATTTACTTCCAAAGAAGGACACCGTTACACACTTGATCATCAGAGACGCTCATCAGCGGAGTGGCCATTCTGGTACGAATGCGACAGTGTCATACATCCGACAAAAGTTTTGAATACCAGCAATCAGACAGGCTGTAAATTCTGTCACTCGGAATTGCGTAATTTGCAGAACTGTAAATGGAAAACACTATTCCTCACCAGAGCTACCGCCTTTACCCTATTTTCGTACAGAGGAATCAGCGCCATTCACTACTACGGGAGTAGACTTCACAGGAGCTTTATTCGTTAAGGAACGGAACTGAAGACAATCCAAAGCTTATATTTGCCTATTTACATGCGCTAATACAAGAGCAATTCATCTAGAGACAGTCAATGATTTATCCGAACAGTCATTTTTACGGGCATTCTGTAGATTTGCAAGCCGAAGGTCCGTGCCTAAGATAATCATCTCAGATAATGCGCCAACTTTCAAGTCCGCAGCGAATTACCTGCAACAACTGTTTGAATCTAAAACTATTAAAGAAGAACTCGCAAATATAGGAGTTAATTGGAAATTCATTCCAAAGGCAGCTCCATGGTATGGAGGCTTTTGGGAACGACTCATAGGAATTACCAAATCCACACTGAAGAAAATAATCGTCCGTTCATACATCAATTTAGAAACCTTACAAACTGTAGTCACAGAGGTTGAAGCGATAGTAAATGACCGTCCGTTAACATACGTTTCATCGAACCTCGAGGATCCAGAGCCATTAACACCATCACATTTGCTGTACGGAAGAAGACTGACTTCCTTACCATACCCAACAGAGGACCCAGAGAATTCAAACGACTGTCATTCATTGACTTGTCATCGTCTAAACCAACGATTGGATAATCAGAATACTATTTTAAATCACTTTTGGAGCCGCTGGAAGAGAGAATATTTGACATCACTGAGAGAGTACCATACAGCAATTGGAAGCAGGTCACAGAATATTAAAGTCGGTGACATTGTCCAAATCCATGAGGAGAAACCTCGGATCATGTGGAAACTAGCTGTCGTGGAGGAACTCATACAGGGGAGAGATGGATTCGTCAGAGCTGCCACTTTACGGACCAAAAATGGACTTACCAATAGACCAATTTTGAAACTATATCCAATCGAAGTGAATGAGAACGAACTTCAAATACAATCTTTTGTTCGAGTATCAAAAACAAAAGCCAAAGAAAGAATCCATGAATGGACCTCTTAATTTAGTGATTATGAACTTGCTTTTTATTTCAATGGAACTGTTAATTTAATATGAGCTTTTTAAATTTTTACTATTCATTTTGGTGCCCGGAGTGTCATGGATTATCCGCGAGTGTATGTAACGTTAACTTTGTTGTGACGTCATAATACTTTACGTTACTATAGATAATAACAATTCTCAAATAAACCACTATACGATCAAGACGTCTTTCATTTCATTCCACAACATTTTGGTCCCGTGACCAACGGAATTCTACGTAGTACATACAATGGAAGGAAGACTAAAAGCTATACGAGCCGGCAACAGATCAGCAGTTACAAAGCTATTTGGACGGTTTTTGGACTTGAAGGAAAATCCAGCCAGTGAAGAAATTACCGAGGAAATCAACATAATTAGAAAGTCTCTCGCGCTGAAAAGGCAGACCCTACAAGAATTGAATGACCGCATATTGGATACCCTATCTGAAGAGGACATCGAAACAGAAATCGCAAATACAGATGAGTACATGTATGAATTAGACTGTAAAATTAGGCAAACTGAAAAATTTACAGAAAAAATTCCATGTAAAACTTTGAATGCCAATGCTGAGTGTTTTACACCCACCACAGAAATTTATGAAAATAATGCTAACACGTCAGCTACAATTAACTCAAGTGAAACGGCTTGAAAGAATATTTTGAACAATTATCCTGCCTCTGATCTCAATGCACAAAGTAGCCAGGAAAATGTTTTGTCATTAACATCCCAACACGCCACGAATAATCACCTATTACCAAAGTTAGATCTTCCGCATTTTTACGGGGATGTCTTAGAATGGAATACATTTTGAGATTCTTACGAATCAACGATTCATTGCAATTATACTTTGACGCCAATTCAAAAGTTTAGCTATCTCAAAGCTCAATTACGCGACACAGCAGCACAAACAATAGCAGGATTTGCGCTTACAAATGCTAATTACGAAACGGCAATAGACTTGCTCAAAGAACGATTTGGTCAGCCACAGAAAATTATTAACTCTCATATGAGAGCACTCATCGAACTTCCTGCCCCCAGAAATGATGCCATTAGTTTAAGAAATTATGGAGATTTCTTGGAATCTCATGTCAGGAGCTTAGAGTGTCTAGGACAAAGACAAGAGATGTTTGGAGCATTACTTATTCCAGTCATAATCAACAAGCTACCAACTGAAATTAGGAAAAACATTGCACGTGAGTACGATGGTGACAACCTTTCACTGCAAAATCTTCGTAAAGCTATCGGCAAAGAAGTCAAAATCTTTGAATCAGGCCAGATTGAAAACCGCGATGGATTTCACGCAACAGCAATGTTTCTTACCGGAGCCTCAAAGAAACAACGCAACATTCATTATTCACGTAATCAGAAAACAAGAGAGTCAACTCCTCATGTTGAAACAACAGAGATGAAGAGCCGCCAATGCATTTATTGTTGCACAGAGAATCATTTTCCAGGGGATTGTAAGAAAGTTACAGATGTAAGTGCAAGATTCGACATCTTAAAACGGAAGAAATTATGTTTCAACTGCTTGGGAAACCACCGCGCCTCAGATTGTAAATCCCGCAACAGGTGTAAAAAGTGTCAGAAAAAACACCACACAAGTATATGCGACATGAAACTAACGAGGGACAGAGACGAGACCACCAAATCAATAAGTGTCAACATTGTAGAAATGAGCAAGAAGTCAGAAACCACAGTACTGAACGTTGAACATCGACCTACAAGTGTTTTACTGAATACAGCTAGGCCTATCTCTCCGATAAGTCGGACCGTGGACTCCATGCAAGAAGAACGTAACAAGTTGACTAACGAGATACAAAAATTAAAATCAGAGCTGAAGACACAGACACAAAGGAGGAACGCGTTGGAGCATGAGAATGCCACCCTGTTTGAGAGAGTGTCATAATTCGACCAACAAAAGGATTTTCAGACTCATGTAGAGAATGTGATGAAGGAAATGATGGAACAGAAAAATAAACTGGCGTACGAAAACGGACATCTGCATAAGGAGATTCAGGAATTAAGGGGCCAAGTTGACATACTCAAAACCGCCACCTCTGACTGGGAGCATCTCAAGACTAAAGACAACAGTCTTCAGTCACGATGTGATTACACTCGAAAGGAAATAAGTGATCTAAAGATCAACGTACAGAGATTGGAAAATCAGCTGCAAACCTTACAGGGCTCCATGGAAAGCAGGGAGAGAGATTACACTGTCGCCGTAAAGACTCGTGATGAGGAATTAAGGGAGAAAACTCAGATGATAGAAAAATTTAAAGTGGCCGAGGGGAAGGAGAAAGATAAGTCACAGAAAAAGAATCTCAGGGACATGGCAGAGATAAAGAAACAAAACAACAACCTACAGACTCGGAACATGGAGCTGGAGAAAGCTAACACAAAACTACGTCACAAACACTCGGAAACTGAGACTCTGATACAAAACCTGAAATATAAAGTGTATGAAGAGAAGATGATCGAGTATCAAAACCAAAAGCCAAAGAAAGAATCCTTGAATGGACCTCTTAATTTAGTGATTATGAACTTGCTTTTTATTTCAATGGAACTGTTAATTTAATATGAGCTTTTTAAAATTTTACTATTCATTTTGGTGCCCGGAGTGTCATGGATTATCCGCGAGTTTATGTAACGTTAACTTTGTTGTGACGTCATAATACTTTACGTTACTATAGATAATAACAAGTCTCAAATAAACCACTATACGATTAAGATGCAGTTACTTCTTCATTGAAATTATAAAAGAGGCCAATTATGGTCAACAAGATAATTGATTGGTGATAATTCAGTACAATGAGAAGCAATCATACTTATCCACGCCTCAATGCACACAAGGTAGTGTACAGTTACTCAAGCAATGGAAATTCATCTTTTGCTTAAAAGTATTCAAATGCTGCAATGATAGAACTATCTTTGATTTCTGTTGTTGTTTTGATAGCCCATAGTGCATATATGAATAATCAAATACTTGCGACTTTTTTTCTATTTCTTACAAAAAACATTTTTTCTGAAAAACTGCACATAAATAGCTTAATCAAGCTATTTTAAATAGCTTAATAAAGATATATAGCTTTTTCAAGCTATATAGCTAAATCAAGAGATTGTGTTGGAACTGGTATAAGGGAAGGAACATTAACTGAGGCTCTTGTAGAAGTAACTAGGAATGTGTCTTAAGGAATACCATATTAAAAGTTTACTGACTAGAAGCCAGATAACAGGGTCTACTAGTAATATTTAACATGTTTAAGGGCCAGGTTTGTTTTCTCCCTTCCTATATATGTACATGTTGTCATATTATGGTAATATTTTCTGTTTATATTTTTCAGACAATAGCTTTTCTAACATACTTAAAGAAACCAAATCAGCAAAGTTTGGTTGTCTGTCCAAGATCAGTGTTAGAGAACTGGGCTGAAGAGTTTAAAAGGTTGTATAAAATAATAATCTTTCTTGAGTTACAGAGACATTTAAATGATGCACACTCTCGTATAATCAAACATAAGTCTGCAGCAATCCTTAGCTAATTCATTCACATTTTTAAAAAAAAAATTTTTTTTCTTCTTTTAAATCATCATTAAGTCCCATTTACTGGACTTGAATTTCTGTAGAGGAAGACTTGAATGTCAGCTGATGATGAACCACCATCAATTATACTTTAATATAAGTGTTTCTTTCTCTCTCCTCAGGTTTTCACCATCCATGAAGATACAAATATACACTGGAGATAAAGACAAAAGATCAGAACTTGCATCCAAAATCAAACATGATCTTAAAAAGGGGAGGCAACACTTTGATATACTTCTCACAACATATGAAGTAAACATTTTATTCCGTTTGTTTAAAAGATGTGGTTGATAATGGTATATTGTATGCTGGTGTTCTAGCTTTAAAATAATGAATATATGTGAGATATTTTGAACTCTTACATGTGCATTTTGGCAATATTTTGACCTTAATGTTTCTGATCAATAAAAAAAGAATGTATGAAAAAAATTATTATTCTTTGATATAATGATGACAGTGTTCACATCTTTGAATGGTTAATTTTTTAGCTCACCTGAGCTGAAGGCTCAAGTGAGCTTTTCTGATCACTTTTTGTCCGGCGTCCGTCTGTCTGTCTGTAAACTTTTAACATTTTCAACCTCTTCTCAAGAACCACTGGGCCAATTTCAACCAAACTTGTCACAAAGTATCCTTGGGTGAAGGGGATTCAAGTTTGTTCAAATGAAGGGCCACGACCTCTTTCAAGGGGAGATAATAAAGAATTAATGAAAAATTAAAAGCATCTTTTAAAAATCTTCTTCTCAAGAACCACAGGGCCAGGGAAGATGAAACTCACGTGGAAGCATCCTCAGGTAGTGTAGATTCAAGTTTGTTCAAATCATGCCCCCCGGGGGTAGGGCAGGGGCCACAATGGAGGATCAAAGTTTTACATAGAAATATATAGGAAAAATCTTTAAAAATCTTCTTCTGAAGAACAGCAAAGCCATGATGAGTCATATTCATAAGGAAGCATCCTAAGGTAATGTAGATACAAGTTTGTTCAAATCATGACCCCTTGGGGTAGGGCGGGGCCACAATGGACTATTGAAGTTTTACATAGAAATATATAGGAAAAATCTTTAAAAATCTTCTTCTCAGGAACAGCAAAGCCCTGATTGATCATATTTAAATGGAAGCATTCTCAGGTTGTTTAGATTCAAATTTATTCAAATCATGACCCCCAGGGGTAGGGCAGGGCCACAATGGAGGATCAAAGTTTTACATAGAAATATATAGGAAAATTTAAAAAATCTTCTTCTCAGGGACAGCAAAGCCCTGATTAATCATATTTATGTGGAAGCATCCTCAGGTAGTGTAGATTCTATTTTGTTCAAATCATGACCCCTGGGGGGTAGGGTGGGACCACAATGGAAGATCAAAGTCTTAAATAGAAATATATAGGAAAATATCTACTTCTGAAGAACAGCAAAGCCATGATTAGTCATTTTGATATGGAAGCATCCTCAGGTAGTGTAGATTCAAATTTGTTAAAATGATGACCCCTGGGGATAGGGTCGAGCCACAGTGGGGGATCGAAAATTTTACATAGGAACAAATAATAAATCATCTTCTCAAGAACTGAAAATCATGTTTAGTCATTTTGATATGAAAGCATCCTCAGGTAGTGTAAATTCATTTTTGTTCTAATGATGACCCCCCGGGGTAGGGTGGGGCCCAATAAGCGGTGAAAGTTTTACATAAGAACATATAGAAAAAATTTTTCTTCTCAAGAACAGAAAAGCTATGTTTAGGCATATTGATATGGAAGCATCCTCAGGTAGTGTAGATTCAAGTTTGTTCAAATGATAACCCCTGGGATAGGGAGGAGCCACAATGGGGGATCAAATTTTTACAAAGGAATATAATGGGAATTTTTTTTTAAAATCTTCTCAAGTACAACAAAGCCATTTGTTATATTGACATGGAAGCAGGTGAGCAATGTGGCCTATGGGCCTCTTGTTGCTTATTTTGTTTTTCGCTTTGTTTGTTTTTCTTAATCTTTGACTTTTTCCCAGCTGTGCCTGAAGGATGATGCTTTCTTGTCTTCTGTACCGTGGTGTGTTATTGTTGTGGATGAGGCTCATCGACTGAAGAACAGCGAATCTCTACTGTATCAGACCCTATCTGACGTAAGAATATGGGAACTTCTGAGGAAACCTTCAGTGTTTGATTTTGTGACATAGAATAGCTTAATTTACTACAGGGATTAAATCTCTTTGCATATATACACATATACACATGCACTACTAGTACTCTGTGTACAAAATAAGGCTTTCATTACCTTATGTTACTGGTACATTGTTACTGTTACATTGTTACTGTTATATTGTTACTGGTACATTACCTTACTGTTACATTATGTTACTGTTACATTATGTTACTGTTACATTACCCTACTGTTACATTATGTTACTGTTAAATTACATAAGTCTTCTATTTACAGTGGAACATAGATTATCGAGTGTTGTTAACTGGGACCCCAGTACAGAATAACCTGGATGAGCTCTACTCCTTACTCAGCTTCGCTGCTCCAAGAGTGTTCCGATTGTCAGGGCGCGAAAAATTTGTCAACAAGTACAAAGATGTCGCCAAAAATAAAGGTGATCAAAGCTAAGACTTTTTTCAAAGTTAAATAAGATCATGCCATTCAAATAAAATGCATCGTGGTCCAAATTGAAATTTCAGAGCTGTATATATCGTACAATTTATTATACATTGTAATTTGGATCTTCACAGGTACCTCAGAACTCCATGAGGTGCTTAAGCCTTACCTCCTACGCAGGACCAAGGAGGCGGTCCTTAAAGACCTTCCCAGGAAGTCAGAAATTGTGATGTATCATGGGATATCTAAAGTCCAAAAGAAACTCTACAAAGCCATCCTGACTAAAGATACAAGTAAGAGAAAATATTAAAAGTTATTATTAGAATCCATTCATGAATCATGATTAATTTAAAGGTTTTAGATAGACAAAAGGTATAATCTAGAAACTGTGTATTGACATTCTCTTTGATTATCTGTAGTAAGAATTACTAGTTTTATGCCTGCATGCTTTGTATTTCAGGTGTTTTCACCGACACAAATCGACCAGGAGGAGGTTCTCCCAGACTCATGAATATTCTAATGCAGCTAAGGAAATGTGTCAATCATCCATACCTTTTCGATGGTCTGTATATAAAGCAAACTAGCATGGCGCGGCGCCATGCTCTTTTTCCTCGGCGCCATGCCCTTTTTTCCAGCGCCATGCCCTTTTCTGCTTGCCAAAGATTGACTAGCTGCTCTGTTTATTCAGTGCATGCTGATTAGCCCTTTTGTTTATTTAATGTGTACTCAAAAGGTGTGAATTCAGGGCAGGAAATTACTTTTCGCTTGAACGCACACAGCCACCTGGCCAGGTAACATGCCTCAGGCTGTTAGGGTATAGGAGATAACATGAGAAAAACATTATTTGATTGCATGGTCACCGATTGCATTGAATATGCAATTAGCCCAATGTCTAAGATAGATGAACTTGTGACTTAAATAAATTAAGACAGAATCATTTTTTTTAAACCGAAAGTAGGAAAAAAAACATAGTTGATGTTGAAAAGTGTAAAACAGTGCTCATTTAATCTGAATAAACTCAACTTGTATTGCACCAAAACTGAATATTATATGAGAAATGGGCTTGGAAACAACAAAGTATGAAGTGAATTTCTTTGAATGATCGATGTTTTGTTCTTTAGAGTTGACACCCTGAGGGTCAATTAAAAGTATTAACAAGATTTTCAAGATTTATTTCATTAATGTTTTATTTTTTTGTTTAGATAAAAATTTTCACTTGATAATATTAATAGATTATTTTCCAAATAAAGAAACTGCCTATAACAATTATTTTCTAAGTACCCCCCCCCCCCCCCCCTTGGAAAAAAAATATTTTTGTGTTTTGCATGTCATATACCAATAACACCATTCCAAACAGGAAAAAATCCTGGGATGCCTCCAACTGATGATTCTTGGTGCATGCAACAGCTAGATTCACACCTATAATGGTTTTTAAAATAACCTAATATCTATATAATTCCTTGTGTAAAAAATTAAATGTAAATATATATTTTTTAATTGTCATGTCATAGTTTAAATTGTATTATGTTGTTTTTCTTTCTTAAAAATGAATAATTGAAAACAGATTTATAAATTTCATTACCTTTCAATTACTTGTATAAATTTAGTTTAATAATAATTAAAGTACATGAAGTAAAAGTTTATGATTTCAAAGGCACGTTAAAGAGTGCCCCCATGAAAACTTGCCGAGGCATAAAGTGCCCTTTTGATTTTTGAATTACCATGCCCTTTTTAGGGTCTAGATTTAACACTAATATAGTATAATCATAGTGCTTCCAGATACATGTAAATATTGGATGATTTTTTTTTTTATATCTACATGTACTAAATTTCTTATTTTTATCTCTTTCATCATTTTTGAGTTTGTTAGACAATGGTGATAATGATTGTTTTGTGACAGGTGTTGAACCGGAGCCCTTTGAGTTGGGGGAACACCTAGTTGAGGCCAGCGGTAAGCTGGTTCTAATTGACCGGTTACTGAAATACTTACAGACCACTGGGCACAAGGTTCTGCTGTTCTCTCAGATGACACACATGCTCGACATCATACAGGATTACCTGGGGTACAGAGGTAGGTCAATTCTGGAGATCCTTATTTTCACGAGAAAGTCTTATAGTATTTATATGTGAGATAAAATTTTCAAGAATTCTGGTTTACTGATTTATTGTTGCATATAATCTTTCATGATAAAAAATAAACATAAGAATGACATTTTTGTGAGCAGAGGGTATTGTATAATGAGGCAGAAATAAATTTAGCACACTAATGACTTACTGCTTGAAGCAAGATAGGAATTTGTCGAGAAATACTTCAAAGTAATGATTTATTAAATGGTCAGATAAAAAATAATATTTACATTTCCAAATATTTTTCCTTAAGATTCTTTGCAAATTAGAAGGCTGTTCATTTTCCCATGAACTACCATGGTTGAGCATGAATATCTCCATTGTTACATCATAATACCGTACTTGATGACAAAACTAGAGTGCAAACCATTCTGCTTTAAAAATGACAGTTGAATGGTGTAAATTGTGGCAAGATTCATGAGGCATGAACTACAACTCTTCACGCCGGCATATTTATCAAGAAACACTACCACGCTTCATGGATCGTCAATGAATCTTCAAAAATTAAATTCATTTCTTAAATGGATCTGTTAAAGCAATCTGTTTTTGGTCGATTTTAATCATACTCTAATAACTGTAAAATAAAAACAAATATATTTTCCTAAAATGAAACTGTAGAATCATCACAGAATTGATGAGAAGTAAACTATTTTACAGAGTACAGTTATGAACGTCTGGATGGATCTGTCCGAGGGGAGGAAAGATTTCTTGCTGTTCAGAACTTTAATAAGAACATAGAGACATTTGTGTTTCTGTTGAGCACCAAGGCAGGGGGTCAGGGGCTGAATCTTGTGGCTGCTGATACTGTCATTTTTGTGGACAGTGACTTTAACCCTCAGAATGACCTTCAGGCTGCTGCTCGGGCTCACAGGATTGGCCAGACAAGGTTTATACAATGTCTTATCACACTGTCTAAAATTTCTATAATATTTCCTGAAATTTTCATTTTTTAATTGGAATGGTGTGAAATATATTGTGCGTGTTTCTTTAGCAGGTGTAAATTTTGGTGTTTTGCTTGTTCAAAGGTATACCAATAATTCTGGCAGAACTTTTTTTGGCAGACATGTTTGAATACAATTTAGACAAGAATTTGAGAAAAAACTAATACCAGATGAAAGATATATTGTTTAACAACAGACTGATCAAAGATATTTGTTCTTGTATTTATTACTTAACAAAAAACAGATAGCAATAGGTCACCTGAGTAACTCAGGTGACTTAAAAAAATACAGTCTGCATGACCTCATTATCTTGAACTCAACGCTACTTCAAAACCGCTATAATACGCCAAAGATAGCACCCTCCTAAAAATTCCCACTATATGATATTCCAGATACTTTATTATAAGTTATATGTTTGCTAGAGTCATACTAACTTGGCTTTTTTAATTGAATTGTGTTAACTTTGTATATATATTAAAAATGATTTTTTTTTTTGATAAATGTTTGTTTTATTGTTAGGCCAGTGAAGATTATACGGTTAGTTGGAAGACACACTGTGGAGGAGATAATCCTAAAGCGAGCAGAGGACAAACTTAAGCTGACAGAGAAAGTGATAGAGGAGGGGGAGTTCTCACTGGGGCTCGGTAAACAGTCCCTCATTTCTGATGAACATGTGCCAGTACGTACAGTTAAAGTTCTTATTGCTGGGATAACTATGCTCCTGTCCAATATCATTTCTTGTTTTGTGTCAACTTTCACTTTTTTTTTAATTCAAAGTTACTACAAAAATTATTCGAAGAATAATTCATAGACTGCTTACCAGTGGAATGTAATTCTATAGAATCATCATAAAGTAACTGAACAAAAATGTATGTGTATCATATAAATTTGATTATCATGAAGACATATTGGAATGTTATCTTTCAAAGTATATCTTGCAGTAGATTTGCTGTGATCTGAAATTTTGTGTGAAGTCTTTCTGTTCAATGTCTTTCGCCAAAATATTAAGCTAATTTAAGAGTACACTTTTCAGCAAATAGCCTTCTTATCAATACAGTCAATTTTAGAGTCTGTATAAAAATTCTATACATGAAATTAGAAGTATAATGCACTATTGTATATTTTGATTCCCATAGCTACAAGACATTCTGAAGTTTGGGGTAGATAATCTGTTGAATGATGAGGACTCTGATGACACAGACATTGACTTTGCTAAAATCCTCGGTCCATCTGTCGACGGTGAATGGCAGTTAGAGGAGGAACCGTCAGTCAGTGATGAACAGGAGGTAACTGCTCCAGTTTTAGGTCACATTTCTAAAAAATATGAAACTAAGGTTTTCATACCATAAAGTCTTTTTCTCTGTTATGAATGATAGTAATAACAATGCTGGTTTAACAAAGGAGTTTTTGTCAATTGAATTCATGAATTACCATTCAATATACTGTCCTGTAAAATATTTATTGTGTAGTCTGGAGTTGGAGAAGGCACCGTCCAGTATGTATGAGTTTGAGGAGGTGGATTATAAGTTAATATACTGTCTTTTGTTTTATTTTTTGTATAGAAGGTTCTGGAGTTGGAGGAGGCACCGTCCAGTATGTATGAGTTTGAGGGGGTGGATTATAAGTTAATATACTGTCCTATATTTTGTTTTTTGTATAGAAGGATCTGGAGTTGGAGGAGGCTCCTTCCAGTATGTACGAGTTTGAGGGGTTGGATTATAAATTAATATACTGTCCTATGTTTTATTTTTTGTATAGAAGGTTCTGGAGTTGGAGGAGGCTCCTTCCAGTATGTACGAGTTTGAGGGGTTGGATTATAAATTAATATACTGTCCTATATTTTATTTTTTGTATAGAAGGTTCTGGAGTTGGAGGAGGCTCCTTCCAGTATGTACGAGTTTGAGGGGGTGGATTATGCTAAGGAACCCTCAGCAGCTGACATAAAGGCATTTGAAGACCTTCTTTCAAGTGGGTGAAATATTTTTTGTCATAAATGAAAAAGCATATACAGGGGAGCCTCAGTAATCCAGACTTTCTTTTTCTGATAGTCCAGATTAATGAATTATCCGGATCACGGAAATGGACCTTCTATTACATGTTGATTTTGTTGCTCAAAATATTTGTCCAGAAGTTGAAGCATTCGGATTAATGAGACTCTGTCAATGCAGCATCAATGATAAAGAAGTAATAACCTGTATTTTATAAAAATCATATTTAGATTGATATGATGAGCCTGTACACAATTAGCTACATGGTTTGTAGGACTCTTAAATCTATATTTTGCAGCTGAACAGCTGATATTGGAGGAGGAATTTTCAGGTGAGAGGTCACTGAGGAGAAATAAATCTGTTGTGCTTAGTCCACTGTTGGAGACTTCTAGTTCTAGAAAACCAAAGAAACAACTTACTCAGGAGGAGATTGATGAAAGAAATAGAAAGGTTTGCCATAAATATTATTAGTTATCCAGGTCCAATCCTGAGTCCAAGGGGTGTATGGATTACCCAGGTAAATCCCCGTACACCCTTGATTGGACCTGGATAACAAATTTATTTCCTTAGTACCCAAACAAATTCTTTGTAACAAGTCCAGTCAACTGTGTTTCAAGCTATCGATAAGATTTACTATGTCCTACAATGCATCGTGACGTCATGTTATTTGATTTTTATCATAGAGAAACTATGCATTGTTACGTCACGCTTTTTACCCCTGGTTCAAGTCAGGTGTACGGAAATTTACACCCAACTTTGTAACCAATCAAAGATCTTGTTACAAGCTACATAGGAAATAATGATTTTGTTTCATTGAAGCAGTTTCATTGGTTAGGAAAGTTTTTTGTCATCAGTGCACCATTTCCTCTTTAATTTCAACAACTAAAGATAAAGACCCTTTAAGACTGGCGTTTTTTTAGTTGTGAATGAAAAGGATGAGTGGGTAATTGTAGTAAATTCGTATTGATGAAAACTGAAGATTATTTTATTTATAGAGAAAGGAAACACTGGAAAGGAAAGCTAAGGAGGCAGAGGAACGAGCAAAAAAGAGGGCAGAACAACAGAAGAAAAAACTGTATGTTGTTAGTAAACTCGTTCATTTGTTTCCAGGATTTATAGTATAACAAAATGCCATGGATGGACGATAATGCTTCGTTATAAATAATTTGTTATATCTCTTATGTCAGTAATTATGTTTTTAAACCATTGAGAATGAAAATCATTTTGCTGTAAGGGTCAGTTCATTATAGGTGTGTTCACTATAAGTGTGTTTTACTGTATGTGAGCTGACAGAAGTATATACGTTTTTGAAAGTCATGAAAAAATGTGTCATCCTGATAATTTGATATTCAAACCAATTTGTATACATAAATTACATGTCTATAGAAGAGGAAAAATATTCAATAGATAAAATACAATTTTCTCTATCATGTGATTTGTTTTTTCTTCCAGTGAAGAACTTTGGAAAACGAACGGTTATGTGTCTAGCTGTGTAAGGTTTGATGATGAAGATGAAGACACGGAAGAAGAGGAAGATTCAGGACTACAACTGGACGAGGAGGAGGAAGAAGGGGAACAGAAGAGTCATGCCATACACTACGTCAGCGGTGATGTCACTCGCACAGTAAAAACTAAAAACAGTGTCAATCTCATTGTTCACTGTGCAGGTAAGATTTAACCCTCTTATAATCTGATCTGTGATTTATTGTTCACAACAGAAGCATGACTTCTTCCCCTCCTAGAGAATTGTTCTTTATGTAGATGTAAGAGTTTAAGACTTCTCCCCCTTATAATCTGTAAGGGGGTATATTCACTGTAAAGCTGCACAATGGTTTCAGTATTTTCTTGGTAGGTAAGAGACCCCCCCCCCCCCCCTTGTTCATAGTAGATACTGTGGAATCATTTAAATTCGTGGGGGTCAATGTTCGTGGGCAAGCAAAATTTTATTGGTTCGTGGGGATGTAATTTCGTGGGCAGCTCGTTTATTTGGTAGATTTAATTAATCAGTACGTTGACAAAAATATTGTTCGTGGGGATGCAAATTCGTGGGTAAGGGTGACCCACGAAATCCACGAACATTGATCCCCCACGAACAATGATGATTCCACAGTAAGAGTTCCTACCTCTTACTTTTACTGTTAGTTGGTGATAACTGTGTTCTTGAAGGGTTCCATTCTTTACAATTATCACTGTACTTTGTTCAATGTGTGGGTAGGAGTTTTTTCCCTTACCATTATTAGCATTCTTCCCATGTTATCAGTGCTGTGTTTCATCTTTCACTGTGAGAGAAAACCACCTTTTGAACTACCAAGGTCTATTGTTCACTGTGTAAATAAAATTGTAAAATCCTTTATAATCTGTATTTTTCTTTATTGCTTTCTGTGCTGATAAGAGTTCTTTATTGTGGTTCCCTATTTACTCAAAAGATCAGAGTTCCTTCCCTTTTAAATGTCACAGTTTCCCCTTTATATTCTGTACTGTGCTTTCTACTGTAATACCATCACTGTGGCTTCTGTTTTCTTTGATTGTATCCTCAAATTTAGAAAATCAAGTAAAGCTTACTGAATGTGAAATTGATATCCTTCAGTTTTGAAGTAAAACAAAGATTGATTGAATTCTTAAAAAACAACAACATAAAAATAGATAAAAATGGTAGTTTATTTGTCTCTTTTCCCCACAGGATGAATAAAGTTGATTTAATTATCCTGATTAAGTATTAATGTTTTTGTTGCAGATGATTCCGGATGGTGGGGTAAAGGTGGTGTGTTTACAGCAATATCCAAACGTAGTCACTCCGTGGAGGAACAGTATGAACTGGCAGCTAAAATGAAAGGTTTGTAAAAATAAAAATCAAACAATAAAATATTGAGGACAAAAGTTTTCCTACTTTTGAGTTATTGTTTGTTTTTCAGACATACGTGTTGGAGATTGTCATCTCATTTCCATGGATGATGAAGATAAATCTGGAGAGGAGGAAAACTGGGTGAGCTTATGAAATTATAGCATCTTCCATCCTTTGCCCCCACCCTCCACCTCTAGCCCACTTAATTTTAATTACTTCTGTATTCAAAATAAAGCTTTAAAAGCTATGTGAGATTTTAACCTCAAGTAAATAAAAGCTTACAGAGTAAAACTAAGATACACTGTACAAGGTTCTAGTAAATACTTATCATACTCATTAAGAGGTCATATTTCATCACAAAGTATTTCAAAAGAATGAAATATTAGATGTATAAATGAAATAACAAATTTATGTAACGAACCATTTTAGTCTGTCTTGGGAGGTTCACTATACATGTACCTTATTGTCACCTGTATGTGCATTTCAAAATGACTGGCATTGAAAATAAAAGTCATGAAGACTGAAACTTTTAAACTACATATTTCTCTGACATTAAAACTTAATCATTCATAAAGTTTTAGTAGATATTCTGAAATTGATACCTAGTAAATTTATTAAACCAATATAAAGTAGTAGTCCTTTTACAGATGTGTCTCCTAATAGCTCAACACAGGGACAAATCAAATAATACCTTATCGGGGATCAAATTATCTGCCCTAAAGGAGGGACTCAAGATGGTGTATAAGTTGGCAAAAGCTCGGAAAGGTACCACACCTGTGATTCATACAGCACAATGTTTTAGCTTCAGAAAACTGAAATTTGTCATCATTTTTTCTTTTAAACAGAAGGATATTGTGTTTTTATTTTAAGAACTTAAGATGGGATATTTTTTTCTTTAAAGCAAGTGTTCACCTTCCTAGAATAGGTCATGACACCCCGGGATTTAACTGGTACGGAACAGAGAGATTGATTAGGAAACACCTGGCAGCTAGGGGAATCCCCACTTACATGTATCTTTTGATATGAGAGCTCTCTGTAGGAGAAGTTTAGAACTCAAAAGAAATGATTTATAGTTAAAAGTATTGACATAACCTGATCAATATCAGATGATTACATTATATCTCGTTGTATAGAGGTGTTTATATGGATGTGTACAATGTGCTGTCGTGCCATGAATATTGTTGCAAACTATTCACTCTTTTGGTTTTATGTTTGTACATGTAACTTATCTATAATTTTTTTCAATGGATTATAAGTAACTCCTTTTACTAAATTTATAAGCTTCTCTAAATTTCTAAAAGAGAATATTTTTTATGCAGTAGACTCTGAAAAGAATAAGCTGTATCCACTGAACATTTATAGTTCATAAAAGAAAAAAAAATATTAATTGAAAAACAATATTTTGCTTCTGTCCTTAATACAGTTGTAGCTATTATTACCCAAGAAAACAAAAGGGATTGAAGAGAAAAAGTGAGGATGATTCACACACCACAAAGTCTCCCAGATCTCTACGTAAGTCCAATCTATATGTATTATTATAACAATAACTTGATCCGAAGAGCACATATCACGTTGAGTTGACAGACGCAGATCATCAGATCAAACAAGACTGTTATAATAATAAATTTATTATGGATCCCTCTGTTATTAGCTAAATATAAAAAAAAATATTTGGGATTAGTTATGCAACCTTTATCTATTAAACAAAACAATTTTTCAAGAAATGTTCCTGATACAGAAGAAAATAACATCCACTTCTGTAAACTGTGTACTATATCATCATTCATCAGTTTCAAAGAGGGGTGATATGGATTCAGAAAACCAGTGTGGTGATCTGGAAAGAAAATAACATCCACTCCTGTAAACTGTGTACTATGTCATCAGTTTCAGAGAGGGGTGATATGGATTAAGAAAACCACAGTGTGGTGATCCAGAAAGTCGGATCACATTGTCACAGGATTGTGTGATATCAACAGTAAAATTGAGTGATACACATTTCGCTATGTGATAAAAAGGTTAATGGAATTAAATGTTTTTGACTGAGATTCCTAGAGAAGAGGAATGGAGGGAATTCATATACATGTATATATTTGTTTAATTTGATAGTAGGTTATAAAATCCTTTTCTGAATGTAAACACATTTTCCATCATTTGGAGATGAAAATGAAGGAAGCTGTATCTTTTTTTCTTTGCCACTGAAATACTCTAAATCACGGGGATATAATTTTCACTAAATCTATGGAAATCTGATAAATCCCTACATGAATACCCCCTCATATCAGTGCTTATGTACTGAAAGGAAAAAGAAACGCAGGGTAACATAATATGCGAAATTTTTTTTACCGTATAACCGAAAATTATGAAAATTGGTCAGAGGGATATCTTGGTTACTGTGCATTAAAATCAGTGTTCAGAACTACTCTCCCATAAAATGTATGACGTCATATAAGGAGAGTGTTAAAAAGCCGAAAACATGTGCATATCGATGATGACATCTGTTAGTGCCATTTGCTGCACTTAAGTTATACTCATCGTTTTTCGATATTAACAGTCGATTTGCATAGCCTAAGTAAGAACAAAGGCAACAACAGGTTTCTGTGCAGTTTGTTGTGAATTTTTCCACAATAGAACGTCTTACCCGTCCTCAGAGAGGGCATAGAAAGGTTTCCAACCAACCCTGACGATGACATTGAAGCGTAACAGCGCCACGTCAAGATCGGGCTATTCATCCTGCCACCTGTATAATCACCATCACACTACCCTAAAACTGCTATTAATACAGCAGGCTATCATAATCGTTACATTCACCCCAAAACTGAAGGAAATCGATAGTGCGATTTTGGTTTGTGAGCTCGTCAGCTTTACGTAAGTGTTCCTCTAACTCGCGCATGCGTGCTTCGTTTGCCTATTTTTATGGGGCTTGTTAACCCCCCTCCCAATGCTGCCAGGATTTGTCAAGATTTTCTCGCAAACAATCACATTTATCCACTTTACTGGTCTCTGTCAAGTCCATCTTTTTCGCATCAAACGTCTGTGTGACAACGTGGACGACAGGGTTTAAAATGTCCAAGCTGGTCACAATCAATAAGGGCTGCCTTCTCGAAAGGGTTGAAAAATATCCCTATTAGAAGGATAAACACACTGATGAACTCCATGCATAGGAGAATCAATGCTGTGTTAGATGCGCAAGGGAGACATGTGAGATAATGAGAATTTTCATTTTTCACTTTTGGGGGTACCGTCATATGAGTTTCAATAACTCATGAATTGTTGGGGAAAATCAAATGAGATTTTGGTTACATTTGTATTAAAGATGATTTTAAATGTTAGATAGGATAACTGGAAAATACGTCTGAAATATATAACCTTATTTCACCTAAAAAGTTTACCCTGCGTTTCTTTTTCCTTTCAGTATATATAAAGCCTGTTCAGAATAAAAATGAACTTCAGTGCACATTGTTTCTGATTAATGTAATTAACCTCATATGTAAATATCCATATTTATAGTCAGAGTCTTAAATGTATTCATGAGAATTTGCGCTCACAGCTCGTATGTTCATGTCTATATCCAAACCTGAAGATAATAAATGTCACCATTACCTTTTTGTACTCAGCCAAGAAGAAGATGAGCCCCAGCACTACTACCATGAATGGTGGCACCAGCAGTAAACTCCCAGATTTATTTACTGGAATGTGCATTTACCTACATCCCTCAAACTTCAATTCAGACAAACTGAGGCAGTATAGGAGACAGATCATCGCATATCCTTTACACATCCATCATCTGAAAACTGCATTCTGTGAATTTCTCAAGTAACAAACTGCAAGATTTCATTGGGATTTTATTTGAATTTTATTGAAGAAATTTATCTCTTGCCATTTAACTTAGATTTGAGGGTTAAAAGTGATTTAAATGTTCCTTTTTAAAGATGAGATATTGCACACAAATATTGCAGAAGTTACGCACATTAAGGAAGTATGCCACACCCAAAAGTTTATTGGATTGTTTTAAGAATCCCTTATAGCATATATGATTTCATCATTAAAAGACCAATGTAAGCTCTTTATTATTATGTTCCCCAAACGAAGTTTGGGAACATATTGTTTTTACTCTGTTTCTTATTATTATTATTATTATTATTCTTTTTTTCTACTTTCTTCTCCGGTACTTTTTTGTCCGGGAGTGTTCTCATAGAACCACTCATCCGATTGACATGAAACCTTTTTAGGGTTAATAGGCATGTTGTGTAGGTGTTCGGAACGAAGGTCATTTTGCGCGCACATGCATGCACGTGCGCGCGCGTGCAATGAGTGAAATGACTGATATACTTGATGAAGCCTTAACTTCTGTATTTCTTGATGAATTGCTTTGAAACTCAAAATATAAAGATATATTAGTAGTCTAGACAAGATAATATGGTCAAATTAGCGTGAACTCACGCGCATGCACGTGCGCTCTTCTCTGATTGGCTGATACAAAAATCTCAATAATTTCCTTGTTTTTTCACAAAATACTTTGAAATTTAGAATATGAGTATATATTATAAGGTGCTACAACATGTTATATAGGAAATTTCTTGAAAACACGCGCATGCAGGTGTGCTGCAATCTGATTGGTTGAAACTTTAAATGTCTATAACTCCCTTGGTTTTCAACAAAACAGGATGAAATTTACGACATGGATAGGCACACAGAGCTCATACAATATGATACTATCAAAATTGAATGCAAGGCCATGCATGCGCGTATGCTGATTTCTGATTGACTAATACTTAAAGGGTTACATCTCTCTTATTTTCAATGAAATTCTTTAATATTTAATACAAATGTATGTATTGTGAGACACTATAAGAAAATTAATGTGAAAAATGTAGAAAACATGTGCAAGCACATGCGCTGAAATTTGATTGGCTAATACCCATATGGCTATATCGGAGTAGTTTTCCAATGAAATACCCTTAAAAATAAAGTATCCATTTATATTACAAAAGTATTGTCTAATTTATTGAAGCTTGTAGGGAATGGGGCATCATAAGGGATTGGGGAGCCGTTTGGGGAACATCTGTAACGGTTCCCGTTACAATTAGCGCTAGTTTTAAATGATTTTTTTTTGTATTTCTTCAGAGAAAATGGAAAACAAAATATTTTGGTTGCAACAAAAATATTCTGGAGCTTAACATTTGCTGCTAATTAATGCATAATACACATGTATACATCATGTACATATATAAACATTACATGTATCTATAGAAAAAATGTCAAGAAGTGTCAGGTAGACATTTCAGTTATTTTTAATTTAAAAAGAATATAGATATGAAAACAATATTTGTAAATGTTTTTTAAGACAAGATGTTTTATTAGATATTTATATTAAAATGTAAGATACAAAATATCTTATTTTGTGAACAAGACAATTTTATCATTTCTCTTAAAAAATGTGAAAAAAAAAAATCGTAAAAAAAAAAATAATAAAATTTCAATTTTGGTATTTTAATAATGAAATCAGATGTAAAATGAGATTCTTAAATTAATATTTCATGCATTTTAACACCCAAGATTTTTCATTCTTTTAATACGTGTATATATGTGCCCAATAAAAATTGGTTTAATATTCATTATAAATGGTCATGTTTTAAGATTAATGTCATACCCTACCATGTAAGTAATGAAATGTCCTTAACTATTTTACTTATGATGGTGATGTTGTAAAAGAATATTCGTCTGATGTTACCCGTGTCATAGCTGATTCAAACTGTGATAAGGTTGGTACAGAAACAGAAAATATATTCTCCTAGAGAAATTCATATTGTCTTATTAGAGGTGTACCATTTTACCTTTGTCCATGCATCTACAAATGAAAATGAACTGATGACAGAATTCCTTATTATACAGGTATACAGGTACTTTTTTAAAGAATATATTTCAATATATGCTTCAGCGAAGGCACTAAGTTCAAACTGATGAAATTAGCCTAAGATTCTTGTCTGAATAACTATTAGAATGAATAGGCTGTCTATGAGATTCCAGCTGAGCTATGTCAGATCAGATCCCCCTGTATGCCTGGCCTCAGTTCCTCATTATACCATTCCAAATTTTTGCTGGATATTTTAACCTGTAAAATATGACTGTTGTAGATGGCAGCTTCATGGTTGAAATCAAACGTGACGTGCCCAGTGGTGACACCCGATTGGCTAGATTGCTGTCTTCGAAAGAGAAAGATTGTACCTATCCAGCCCTGTATACATCCCTCTTGTGATAGAGGTTGAGTCTGGTTGACACATAGATTTCTAGTTTCGAGGATGAGAAACCTCTTCACCATCCCTTCTCAACGTTTCCAGGTCATACCAAAGATGGCAGTAGAGTACTACTAGTCTTATTAGTGCTTCGAGATTAGTTGTAACTTTTTAAATCAGATCTGTGATATTAGTGTTATTGTTTTATATGTTCACTAAGCCCAAAGGCTCAATGTGAAGTTTTTTTGATCAAAATTCGCCTGTCTGTTAATTTAAAACTTCTGTATAATCACTGGGATAATGAGCAAAACAAAAAAAAAATCCATGGGAGAGAGGGATTGGAATTTGTTCAATCTCAGGGTTTTGATGGGACTATTACATGCAAACAAAACTTACAAATATATAAAATCTTTCAGAATTTCCTTTTCAATAACAGCAAATCCATAATTACTCAGTTTTCAAATTAATATGCAAAATATAATAAATTTAGTGTAGATCCTAGTTTATTCAAATCATGGTCCACAGGGTTAGGTTGGCCCCAGAATAGGGGTTTTCTTAGAACTTTATAGATGCCCACAAGAAGAACAAAGCTACAATGTGTAATTTGATATGAAGCAATAGTAATTTGGCTATCTTAATGAACAGGTTAATCTACCTATTCAGAAATGTAACTCAGGAGGGCAGTGTAACCTATGGGCCTGTTGTTTAAGGGTGTGTTTTAATTTATTTGCTCTCTGGCCTTTGTTCCTTTTGAGACTTGTTAAATATCAGGGTATTACTGCTCTCAAAATAAAATCTGTATCTAAAACCTGACCCACTGAGTTAATTTGTTATTCTGTTCACACACTTCATTATTTTATACATGTATAAGCATATACTCTTGCTGGTCAATTTGGAAGCATGGCTTTATTAATCAATCCCTGTCTTGCAGTCTTTTATTTTTTTTTTTCTGAATCATATCTTGTAAAGTACAGGTAATCAATCCTAATGAATTGTTAATACATGTATAATGCAAAAGATGTGTTTCCTGTACCAAAATGGGTCAGTGTGACCCCATTTTGGAATTATATGCAAAATCAAATGTCAAGATCATGTATACATGTACTTGTAGCTTACACATGAGGACTAGGGGCATCAGAAACTGTCATTGTGTCTTGACCCTTTGGAACGAGGTTGTTGCGATCTCTAAGTGAACCACATTAGCATCTATCATTTGGAAGTTTTTGGCCATCATAGAAATAAATAGTGTAAATTGTGTTCAGATCATATCTGGCATGCTGTGAAGCACTTTATGTAAAATCTGCACAATTTGCAACAATCTTAAAAAGATTGAAATTATTTGTCTATGAAATAGAATACACACATTCCTCAAAGAGGTAAAATGATTATTTCTTCATACTATAACACAATTTTTGCATGTGGGTCGGTCTTCGCTCCATTTTTTTGAAAGATTATACTTAAAGTATGTGTAAAAATATACTAGTCTGGAGTAACAAAAACATGAGCAGAGACCCACTATACCTTAAAAATAAACTTATATGACAACATTTGTAGTTTTCCAAGAAATACTTTGAAGTCCATTTAGCTGTTTAGTAAAAGGTCAGATAAAAAACATGATTTTAAATGCCACCATTTGTCATGAGCTGTAAACATACAGCGTAGTGATTACATGTAGCATGTTAGGTTAGAAGAAAAAATTATACTTTGGATTTTTATTGCATGGGTTCGAACCTAAAGAATACCACTTTTATTGAAGTCGTAGAACTCTTCTTTCTGAAAGAATTTTCTACAGAAAAGTTTCTTTTGTCATAATTTCACACTTTTAATTATAAGAACTTTACTTTAAATACTAAATTCACAAGATGAATATGAATATAGTTTTTATACATTTGAAGCTATAGGCATTATGTACGCCTTGTTCACCCATCTTTTTTCAGTGTCAGTTTTTGATGTTGCTTGGTGATAAACAATCTATTAAGATTTTACAGTGAAATGCCATTTAGTGTTGTTAATAACTCAGCTTGAATGATGGTTTAGTAACTGCCCTTCCATATAATGTCAGATATGTGCATCTTTTAGAGATGTTAATGTTATATTTAAACTTTAAAGTGGCTCAACAAATTCTTTTGCTATGAGAATTGTTCCTTAAAATAACAAGTTTTGATGGATGTATGAAGGAGGAAGAGCTCTAATTATCATATTGCAGGCAGATTTTAAAAATGGGAAACACTGCCCTGTTGTTGGAGGATTATCGTTTTTTTTCAAAGGAACATTCTCATATTTCATTAAGTAGCTGAACTATATTTTGTGATGTCAAGAAACAGACCAAGAACAATATCCCCCCTTACCTCCTTGTACCAACCGTGTACAAAACCGAATAAAATCTTTTTAAGTTGCCTTGAAATTATCTCATAGATAATTTGTAATGACTTCCTACTTTCAAAGAGAAAACACAGTTGGGTTTAATTGGTTTGAAGGGTGGAGCGTGATTAAGTCCTTTGAATAGAATTACTTTTTAATACTTTGAAAAGAGATACGAGTTTTTATATAACCGACAGAGTTAGTTCTAAATGGGACAGATTTATGCACCACCATGGTTATAACTATTTTGTGATTATTCATATTTTATTTAAAATTGCAAGTTCTGGCTGCTTTATGACCTCGTGAAAATCAAAATGTGTATACATTTTTTAAAGGGTTTATTACATTGAGTACTCGTAATAGCTTCATACATTGCACTTTTTTTTAAGCGGGTATGAGGTAAATTATACATGTTATATGGCAGATGTGGTTGTGCACAATTCTATAATCATTTCATTTGCATAATTAATTGAAAAAAAAAATATCATAACATACTAAGTGTACGCATGTGTTAATTTTCGCAATACCGATGGCTGAAGTTTTGACATATAACTGCATGGTATTAAGACATGTAGTATTTTTGATCGATATGTCACAAAAGCAATAAAACGGAGGGGGTTGGGGTTTGTTTCACCAGGTGCATGAGAAATTTATCGTTTTTCTTCGACCAGCAAAGATCCAATATCAATATTTTATACATTATTAATTATTCGTCCAGATGTCGTTTACTGTACGACACGAATACAACCTTTTGTTTTTTCCTCGCATTAGAAGTCAGATTTTCCCTATACTTTATACGGAATATTGATGTGCTATGTCATTCACACGTGCATGTTTAGATGCTAAATCGAAGTGAAATAATAGAAATTGAAGCTACGCTTTGATAAAAAAAAAAATAATTAATTTCTATCACCTGAACATTTCATCAGAATCGTAGAAAAAATCATGAACATCCATTGATTTGGGGGATTGAAAAATCTATGCATTTCTTGTACAGAATACGTTTTATCGCAAAAATGAACCAAAAAATTATTTCGTCCTTCTATAGACTCTTAATGATGGCTTTGTCTGCGACTATGGAAGCATGTAATGTGACTCGAGACTGTCAGTTTCCTCTGTAAAAGGATATTATGTTAATTTTTAATAGGAAATCAATTGAAAGCAATTTGATTGTCACGTACTGAAAGTCCACAATAGTATGACTATCATTGTTTTATCAAGTACTTTGTCCTGCGACAGGATGAGGGATGTTATAGTAATTAAACGACCCTGCTTCCCATATTCTAAAAATACTCTCGACCTGAAACTATGCATGCGCTGTATATAAAAAAGCCCCCCCCCCCTCCGAAAAAAGGAAACAAGATATAATATATATACAAAGATTGAAATAATATACAGGCATCGCTCTCTTTCTTGATAGCAAAGGGTCTTACTCTTTCATTGACAGCAAATTGTGTATGAATAAAAAATATAAACAAAAAGTCTTCTTTATCGAAAACAAAAGGCATTTACACTCTCAAACCCCACGCTCTGATCCAACACCGATATTTCCCGTTTCATTTTTTGTTTTAATCTGTAATCATGAGCAATATATCTCAAACTCTGAAATTCTAAGCGTTTTTCCAGAGACCCGCCCTTCCAGTTGATATTTTTAAAAATAACAGAAAAAACACGATTTTTGAAATCTAGGCCATCTTAATCTGAATGTTTAGCACTTATATCGCACTTATGTAAATCTTATAACACGCTTGTCGTGTATTCTGCAGGGTTATATTCGGAAATGATAGACCCTCTAATAAAAGTAGACCTCTTAGTTTTCCTACGTCACTTTTAATACAGCGAAATTTTTTTCTTTGAACATGTGTTATGCTATGGTTGCTCCCCCGCATAAAAATATCCCAACATTTTAATTATTTAGTACATTGTATTTAAATTTTTCACAACTTGAAGTACTGTGAACAGGCAACTGTGTGATAAGTACATCCCCCTAGTAAATTCAAAATTTACAACATATATACATGTAAGCATTAACGAATCATATAAATGAGATAAAATGGCTCTACAGAGGAAGGTTGGGGGGGGGGTATATTAGATTTCACGAAAATGTTCAGTTCTAAATAATCTACACATAGTACTGTAGCTCCACTGCTGTATTTTGAAGAATTTTATTGATGTATTTATAGATTGATAATCATTTTCACAACATCTGAACTTCCTGTGCAACACAGTAAGTACAATAACTATATTTCATTCAAGATAGAATCGGACTGGACTGCAGACTCCCAGGTACTTATTTTGGGGGGGTCACGATTTTTTTCCTGTTGTACACATGATGAATAAGTGTAACAAATATAATTTGTGCAAAAATGTCCAACAAGCCCCGGGGTTGAACATCGGGGGGGGGGGGTCCTGTCCACAAGTACCTGTGTGCGAACTAAACCAGTCTTCTTTTTAATGCATTTGAAATTTACTTTGCACAAATTGCTGGTACATGTAACATCAAGCAAGAATCTGATTTAGTGAGGTTTATCACGTACAAAAAACGCAGATAAGATAAATTCAGAAAAAAAATTCTGCAGTTCTATCGATATTTTTATTCAAAATACCATTGCGATGATACACAAGCTTTCCTATAGGAATAATGAAAGGGTTGTCAAAAGAACTATCATTTTTTTAAATCACGTAAAATAGTCCGGTTATTGTAAAAAATATAGCGAGTTAAGGGCGTTTGTGCATGTATACGTCAATAATTCATTATTAATTTGAAAGATTTGAAAAAGAGTATGTGCAAAGAACAAATTCCAATATCTGTGCTGTGTGGATCTGTAATGAGCATATGTTTTAATGAAAAATAAGATGAGAGGATCTGGATTAACGCGATTTTTAAACGACCCCCTCTCTCATCATTATTTTATAGAAATAAGTACGTGTTTATATATTATATTTAGTTGTATGAAAACAGAAATTACACCACAATAATTTTTCTTTTATTAATGCACAAATGTGGAGATAATATAAAAATATATAAGAGTAAGTTATTTTGAAAAAAGTTTTCATTTCTCGTTATCAAGTCCAATGCTTTCTTTTGATCGGGTTCGTTATTCCATTTGTTAGCGTGACGCACGGCATTTCACACCTGTTCAGGTAAACTGAAAAGCGGAATTGCTGGAATGTGCAAGATCTGAAAGAGAAGGACGTTTGTGAAAAAGGTAAAGTTAAGATATGTGTTTATAGAACTGGCACTTGCATAATAAGTTACTAATAGCATATATTTACTAATTAATTGGGCGCCAAGAAAGTAGAAACTAATACATTCATGGCGTAAACAACGATTTTTTAAAAATGATTATTATTCTTATGAAAAAAGTTCCCTGAAATTTTAAGATCGAGCCTCCATAAATGTACATGTTGCAAAAAATCAGATGAAAATGCAAACACTTTACTTAACACAATTCGATTTCTTATTGCATTTGATTAATTATATTCTACGTGTTCAATGTTATTTTATCCTTTTTGAATTGATTCCTTGTTTACTCCCCTTTGCCCTTTGTTTCCTACATTGCATATTGTGTAAAGAGACCAAGTTGATATACATCTGTAGGTATTTCTTTTCATGTATACACTGTACTGGAGCAGGAGCAGACTGAACAAATTAACTATGACAGCTTATACATCATGCACCTAAACAGCACCCAGTTAAAAAAAAAAAAAACGTGTCTGACATAATTACAGGGTAAACATACAGACACGGTTCATTGTCAGTGAGATGCTAATAAACCATGGGAACAAATGAGTTTAAAATAATATATTTTACTCAGGTATACTGAACTAGGCATATAAATAACATTAAGCAGTATTGGGCACATGTTTCACTGGAAAGCTCTATAGGGGGTATAATTGGTGTTGAACTTATCTGAAGAAAGATCTGTTGTATATCTTTATTGTCATTATCACCTCCACAGACCCCTGGGGTATTTTGAGCTTGTCCACAAACTTGATTCTCTGGACATATGAAAAGCAAATGTGTCAAATTCTGTACTGATATTAATCAATGTATAATTAATGAGGTGCTTAATTTTTTGGTAATTATTAATTGGTGTTACATTATGTAATTTGGAAGATCAGTATTATTTGAGAGGAGGGGGGTTAATATATGGGGCAAGATAACAAGCACTTTTGTGATTTATAGAAAAAATATTCATGACATTATTTGTTTTATGATAAAGATGAAGCATTTGTTCTTAAATTGATTTTTATTGAAGCAGAAAATGTGTCATTGTTTAGAATAAACTCTTCTGAGTAAATATCATGGAAAGATAATTCCTGACTTAAAAGTATTCCCATCAATAGTCTTGAAAAAAAAAGTTATATGTCCCCCCCCCCCCCCCCAAATAAAAATGAGCAAATGATATCATTTTGAAATTGTTTTGACTAATTGAGACAACATCTTGCAATGGATATCTACAAGATTCCCTACACAAGGCATTCATAAATATACATGTCACATCTATCTACAATAAAAGCATGTGCATGATAGAATATATCATGAAGGTAAATTTAAATATCTGCAAGATATTTTTAAGAGTACTGAATGCCTAACATTTACTATAACTTCTCATTTCCAACTGATAAGTGCACAGAGAATGATATTAATAGAACTGCATTCATTTCCTACATTGTATTTTTTTTCTCTCTTCCTGCAGACTTAATAGAAATTTTGCTATGGATAAATAAATAAATTTTTTCCTAAATTTGAATCTTCACTGGGAACTTAATTTATCTTGTACTACATGTATGTATGTACAATATGTATATATGTTGCTCATGTTGACCTACATACTGATGGAAATTAAATCTATGAAGTGGGAATTACCTATATGTCTGTTTTCAACAAATTATATATACTCCATCCTGATTTCATTGTGAAAGTTGACAAATCTGAGATGCACCCTGTATAAATACAAATTGTGCAAGAGTGATGGGTATTTGACAAGTATATCAAAAACCAGCTGTTTGAAAAAAGAAAGATTCCTTCATGTTTATGTAGGAGGATTTGATGGGATAAATCAAAAAGCTAAAAAATTGTTATAAGAAGGTAAGATATCAAATATGATAAGCTTTATGAAGACTCTTAGAGTTTAGCATGTGGTTATAATCATTATTGAATCATATCTTTTTTTTATTCTCTGAAAAGCTCTCTTGGTTGAAAATGAGCATTAATTGCCAATTTGGCTGATTATACACTTGAAGTTCAATCAGCTAATGAGATTAGTGTGAACATCACTCATCTGTAACCTCTGTGACTTTGAGTGATCTTTAGTCAAAGGAGACAGAAAAGTTTGGGGAATATGCTCCTGGATTCTTAATCATAGAGCCTGGTTCTCAAGGGTATAGAACACCCCCTTTGTAAATTGGTAAAGATCAGAATCTTTCTGTAATAATAAAGATCTATTGATTTGGGAAGGGGTTTAATTTGGGGTTTTCTGGATGTTGATGTTAATTAACTTGCATGTGCATGGTAATTAAAACAGAACGCCCTATATCTAATTGCATTATCGTGGTTTGTATAATTATAAATGTTATGGATAACTTTAAATTGATGCTTTTAAGATAGGAAAGATAAGAGAACCTTTAAAAAAATATATATGCATGTGAAGCAGCCTTATAAAAACTTTATGTACACAGGAAATATAAATATATAACAGTTTGATGCAGATTTTATTTATAAGTAGCTGACAGGGATACATAAAATAAACCCTGTTTGTTTATTAGGAAGTACTTCAAGGAGTCTCTAAGTGTGTTTTATAAACATTGAAGTAATTTGAAATTCTTATGCAGTAACCTTGGTATATCTATTAAGTTAAAAACCCAGAGAAATTAACATTTAGAAATATCTGTAAAATATTTAACAAAGCATTCGTTGTGACAAGTCTGTTTCATTTTTGATGGCAAAGTTACAGAGTAGTTTATGCTTTATATCCCAGTTTATGCCCATCTACAGTATAATTTTAACTTTTGGTTGGGAATTTGTAAACAGTGGAAAGTTTTAGTCTGGTTTAATATGGGTAACAGTGTTGCCTTTGTATTACAATAGTATACATGCTGGACTTTTTTAACTTCCAGATTTTGATTTGTACAGTTCTGAGTAGTTTAGAGTATAATTTTGAGTAGTTTGGTAAATGTTTCTGAAAGAGTTAAGTGTTTAAATGTACATTTACTTTTAATTTATATCTTTCTTTAAATTGTTAATTCAGCAGAATCAGAAAACTGTTCCAGTACACCGGGAACAATTGGTACACCTGATTTATTGCACATATCCCACTTCTAAGCAATTGATCCTATTAGCAAAGTTTTTACTCATCAAAAATTAATTAGAATTACTAAGGATCACATAAAGCTTAATCTAAGAGGGCTGGCTCTATAGAGTGTAATAGATTAGATGACAAATCGCTATTTCCCTTATTTGGCACTACTCTGTGAAATGTGTTACTGATGTTATACCCAGATTAACCCACACAGAACTCCGACCACTGGCCTTTATTTTTATGGCATAACAATAGTTGTAATCAGAAGTGTTGGTCATACTAGAGTGATTCAAGCCTTGTTTACTGTGGACTTAATAACCTTGTGAAACCTGGATGTCTGTTGATTCAGTGAAGATTATGCTATAAACACACCTGAAGATTATTAGGAACAGCTAGTTAGACTTTTGCGATTTAAATCCCATTTTCTCCTCTGCACAGGTAATGTGACTATCTATCGTGTGTGACACATTTTTTTTGTTTGTCTAGCCGCTTTATTGAATTAAATCTTGAATTTTGGTCTCTTCCGGTGATTCATTCAAGGTAAACCTACGTACGCGAAGGTGCATCTTTTGAGACAAAGCGAAAGGAGGTAAATCATAACTTTGTATGTCTCTAACATTAATTTATATCAAATTGTTGTAGAATGTTTAACTGTAGCAGGTTATAATCTCTGTGTAGATTTTAGGGAAGATAATGCTCACTCTGTGACACTATGTCTTTATTTGCTTCACTGATTCTGTTTTTGTCATGTTGATGAAGTTTTCTCACAGAATTTATAAACAGTTTCTCAGCACTGTAATTCACATATAATGGAAAATACCTAAATATGGAGATAGTCTTCGAGAAATGTCACTATCCAGTACCAGCTGAGTGTCATTTTCTCTTGGTTGATGTTAGAGACTAACATTAGTTGAGCTTTGGTATCTTGAACACATATATCTCGAATACCATGGATATGTTAAAGTGATTTTGAAGTCCCAAGCACTTATTTCTTAAGTATTTTACCCAGGAATCCTTGGATATCTTAAAGTATTTTCTCAGTGCCACTGAGTTTGAGATAATGAGATTTGATTGTATTACTTATATATACATGTACACTCTGAAAGGCGTGCATCAAATCTAATTTCCTGATGTAATCATATTATTTCCGTGATCTGAGGAAATTTTAACCAATTTTATTTCTTAGCGATATTTTTGGAAATATAAAAGTTATATTGAAAGATGAAATTACTTGATAGAGTCAAAACTTCCCAGCCAAGGGGCTGTATGCATGCTTGGTTTTCTGACAGTATTCTGCATATCAAGTTTCCCATCTTATGAAAAATTTGTCATCAAATATACCTGTCTGAGTGGAGTGGAAATCTCATTACATGACTACAGAGTGTTCAATAAAAAGAATGATAGACCTATGTTATGGAAATTTGTAATGAGGAATCGTTAGTCATTGCAGGTGATTATCAGTAACTTATTAATCGAAACATGCTTCATTGAGGACACCTGACAGAATCAGAAATTGTCACAATATGTAAATAAATGTAATTTTTTCAAAAAAGAAATCCATTTTAACCAAAGGATGGGTATCATACACACTGAACACAAGTGCCCATGTTAATATTTTTTCAGAAAATAAGGGGTATACTTTAAATCTTTTCACATCATCTTTTTACCTCATGCAACCCCATGCTCAAAATACAAAAAGTAGGTGACAGTTGTTTCAGGCAAAAGCTACAGCAGGGCAGAAGATTTTATCTGTGGGAATGCTCAACAATTCACTTGTGCCTGTATGCACTCTCTCCAGCAACCTAATTAAGCAGATTAGCCATAAAATTGACATTGCACAGCGCAATAAATAGACTTCCATTCACATCTTGAGAGTCACTGTGTCAAGGGAGATTACTCTGAGTCTTCCATTGTGTCAGCAGACGTGCTTCTGCATATGCTAGGGATTGATTTTCTGGGGGGTTGTGTCATCGTGAAAAATAAATATGAGGGTAATGATGGATTGAAAAGCTGTCTACAAATGGATTAACATACAAACCAGTGTTGATGATAAATCCAGTTTGTAATTAGGATCTGATAATTATTTCCTGTCCTGAAGTGTGCAGTCTGTAAGTTAGGCAGCGAGCGCTGGAATGAATTATTTTAGGAAAATATTGATTACTTGGTTTCAAGATTTTGGTATACATATCAGGGACTCTTGGAATTTTTGTTCCTGAATGCTTTGTGTGTTCATGATTGATTATGCAAAGTCAAACTGGAGTCAAGTTATGAAATAGTTTTATCGAAATCTGATTTTGTGTGATTAAGCTGAATCAAGTGTCTTGTTTGGACATTGAAAGTTCGAGTTTTCTTGGATATTGAATGCTTAGCTGTTTGGAGACACTACTTTGAGTGGTAAGGACTTCTTATAAATTATGTTCAATATAAATGTGAGAAGAAGGACTTAATGAGGTTGTAATCAGTGTTTAATTTAGACCTGTCAGAGCAAAATTGATCTAATTTATATAATCCTCTGAACTGAATATTTAGATGACAACAGATGCCTATCAAAAAAATATTTAATATAAATAAATATTTATTCTTTGTTTAAATATTTGTATTTCTGTGTCTGCAAAGTCACAGAATTGCATGAGCTAGCATTTATGTTTTCTGCAATTTATTGAACTGGAAAAGGTGCAAAATAAGCTTTATAAAGTGTTTGTGGAACAGAGTCCAAATATGTTTCAACACTTCACTTGGGTATCACATTAAATTGAAAAAAAAGTGGTTTAAGAGCATCCCAACCTCTATGAAGAGGAATTTTCCTGGTGTCATAATTTAGAAAATGTCTTAGGAGAGTCATTATCTTACTTCCTTTGAAGATTACAGTGTCAGTTTTTCCCTCTTAGAGTATATATATAGAGGATATTTTATGTTTTGCAGTTGGATAAGGAATTTATATCATGAGTGGGACAGGATTTTTTTTGATATTTTCACAAGTGTGAAACACAAGTGAAAATTAAAAAAAAAAAAAAAATCTGTCTCACAAGTGAAATAAATTGCATATTAAACTACAAAATACTGAATTTTCTGTTTATTACAATTTTTTTATTTTCCCTTAATCTCTGTCTTTTTGTAACACAGTGTCATAGGCTGTGGCATCATTTGAGCAGTCAAGACATCATAGCTTAACAACTGTGAGATCAAAAACATTGTAAATATGCATGCATGGATTTCAATAATATATTTGGTGAATTTGACTGTTTTAGTCTCTGTTTGGATTGTTTATTTATCTTATACAGATGACAGAGTGTTTTTTAAAACACTCTTTGTGAGGGAAGGGAAAGTAAGGAGTTTTGTAGCACTTCTATTATTCTTCCTTTATTCTAATTCTTTCACACTGTGACAAAATATCACTTTGGTATTCTTTCACACTGTGACAAAATATCATTTTCAATCAATCAATAAATTACAGTGTTTTCCTGTTGAAAATGTAATAGTTTAATTTAAGGGACAGAGAATCATGATATTGCATATTTCTACTGAAAGTGGGATATTTCTGGTGTGCAGATGTAGAGGGCTGATAAAGAATGAGTAAAAATTTCATGCATCATACACAAATGATAAACTTTTGTTTTTTGTTTTCTGGCCTACAGTGAGATTTCAAATTCTCTGCATGCACACTGTTAGATTTAATTATCTAAATCTCTCTGAATTTCTCTGTTTGTTAGCTAATCACTGATTATAGAGGTATAATAATTTTTATTCATTTTCTTGTTGAAGCCATGGAATTCTGTTTTTATTCATGTATATTAAAAAATCACAAAATGTATTAATTTGTATTGATAATTTTCAATTCTCACTGTACTGTAATGTGCATTAACAGAGTATTGGTAAATTAAATGTCTTAGAAAACCAAATATTCTTGCATTATAGTATTGACAATTGCTTTATATAGAAATTAATAACTTATGTCTGTGAAAATATTTGTAAATTGATTTTTACTAAGAGTGTGAGATTATTTTTTCTGTATACTGTTGAATTGTTTTGTAGAGGAGTCATCCAGCCATGCATACATTGAAACCTTTTAGATTGTGATATTTTGTATGTGATCAGTACCTTTATTGGTCATTGGCAGCATGGAGTTCTATAAAATGAGATTTTGAAAACTGTATATTTTTTGACTGTGCACAATCATAAGTTGAATTTAAGCTTATTTCTTGTTTTAATCATGTATATATCTGACTCATATACCTCTCTAAATAGAAAAGAATTCAGCATGGAATTTGCAACACATTTGTAGATTTATGATGAAATTTGGTATAGCAATTAACATCATAGTCAGGAGGAAGATGCTTAATAAGGATAACATATACAAACAAAATAGTTTACTGGGAAGGCTAAACCTGGAATTTTCACATTTTCCCATTTTTTGCTCCATTATTCTAATCTCTTTTCTTATTTTTGAATTCAAAATTAATCCTGTTTTTCACACAGAAAAGGAACAATTACATATACATGTATATCTGATTTATATAAGTGATTTATAATTTTTCAGAAGAAACTTTCTTGTGAAGAGAACCAAGAAAGACAACTCTGCAGTAGACATTGTGCCAATAGAAGGACAGGATAATTATAGTCACTGCCAAAGAGACAGCACTCAATGATGGATTGGAGGCTCGGTTTTGTTCTTGTTTTGTCAGCATTTATCTTCATCGTAAATTGTCAAGGTAATTGACAGATTTATCACATTTATCATACCTTGTCAATACATATAATACTAATTTAAATGTCTGTTTGTGTGTACTGGGAAAGGGATAGGATCAGATTTTGACATATAATGGGACAGGGAAAAAAAACCCCTCAAAGTTATCAGAGGTTTTAGGACAGTTTATTTATATATGTTTGAAGTTAAATTACTTCAGCAACTTTCTTTTAACATGAACAGAAGTTATGAATTACTTAATTGTCACCTAGCTATTGTGACTTATAATAAAAATGTGATCAGAAGTAATTTGAAGTAATTTCAAACATGGTATATTGCTAAAAAATGCATATAGGCTGTGGGTCAGATAGGAATATGTAGTACTGGTATATTAAGTTTTTATTCAAGACTAACAGTAATTAAAATATTTGATCACAGGTACTTGTGGACAGGACCCCCCCCCCCCCCCCCCCCCGAATATACCCCACGGGTCAAAAATATTTTTATGTATTTTTTGCATAAATTATTCTTCTAGTACACATTTACAATGTATTCCATAAGAAAATTCCAAAAAATAACGCAGAATTAACGTTTTAATAAAAAATCATACCCGCGGTATTATAAAATAGAGAAGGTAAGTCACTTCCATTTGTTTACACTGGACCCCTCTTGGATATCGGGCCCGAAATATCATTTACCTAATACATGTCACCAAAATGTGTCATGATATCTTGTTTCGGTAGATATTTTTGTCTTTAATCGTGCTATTTAATTGCCCAGGCATTCCATAATAATCCGAGTATTCATCGTCAAACGTGAAAAATGCTACAAGATTTGGAAATGTCAAAGTAGAAATTACGGAAGTGATGCAAAAACGACACCTAGCGTGTAACTCTTGAGTTCCGAGTGTTATAGAATTAAGGGAAAAGTCAGAGGTCTACGAAAAAGTTCGGGAAAATTTTGATAATGAAGTCGAAATCGATTCATTAGAATTAAATTCTGCGTAAGATTTTCGAGATGAGCGAGGGTAGTCGTCAGTATTCCCTTTAAAGGATGTTATCACTGATACCAAATAGTGGTTAAAAAATCGCTGAATTATTTATTTACAAGAGATGGTTGATGTAACTCCCCCCTTCCCCTTCTACATGGACATGCTTGCAATTAATTTCGATAACATTAAGCTTAATAATTATGTGTATATTTTTTTAAAAATATTCTTATGCGATGATTATCATTTGCCAAGGAATTTAAGTATGAGTCTTTTCAATATTAATTCTTAAGAATGAAAATCAGAACCCCATTTTATTTATTTATTTATTTATTTTTAAAAATTTTCATGCTCTTCTTCACTCTCGCGTCGCACTGCTGAGTTTATTTCTGGCCTTGATTATATATATATATATATATATATATATATATATATATATATATATATATATATATCAAGCTGCTATTATTTTAATTGAACAAGCGGAAGCTAAACTTCTATAAAATAAAGACTTTTAAAAAAAATTCTTTAGGTACGTCTTATCTAACAGTCATTAGTTAGATAATTGCAACTTGTGACGTCTAAATATTGCATGGGTTGTACAACCATTCATCAACCGGTCAATTGTTTTTCTCCAACACTGTAACTTGTAATGACGTGCACAGCCTCCGTCCCCAAATTAATCAATATTGATTATACATGTAGCGAATTCATAACAAATGAAAAAAAAAGAAGATTTTTTGTACAGTTTTAAATAATCACATTTCTGTCTTCACTTATTTTTAAAACTAGTTTATCATTCTAAATATTATATTTACTACCGCATTAATTTAACGGATATCCACCTTTCCGCAGACATAATTTAATGAAAATTCCATGTCCACCCAGAAGGGGAAGGCGGCTGAGGTGGAGGGAGGGGGGGTTTACATGTCAAGATGATAATGTTTAAGCGATTTTTAAACCGCTATTTGGTATCAGTGATAACATCCTTTAAAGGGAATATTGACGACTACCCTCGCTCATTTCGAAAATCTTACGCAGAATTTAATTCTAATGAATCGATTTCGACTTCATTATCAAAATTTTCCCGAACTTTTTCATAGACCTCTGACTTTTCCCTTAATTCTATAACACTCGAAACTCGAGAGTTACATGCTAGGTGTCGTTTTTGCATCACTTCCGTAATTTCTACTTTGACATTTCCAAATCTTGTAGCATTTTTCACGTTTGACGATGAATACTCGGATTATTATGGAATGCCTGGGCAATTAAATAGCACGATTAAAGACAAAAATATCTACCGAAACAAGATATCATGGCACATTTTGGTGACATGTATTAGGTAAATGATATTTCGGGCCTGATATACATGTGCATGGGAGAGTCAGAGCGGAGGCCATATTGAAAAGTCCAAGAGGGGTCCAGTGTAAACAAATGGAAGTGACTTACCTTCTCTATTTTATAATACCGCGGGTATGATTTTTTATTAAAACGTTAATTCTGCGTTATTTTTTGGAATTTTCTTATGGAATACATTGTAAATGTGTACTAGAAGAATAATTTATGAAAAAAATACATAAAAATATTTTTGACCCGTGGGATATATTCGGGGGGTGGGGGGTGGGGGTGGGGGTGGGGGGGTCCTGTCCATAAGTACCTGTGTATTTGATAAGAGTTTAATTTAAATCAAAGCCAATTTGCTAGCTTTCTTGATAGATATATTTGAACAATAAAATGCTTTGTTTGTTAATATGGGAATTCACATAGCAGCTGTTGCAGGAAAAAAAACATTATGCTTGTTATGTAATTTTTTCTGCAATATCTGCAACTGTTAATTCCTGCACTAACAAACAAGGAAAGAAATTTTAATATTTATATCTGTGTAAATAATCACATAAAGTAGATTTAAGTACTTAGGTACTTTATCATTGATATGAACATCATTGTACATGTAATGTTTCATTGATGGAAAAAATACATAAAAAATCAATGCAGGTGGCTTGAAAAATTGGTTCAAATTAGCATTTTCTGATTGACGGTAGCAGTGGTTTTTCATCAGAAATAAAGGAGAAAATCTTCAGTGAAGGTATTAATTAAATATTTGATTTTGCTACACACCTTGTACTTCTACTTTTTCATTTATTTGTAGATGATCAGATGCCACCCAAAATGATCAGTACTTTTAACAGTGAATATTACTTTCCAATGCTGTCAATACTGACTGATGCTAAGATTGAATGCAATGCCAAGAATGGAAAAATTACGTAAGTTTGTGACTGTGGATTTTAAAGCTGATCTAAGTTTTTTTTTTTTAGATAAAGTCCATTTTAAAATTGTAAAAGTACCATATTCCCATTACACAATTTATTTATATTGTAAAGGTGCATGTTTATAAAATCACAGAGACATAGAGGATATTCAATGTTTGTAGATGAATATGGAATTTATTTCACGAGTGGGACAGGATTTTTTTATATTTTCACGAGTGCGAAGCACGAGTGAAAATATTAAAAAATCCTGTCCCACTCATGAAATAAATTCCATATTCATCTACAAAACATTGAATTTTCCGTTTATTACATTTTCTTAGATTTTCTCTTTGCCTCTGTCTTTTCGTAATGCAGTGTCAAAGGCTGTGACATCATAGTTGAGCGGTTGCGATGTCATAGCTAATGATTGCGAGATTGAAAAACGTTGTAAACATGGAATTTTAACGACATATTTGGAAAAACTTTGACAGTATAACTACTAGTCTCTATCAGGATGGCTCATTAACTCTATCTTATAACAGGCCAGGGATTTTTTAAAAAACACTCTTTGTGAAGGGAAGGAAAATTGTACCCGATAATTTTTGCCACACTTCTGATATCCTCACACTGTGAGAATACCATTCTGATATCCTTTCACACTTTGTCAGAATATCACTTGTATACAGTATATAAGTTACAGTATTTCACTGCTGAAAATGTAATAAACCTTAATATTTCAGGGTTTGACACTAAGGCACGTCCGACCGACCCAGTCTAGTAAATGAGTGGTCCGGTCGTGTGAAATATACGTGAACTAGACCAACTGGTCGTGTGGATGAAATAAATGATAACCCTCATTTCAGTCTTTCAAATAAATATTCTAAAGAGTTTAAAAATTTTTTTTTTTTTTTGTTAAATTCTTATTTTTCTGCTTGTTAACATCAGCCATCACGTAAAGGATAACTTCCCCGTATGACACAATGGCTATTTTTTTTTAGCCCGGCTGTAATAGACAAGTTGCGATGGGAACTAGCTTCGTTCAGTATGAATTAGTATGAATAGTTACTGAATAATATATTATATTCTTTAATTCACAATGCATTTATATTAAGGGTAATTATTTTATTTAAGTTCACTGATTGTTCCTTAAGGCTTGCAATGTTTGCATGTCACGCTTAACCCGACCTAACGTCAAGCGATCTATGGAACAGTCTGTCAAAATATATCTTAACAGGTGCGAGAGACAGTATCTTTATTAAAGTATGGTTTCGAAACTTTTTTCCTTTTATAGTTAGCAGGTAATAAAAAAGTAAATTTTCAAGTTTGGTCAGGGCTAGTGATTTTATGGTCAGGGCTAGTAAAAATTATTTGAAGTAGCCCGACTGGTCTAGTCCTCATAAAAGTTAATGTCAAACCCTGTATTTAAAAAAGGCTTCTACAGTTGTACATGTAGGTCAAAAGAACTTGTTGCAACATTATAGTGAATGTTTTAGATATGAATGGAAGAAAGATGGAGTGATTGTTCAGAACAGCAAATATGTGTCTGTGGACAAAGATACTGGAACACTGAAATTTAACCAGATGCAGGGTTCTGATTATGGAACATACCAATGCTTTGCTAAAAATGATTTTGGGACTTCACTTTCCAAGCCCTTTAAAGTGAAAGTATCTGGTAAGGAATTAGTAAAAATTGCTGAGAGCTAATGCCATTTTATCAAAGGTCAAGGTCATATTGATTATATTGTTATTGGTACCATTTCCGTTGCTTTACAAAAAGTTGACTATATTACAGACTTTTTATTCACTTTCCAGTAAAAGCAGATCTTGAAAGAGTTTTGGTTTACTTGTTCACAAGTCAATGTCCAAAGGTGAAATTGGTTAAAATTATCAAATATATGCACACAAGGTAATCTATGGCTCTGTTAGTTTTTTTAGTTCATTGCCATTTTCTAAATTTGATTAAATGTCTCAAAAAATTCAAAGTTGTGTCCAAGGGAACTTTAAAATTTATCATCATTGCTGACAGAACATAAAGATATATTAAATTTGTAGTTGAAATGCTGTGTGCATATATTTTATCTTGACATACTTCAGTGAAAACCTCCCTTACTGGGTATTGCCTAAGCTCAATCGAATCTTAAAAGTGGGTCATAGTCAAAGTTTTAAGAGAGCCTCCTTTAGTCAGCATATCATGTTCAAAACCTTGCTCCCCATGGCTAAGATAGGGATGTATAATGGGGATTTTACAGAATATAATATCAAGAAAAAATATTCTCTGAAGTGCAGTGCAGCAGAGATAAAGTTAATTTAGTTAACATTATTTTTTTTAAAAATTACAATAGAGGTCCAATCAGGTCATTTTAAAATGCAGGCATTCCCATGTAGTTTATATATTATTATTCAAATCACAATAAAGGGGTCAAAAATTTTTCACAAAAATGTATTAATTTATTGAACATGTTGAACAAAGCTTAATTTTGTAAACATGGCATACATTAGGACCGATTGTTTGGAATCTTGGTTTTAAGTTGATGATGAAATAAGGTGTTTCACATATCTTTTTCATTCCATATTTATTTTGAAGAAAAAAACTCTAGAGAATTTTGTGGCAAATGAGCTCTTGTTATTATTTTACACTGAGTGTTTCAAACCATATTTTTGTAGCAATGGGAGCTTTTCCCTCAAAAGAACCCGAGGAAATACAATGTAAGGAATTTGAACACTGTAAAATCCCCTGCCGAGACAAACCAGAATGTTCACCAGAATCTGAATGCAGAGTGGAATGGAAAATTGGAGAGGGCACCAAGACGAATGTGGAGTTATCGAAGAGAGTCGGGGTGGATGGAAATGGTGTGTGCAAATTAGATCCATTCCACTAAAATATATGTAACTAATTGTTCAGATAATTGTAAGTGCAAATTAATGCACACATAAATTCATTCTACTGAGCTCAGATAAATATAAGTGCAGATACTACATGTATGTATATACTGCTTTTCAGGTGATTTACATTTCATATGGACAACAGGCTCAGACTGGACTGGATTAAACTACAAGTGTGGAGTGTGGCAAGAACAACTCAAAATGTTGGTTGTTGGCAGTCTAACAACTCTTAAAATTCAGAGTAAGCAGTTAAATTTTGCAAAGATTATCAGTTATCAGAAAATTTTATGCTTTTCTGAATTGGTGAATAGTAACACCACAGACCAATGTATATATATATATATATATATATATATATATATATATATATATATATATATATATATATATATATATATATATATATATATATATATATATATGTATGTATGTATATCTCAAGAACAGACCAATGTCCCAGAACAGTGTTTCATAATTTTTACTTGTCTCTAAAGATTTTGTAATTTCCATTTTTTTTTTTTAAACTTGTTTAGAGACATTTTACCAGTGTGTAAATGTGTTTTTCAGGTACTAGTGTTGTCCCCAACTTGGATCCTATTGTGGTCTATAAATCCAATGGCAAAGCCCAGTATAGAGGAGAGGGGGTTCTCAAATGCATGTTTTCAGGATAGTGAGTAGAATTAAACTTTTATTATTACCTGATACTCCAGTATGTGCTGTTTTAAATACATTCTCTAGCTTTGACTATATAGTCCATTTCATTTGTTTTGGTGTTTTAAGCTTACGTCAAAGAAGTTGGGGGAGCTTATGTACTAACCTCTGCATCAGCTTCTCAGGTTAAAGGTTTTGGAGCAGATTTCTTTCCAAGTACTTCTATGGCCAATATTGATCAGAGATGCATGGATGATGCCTCTTGTATGTTTTATAGTATCAGTCGGGTTTCAGATGCTGCATTCCAGTGTAACTTCAAGCCCTGTCTGGACCAAACTTGCATGGATCTAGGAATGCAAAAAACCAGGCTTGCTTCATATGCTGAATTTGACTTAAATTTTCTGGATGAGTGACAAGCATCCTTAGATGTATCATCCGTGCAAGTTTGGTCAATATAGGGCCTATACTTACTTGGAAATGAAACCTGCTCCTTAATTTTTAACTACTCTAAAAATATTATCCCTGGTCAGTATTTAGCTCAGATGAGTGAAGTTTTTGAAGCAGGAGCATTCCAGTATAACTTCAAGCCCTACCTTGACCTAAGCTGTTAGGATTGTGCATCTAGGGATGGAAACTACCAGACTTGCTTTGGATGCTAAATTTGACCTACATTTTCTGGATTAGTGATCAGGTTAAAGTTTTGAAGCAGGCTCATTTCAGTTCAATTTTAAGCCCTTCCTAGAACAAATGCATGAATGATACATCTAGGGATGCACACAACAAGACTTGTTTCAGATGCGGGATCTTACCTACATTTTCTGAATGAGTGACCAGGTTAAGTCCGTTCCCAAATAACTTTAAGGCTTATGTTGACCAAACTTGCATAAATGTTGCATATAGGGATACACACTATTAGATTATGTGTTTAGAACACAATGAGCTGTTCCCAGCACCTCGGGAATTATATTCCAATCTGTTGAATGTTGAGGCATTATATAACTATGCGGTATATTATTTGAATAATTATGCATGCTTTGTATAAAATGCTTTCATTAAAGGAACATAAAGACAAGTTTTCACATCTATAAATTCTTTTTTTATTGTTTTTTTTTTTTTTGACAGTGCCAATTATCTATCACAAAACTGTCAGGCTGTTCTATTTATCAAATGTTCAGAAGTAAAAAAAAAAAAATCAGTATGTAAATCTTTTTTTGGTCATTATTTTTTAGTGCAGCACCGGATATTGAGTGGGTTTCTCCTGACAATGCTGTTATCAAAAAAAAAAAAAATCAGTATGTAAATCTTTTTTTGGTCATTATTTTTTAGTGCAGCACCGGATATTGAGTGGGTTTCTCCTGACAATGCTGTTATCAAGAATTCTGCCAAATACATGATCAGTGATTACGACAGGGTGCTGACCGTTAAGGATGCAATGCAGGAAGATGAAGGTCTTTACTCTTGTAGAGGAAAAGGCACTAACAAGATGAACACCCAACGAGTTTTTCTTAATGTTACCTGTAAGTACATGTACATTTAAAATGTATTTGTTAAAAGTTGAACCATAGTAAACCAATAGGATACAAACAAATTAATCAAAGTTCACTAGAAAGAGCTGATGAAATCTCTTAGAGCTTTATTTGAAAATCAATCTGAGACTGAATGGAAAAAACCCCCCAAATGAACCAGAAATTGTAAGTGTGTGGTCCTTCAAACTAAGTTTGATGCAGTCAAGTACAATGTGAATAAGTTATCTAGAATTAAGAGCTGTTCTAGATGGGAGGATCTTACACTGTGATTTCCATCTGCATGTAAATTATGTACATTTTTCAGCTGCCCCGATGCTTGATCCAGATTCCAAAAATCCACAGATGAATGATTTGCTGGTGTCAGTTGGAAAAAATGCCACATTTTACTGTCAGGCTGTATCTTTACCCGGAGAAGAAGCACCAACCCCTCCAAGGTGGATGAAAAACGGAGTGGCTCTAAAAATAGATGGAGGTGGGACTTACTGAATAACACTTGAAAATGTGATTTTTCTAGCAGTTTTACAGAAATTATAGATTACCTTCTCTAAACTATTCATACACGTTTTCAGACAAGTACATTTTGAGCCCTGACCACAAAATGCTGATCGTGACCAATGTACAGAAGGGATCCGACTCCGGAGCTTTCCAGTGTATGTCTGAAAACAGCGAAGGTGTCCTGTTCAAGGAGGCATTACTCAAAGTTATAGGTAAGGGGACCAAATTGTTTCTCAGTTTTGAAAAATTGACTGTTATTATAATTCTGTAGATACTTGTTAATCTGGACACCTTCACCTTCTGGACAAAGCTTTGTAGGGAACAGTTAATATTTATATACATGTATACCAAGTATGTTTAAGTAATCTGAACGCTTCATTAATCCAGATAATTTTCTTGGGAACACAAGCATTCAGATTAACAAAGCTTAGTTACCTTCCTTTGGACCTGACATTTGTGAAATTGATAATCAAATTGTGTAATGTTTAGTCAACTTATTGAGAACATGACATGTATGTTAAAAGCAGGTTCATTATATGCAATAATTTGTTTAAGCTTTATATAAGTAAAATTTCTACTTGCTTGACTATTGCTGACTTTATTTAGAGAACATACTGTGTGAGTACTTGTAAGGCCATGTTAATCTAACCAAACAATTTGGTAATTAATTGCTAGAACATGTTGAAAAGGGACAAAATCATATCACCTGGCGCTTTTAGTCCCCAAATTCTTAAGTAGCTGATAATTGATGAAAGTAACCCTGGGGTAGTGGAAAGATAGACGAAAATGTTATGTATGACTGAAAGAGTATATCGTGAAATTAATAGTTTTTATACACCTGTCTTAGACAGGACAGTAAAATCAGGAATATTTTGATACAGATTTGTTGTTCATTGTTTTGTTGCTAATTTATTGCACTGCTCAAGGTTAGGTGTTTTACTTTCATTCTAATGTTCCATTTGAAAGTTGAAGAATCTTTAAAGCAAAAACATATAAAATCCAAAAAAAAAAAAAAAAAAAAAAAAAAAAAAACCATGAAAATATTGAGTCGTTCTGAAAGTTAGTGTAATGTGTATAGAAAAAAATTTGACATTAAGAAATGTTTATATCTTTCAACATATACTTCTATTTACTACACTACATAATTTTTTATTTCTCAAGATCCAATAACAATATTAAAGAAGCCCCAGGGAAGCTACAAGATCATGCCAGGAGAAACCATTAGTCTGGGTGTTTTGGCTACAAGTGAGCCATCGTTGTCTTTGCGCTACAAGTGGACGTTTATCAATCTAAACGGTGAAGAGCAAGTGGTCAAAGACAGTGACTATTGGAAGATATCCAGGCCTAAACTCAACAATCTGACCATTGATGTCAGTCAGGTCTCCGATCCTAGTGTGGTGCTGTCCTTGTCGGGGGTATATATAGTGGACGTCTTTCATAACTACGACTCTGAGAAAATCAAAGTCACAGTGGAAACGGAAATTATCACGACCAGTAAGCATGTTGTCTTTAGTGGTTTGACTAATAATTTCATACTTGTAAGAAATTCTATAATAATCACTTTAAGAATTTAAGCCCATGTTAAATTTATTTTAAAAATGTATATGTTATAGATATTGTAACACCTAGTATATGCATTTATTTCACTGACACTATTCTTTAAGTTTGTTCCTGAGTATTGATGCAACGTAAAGAATTTTTGAGTTTTTTTTTTTTGGTTTTACAGTTGCTCCTGTGGCACCCATTGTTCAAAAGGCCAATATGAACTTCATAATCTACATCGTGGTGGGCGTGGCCTTTCTAATCATTGTCCTCATTGTCGTGTTCTGCATTGTTCGCAGAAACCAAGGAGGAGTATATTCTGGTAAGCAACATCCATTAATAAAAGTTCTTGATTTAAATGGAAAAACTTTTAAAACTCAATTACAGCAGGAGTTTTTCATGCCACAAACTTTCTCTTGACCAACAATCTAAAAGGTAACTCACAGAAATACTCAGAGTTATAATGAAGTTGAAAAGTTGACTGTATTTCATGGAAAAATCTTTGGATTTATAGAAATAAATGAGATGAAATTTATTTGTATTCAAGTGTGTAAAACAGAAGTTTAAAAATCTTTTTTTCTTCTGGTTTATAGTCGACAAGAAGGAAGTGGAAGCAGGTCACGACCCAGAAAAAGAGCTGCTAGAGAGTGGTTTCCAAGATCTTTCAAGGGCGTAAGTATCCATGGCAACTATAGAAAGCTGTAGTATTTGAACATTTGTTCGTATATTTGTTGTCCAAAGTCAGAGGGACTGAGCCTTTTAAGATTTTATGCATCTGTATAAAGTATTAGATACGTTTATTTTCTTTGAATGATTGGCAGTGGTACAGAAAATGAATGTACATGTATACTTGTAATTTTTTTCATGCATAGCTATTTGAACAATGATTTATTTTAGAAACAATGAATTTTAAGCCAGAGTGGGTTTTATATATAGAAGTTCATGTAGGTATTCATGATGTTAATTTTTCTAGCTAATGCCTATGCATCTGACAAATGAAGAAAAGCACTTTACTGCATATGGATATAATTGGTCTTCATTGATCAAATTGCATCACAATTGACCTCTGCAACTTAATCAAATTGAAAATTGATATATCTTTTATCAAGTAATACAATCTAACCATCTCAAAGCATTTGAAAAGTTTAAAATGAGGGGGAAATAAGCAGGGTTTATTATTATATGATTGAAGGGACTCTGTCTAACCTCTGCCAATTGCTGGTGCTTTGTAGCTGACTTCAGGTGGTAAGACGTCACTATTAATTGTTGTATGCTTCTGTAGACAATGAATTGCATACTGCAAGATCTTATCAATTCTTCATGCATCCAGAATGAAGATTGTTTAAAATAGAAATTTTATCTGATTTTTAATGTTTGTTTTAGGACAGTGACATTGCCAAGTTTTACAAGCATGCCTGAAATTCTTTTCAGATATTCTTATTTTTAGCTTGTTCGTTAAAGTGTACATGTGTACATGAATGAAGGCTATTTTCTTTGAGTTTATGTCATGTTTAGATATTTTAGCCTATTTTACAATTTTCTATATTAACATTATTGCTTCTAAATTTATTCATTTATACAGTGGAAAACTTATTTTGGTTATTATTTAAAAAAACCCAGAAGTATATTATCTATTAATACATGTTCATATAGATATCTTTTTTTTGGAAAATGCATCATTTACAATGCATTGTTGTAAATGGATTACTGTATAGAGCATTATTGTAAAAGTGTGTATATGGATTTAACACTGAAAAAATGCATGTATCTTTATCATTGTTTATTGAATTATTTTGACCCTTTTATTAAAAAAAACCTTGTACAACATGAAACAATATGTGAACTTGTATTTTGCAAAGTAATATTTCCTGATTACATCTTTTGATATTTAAACCAAACAAGACATTCTGTCAGCCAAACTTATGATTCAGAAAAACAGAGTAGAATTTAACAAATTTCTTGAATGAATTTTGTATACATCTATAACTATTCTGATGTTAAAAAAGCAGGACATCACATGTAAAACTCCAAAATCACATTCTGATAATTGTATTTACAGGGATGACGATAGAAGTCCTAACTATCCAGTGTATGACTACGAGGACGAAAAACACATTATCGACGATGATGATGACAGTCTCGGAGAATATGACGTCGACCAGGAGCTGAACAAATTCAACGAGGACGGCTCCTTCATAGGACTGTACGCCGACAAAAAAAACAAGAAACCTCCCAAGTCTGAGTCTGACGTATAAACACAACAGTATTAATACCATATGAATGACATAGAAGGGTGTGTGTGTCTTAACACCAGGGGAAAATACCAACTGAATGAGGCTTGAATTATATAGTTTGTCTTGCATTTTCCTTAATCATGCTTTTTTTATGTTTGTGAATGGTAGAATTCTTTTTTTAAATCATGCGCATGAGATTTGATTGTGTTTTAATATCTAATTCAGTTGAAAAGCAAAGCATTCCATACATTATTATAAATTCTTAAATTTTTAAATATCATTATTGAGTTTTATTTTACTTATGAACCATTTCCTTATCTAATTACCAAATTACATGTATATGTCATAGCATAACATTCCATATCTTTTTCTTTAAGTTATGTGGCCTGAATAACTCATCAGCATCCAAACAATTTGAATATTTCAATAACATAAAAAGTTAGAGTTTACTTACATGACTGACATAAAAAACTAAATATTTTTTACACCCCTGCCATGTATATGGCCGGGGAATATAGTGTTGTCATGTCTGTCTTCTGTCCATCATGCTTTGCAAATAGCTTAGTCTTAAAGAAATTGTTAAAGATATAATTTCACAAACTTCATAAGATTAAATAAAAACACTTATACAGATGAATACAAAGATGCATACTGGTGAGAACAATATAATTGAATTGCATCCTAATTTTCTGACCTTGACCCTCCCTTTTGACCTTGAACATTACATCTTTCATTATTTTGTACTAAGTTTATTCTATTAAATTCCATATAAAGAATTATGTCCTACAACTCCATACACTGGTAAATTTTCTGGGAGATTTCTCGTTACCTCAGACTGGAAAAGAAGATGGATTTTTTTTATGTTGCATTACAAACATATCTTTTGGTGGGGCATTCATGACCCATGCTACATCTAATGGACATATTTGTATTATTATTTTAGTTTTTCAATATATATAGTGTAATAATACAATTTACTTCTTTTAATATGGACAACATGATAAGTTACAGTAGCATATATCTGTGTATTCTTGTAGCTCTAATGTGATCAATACTTTAAAACTAATCTTTTTTTTGAGAAGCTTAATGCATTGGTTGTTTCTTTCAGTTTAAATTTTGCTGTAGATGTTTTGCAAGACTGTAGATGTAATTAGAAAAATTAAGGAATTTAAAAAAAAAAATGAAAAGAAGAACATTACAGAGGATAATTTGAGCCTGGTTGGTATATATGCCCTGCGTGTATTTTTGTGTACACGATTTGTGAAAGGTGATCAGCTGGGTTCATTGTCGTCTTTTTTGTTGAATTTCATTTATTAGAAATGCCATCACTCCGCGTTGTGCAATTGTTATTTACTATAGTTTATATCTTGTTATATTTTTATACATTTGCAAACTTTATATACTTTCTTCAACTCAAGTCTCAGGCTTTGTAGCATTAGTGCCCTAACCTGTGGACAAGTGTTCGCAAGGGAGGCAAATGGAAGGGCACATGACCATTGGACCGTGACTTCTCACACCACCACCAGTGAGTCTTGCTGATTGGTAGGCCGTGACGATCATGCTTGTCTGCCTTTCCATTCCTTCTTTGTGACACTTGCCCAGTTGTCAGGTTATGCCAGGACAGCTACAGAGGGGGACCCTTGGTTACTGTGGCTGAAGTACCCTAATTAGTTCTTTTGCTAATTTGCTAGGTCTGCCAAGCAACCGAGGAAATTGGATTGATATGGCAATCTCTGGCAATTTTTTCTTTAAAAAAACTTTGCTGTTATTGCTTTATCTGGCATTTAAATACAATTTCTCTTTTATATTTTGAAACCATACTTGTTTTTTGAAAAAAATGTAACTTTGAATACAAAAAAAAAAAATAAATCAGTCTTCATGTTGAGTGGAGGATATTTGTAATTATGTTTATGTGTGAAGAAAAAAAACAACCAATGTTGCCATGAATCCAGTTTTTGACTTGTTGAAAAGATGAATATTTTTGTCGAAGTTCTGAGAATTCAAGGTCTTTTTTAAAGAGACTTTAAAAACTTTAAAGAATTTCATACATTGTACATTATAGTTCTGAGGAATTTGCAGTGTACTATTGGTTATGTAAGAAGTCAGGTGATTTTTAAGACATGATTTATTTAGGTAAAAAAAAAATCACAAGAATTCAATTCAATATCTCATAGAAAATGTTATTGACAAGTGTACTAGATATAAAATATCCCTTTAGATTTGTAAATTAAATTACATTCTGTAGATTCATGAAAAGCATTTTTCTGTTTTAATTATTTTTAAGGATAAACTAAGTTAGGAAAAAAACAATTTTAAGTGTGGTATTTTGTATTTTGTCAATAAAGTGCATTCCAATTTTAATAAAGCTTTAAATACCGAATCCTTATCATTACAAGAGTCTTCTGTATATAACTCCAGGGATGTATATATCCTGGTAATAGGGTGATCCAATAGAATGAGAGATTGGCCCATACCTCACTTATTAAAAAATGTTTTTAATCGTTTTTTAGTAATTTTGACAATTACCCAATAGATGATGGAAATTGAAGCTAATTAATTGTACTATGCATTGGCAGAATTGGAGACATATAATTTTATAAAAGTTAACTTACAAGAGTTATCTCTCTTATACAAAGTAGATCTTGATCTTGTGATACATTGTATACAAAATATATTTAGTACATGTTTCACACCTTGAACAAAGGGTTTTTGCTGCCACCAACTCCAAGCCCAAGCTTCATGGCTGGATGACTATGCCATTGTGTGAATAATTATTAAATCTATCATTATCAATGATAGGTTACAATCATGGACACAGGGCAAGGTCACTAAACAATGAATGTTGGACCTGATGTGCTAAACAGTTAATAAAATCTATAGAATTAATAAACAAGGAAAAAAGATCTTTTTTTCCCTTCCCTTGTCTTTCTTTCTGAATTAATCAACTTTAGCCAAAATTAAAACATTAAAAATTATTTAAATTAAAAAAAAATTAAATTAAAACAGAAATTTAAGAAAAGTTTAGTAATTATTTGAATATTTAGGATTTAGCAATTACACGACTATAACTTACAACTAGAATTATATCTCATCAAAAAGTGCAAAAAAAAAAAAAGGTTACTCACCATCTTGCCTTCGATTTTAATTAACAGATTAAGAGGACACAGCAAAAAGTCAAAATTTGATTTTTTGCAAAGTTCAAATACAGGGATATTCCTATATTGCTCAAGTAGTGTGTGAAGTTTCCCTGTAATTGTTGTAAGCCAAGACAATCCAACCATATACAGATTTTTTCCCTTTTTTCTGTTTTCGTTTTCTGTGGAAATCTGTGCTTTTCAAGAGCAATTTATCCATTTTACCTCTAAAAACAAATCTTTACTAATGTCCACAAGTCCCCTGACTTAAATCCCATAAAAATGACATGAATATCTTCATACTGAGATTTTGAATCTATATATAGAAATGAACCTTATTGTGTTTGAAAACTACTCACTGTAGACTGTCATCTGACCTGTTGCAGACAGGTATATATTACCCTGAGGGGTATAATTATCACATCTGGGCCTGTACAAAATGGCAACAGTCGGGATCAAATCATCGTTATCTTGATTAAATAACAAGAAACACACAAAGAATTGTAATGAAATATATAGAGACACAAAAGGTTTAATTTCTAATGTGAAACATGTACTAAGTATGTTGTTAAACTTTTCCCTCGCCATTCGATTTGGTCCCTCGCTTCGCTCGGCACCAAATCTCATGGTGCTCGGGAAAAGTTTACCAACATATACTTGGATCTAGTGACACACTGAATATAAAAGATACATTATATACAAAAAAAGATCAGGATCTAGTGAGACATTGTATACAAAATAGACATGAGTCTGTGAAGTTGGAGGGTATCGTTGAAAGGCTACGGTCAAGCAGCTAAATAGAGGACTGGCTTATTGTGTTTTACAGAGTTGGCAGTAGTCAATGAAATGTGTTTCTGATGACCCACAGAGAACTCCGATCACCCTTTAGTTTAAAGCTGAACACGACTCGTAAATGGGCATACGCCATTTTCGATATTACTATCTAAGATATCAGCACCAGGGTATACTCTTCGCATTCGTTACACCTGACTGCTTTATTGTCGTGGGGATCGGCGTGAAATGGCGACTCGTGTTCGTGCTGGTTATCTTGCATTACTTTTGCTTACATTTTATTGCAGTTACGTATATTTGTGTTTGTTTGTATACTGCACTGACCTGTGCAACTGTTGTAAATCTCTTTGGTATCTTACTATCCTGCAGTAGACAGTTATTTTTGTCGCTACCAAGTGCTGTATAGCATACGTCCGTCAACACCGGTGACTATTGATTACACTGAACAGTGACCAAGTGAGCGGCTATATATATAGGGGCCCTCAGATATAGCGATAGTTCAATCAAAAATGGCGGACAGATTCTTTTTACGAGGCGTGTTCAGCTTTAATGGCGATCACTGGCCTTTGTTACGGCGTAACAATAGTTGTAATCAAAAGGGTTGGTCGTATCAGAGTTATTCAGTCGTGTTTACTGTGAACTAAATAACATTCTGAACCTAAGTGTATGTAGATAGCAACTGTTCCTTCACCAAGCGCTCGACACTTTGAAGTGAAAGTTGCGAGGAGACCTTAATAACCGAGACCCAGTGTCATGACAAGAAAACCCTTGCTGCTCAATGGCTGAATAATGGTCTAAATTTGAAGTTAAGCCCTGCAGAGGTATCTGAAGACGTCTCATATGAGTGAAATAATCTTGCATTAGGGACAATGCAAGTAGGCCAAACTCCTATGTCAAGGTGAAAGGGTCAAAGTAGCTGGTATCCAAAGGATACACATGTGAAGTTTGAAACCCCAAGCTCCAACTGTTTAAAAGTTATGGCCAAGGTTAAAGTTTTTCAAAAGTAGGTCAAACTCTAAGGTCAAGGTCTAAAGTTCAAAGTTGTTGGTATCCAAAGGAAGGCCTTGTCACAAAGAATACACATGTGAAGTGTGAAACCCCAAGTACCAACTGTTCAGAGGTTATGGCCAAGGTTAAAGTCTCGTAAAAATTTGCAAAATTGGGTCAAACTCCAAGGTCAAGGCCAAAAGGTCAAATATGATGGTACCCAAAAAAAGGTCTTGTCACAAGGAATACACATATGAAATATGAAAGTCATAGCTCCAACTAATCAAAAGTTATGGGCAAGGTTAAAGCTGACAACAGACAAACAGACAGACAGGACAAAAACAATATACCTCCGGGATCTTTCGATCCAGGGGCATAAAAAAAATTAGTATTGATGAGGGCAGTTCAACTGTGTAATCATTATCTTAGCTTGACCTTTTCTTTAACCTTGACCACACTATCATTTTGCAGTTACCTTAGTTTTCATACACGGAAACAACACTAGTAATTACATTTCAATTGTGTTATTATTTCCCACCTTGACCTTGTCTATGACCTTTAATTTCACTTTTTTCTCATTTTGCTTTAAACCCATTTTATCTTTTTCCATGTTGAATGACTTTGTGCAACTTTATACAAAGATAAATCTTTATGAGAGCATGTACTTGGGAAATAATATAGGCATTTGCTACATATGAGAGTGACTTAAAACGATGAAACTTCCTTTAGTTGTTGGATTGAAAAATGAATTAACGCACCATATCATTGTACAAAAACAATATATCCGTTCTGTATATGAAAACAAGAGGCCCATGGGTCACAATGCTTACCTGATTCACCTTGATCCTGCTGTTTTTAAAAGATGGTTAAGTTGCTCTTTTTATTCCAATGAAAAATTGTGTTTCCATATTGTGGCTCCTACCTAGCCTTGAAGAGTCATGATTTTACCAAATCTTAATCCACACAACACTGGGATGTTTCAATATAATTTGACTAATATGGCTTTGTTGTACAGAAAAATTTTTTTTTTCCTGTACACTTGTGTAACACATTGATTCCGATTTTAGCCCCGCCCTAACTCCCGGATCTCTAATTGGGGAAAAAAAACCCACAACAAATACAGGAATGTTTGCATATTAATATGATATAGAGAGGTCTTGCTAATTAAAACAAGAGGCCCAAGGATATAACGGTCATCTGATTATAATACAACGCTGTACATTGTACAACACTCTGTAAGACCAAAACAAACAAAATAGGTACAAAATAGTTAGTCTAGACACAGTACTTAATCATAAAGTAGATCTATTTACTTGCTAGTGCTAATCTGTCATTCTACGATAAAAGGACCAATTCAGGGTATAAATCATGAAAAAAATTATTGTTTCAAATAGTAAAATGAACATCATAATTCTCTAAAGCACATATCAGTGAACTTAAAAAAAAAGTATTGTCCACAAATCTGGTATCGGTAACTTTTTACGACAATTTCAATATACATGTACCATTGATTTTAAGGTAATTTTACGGAAGTTAATGCTTGATCAAGTCTTATTATTTTTTAAATAAAGCTGAATTTGACCATGCACTTTTTCATTTTCTGATGTTCAGTGAAGAACGCTAAAGTATGATTCCCGAAGTCTCGCATAAATCCGATATTAAGTTAAAATTTCGGGAAAAATATCGTAACGGAAGTTAATCCTTACGGAAGTTAATTTCCAGCAATAAAAGTTAAAATTCTCGACAATAGTTAAAATTAACGTTTGTTTTAGGATGTTAGACAAAAGTATGAAGCATTTCGCTCCCGAAATAATTTTTTTCCCCAAACCTTTAATGCAAAAACTTTCCTGAATTACCGTTACGGAAGTTATATTTTTAAGAGAGACAACTGGTTTTGTCTAATTCATTTTGTAATATCGAAAATGTAATTGTCTAAAGTAGCTGACTCGCAACTAGCATCGATGATATTAGGTTCCATAGTCACTTTCAGATAAGTTTCAGCTCTTTTTGAAATCTGCATTCTGTGTGTGAAATTTAAAACAAAATCGTTACGGAAGTTAATTGACTTTCAACGACAAGCTATGATTTCGCATGAAAGAAGGTCCATGCATTTCTTTGCGAGAAGTGGTTTAATTTCTTTTTATAAAGGAAAAAACCTTTTTTTAACATCGCAATCTATTCGGAATGCTTATACGGCTGAGAATTTCATCTTGAAATTGTAAATGAATGAAGCGACATTATAAGATTTGCAGTGGAATACGTTTTTCAACATTACATTGTGTTCATATAAAAACTTTAACTGCATATATATCGGTAAATATTTACAGAACAATGTTTGTATATTAAGTTTTAGAGTTGAAATCAATCTTTAAATTTATAATTAAGATATTTCAACGATAAATTTGTAAGCGACATAAAAAAAATCCTAATTGGGCATGTTTTTGTAGAATGAGTGTAATACTCCCTG